ATATCAATCCCATTATATTTGTTTTGAAATTTATTTCATTTAATATCTCATTCAAATTCCTATGTCTTGGTTATTGATAGATTTATATTATTGAAGTCATGTGATCTAGAAAATTTAAATATTAAGGCTTACACATAAGATGGCAACATATTTACCTCATATAAACTTTTTTTTTACCTTTATACTCATATAATTTAAAAATATGTACATGACAATAATTTGAAATATAATGAGATATTTTCTATAGTTTAAAACCTAGTTCTTTGCTGAAATAATCAATAAGCTTTAATCTCATTCAATACATCAATCTCTAATTAAATTTACATATCATAATATCAATTTCATAATTTCATATTAATATCTAAAAAATCATCAAAATTATAATGAGATAATTCATAACTCAATAATGTAACCTTCACCTTTCTCTAGTGATTCTAATATATCCAAAGGAGGTGGATCCTTAAGGTTGAGGAAATTAATTTTTTAACTATTGTCATAAACATGATCATATAAAGGTTTATTATTATAACTTGCATAGGCAGCCTTTGAGAGGTTGCGGTCTTGTATGCTTTGGTGGCAGAGGGAGACCACATTATTGGTAGAGGTAAAGGGAATCAAAATATTCAAATTTATTTCTGAGCTTTTATGATAGAATTGATAATAGAGGGAATACAACCCCAAAAAATTAGATTTAACTTGTAGGTTTTAGATGATGTCATTTTTATGTAGGTCTCTTTAGTTAAATCTTTCATGACTACACCTCAAAGTAACCTCGCTCAAACAAGTGTTGGAAGTTAAATCTAACCCTTATTTACATGATTCTTCTCATTGGAGGCATCTAGTCACATGATAAGCTCTTCTAGAAAAATTACCTCCTATACTCTATGTATAGGTCATGATAAAATACAATTTGTTGATAGATTATTCCCCCCTGTTATTAGTATATGGAATAAATTATACTTTAGTATGTCTATCATCATTTCTTTATGTTCTAGGCTTTGTGGTTAATTTACTTTCAATCAGTTATATCACTAATGATCTAGAGTGTATGAAAATCTTCTATAAAACTTACCATATCTGTTAGGAGCTCAAGATAGAGAAGAGACTTGGGACTTGTATAATGCATAATGGAGTGTAGATTGATCAAATATTAAATTTAAATAAGCTTGATGACTTCTTATTTTATTGAGATGAGATTGATTCTACATCATAGAACACATTAGTCATTTATCTTTCTCACTTTTGAAATACTTATTTTCTTTTACTTATGAGGTATGTAAGAAGACAAATTAGTTTGTGATGCTTACAAATTAATCAAATATACTATAAATATGTTTGTGAACTAGTTTGTGTTGGTATGTATTATTTAATACCTTTTGAAGGTATCCACTTGAATATATGAGAACCATGTGGAACATATGTTACTCTTGGTTATAGATGATTTATTACATTTATTTTTTATTTTAGTATGGGCATAGAATATGTATTTAAAGAATTTCAAGAGTACATGTGTAATAATGACATCTTCATCAAACTACGTGTGAATACCCCATCTTGGAATAGGGTAGTGGAGCAGATGAATATACACCTTCTTGAAATTATTTGGTGTTTCATGTTTTATATAAATGTTCCTATATTTTTGGAATGAAGCAATTATGACATCAACTTATCTGACTAATCATATGTCACTTCAGATTTTGAGTTACAAGACATCCCTAGAATGTCTACAAGGAGAAAATTATTTTATTGTCCTTTGAAAGTTTTTGAATGTATTCATTTTGTACAAGTTCATCAACCATGAAAAGGAAAACTCAATTCTCATATATATAAATGAAATTTTGTGAGATATTTGGCATACTAAAAGGGTTACAAGTGTTAGTGTCCAATTGAGAATACAATATTTAGTATGAATTTTACATTTAGAGATCATAAATATTTCTATGAATCCTCAAACTTATTTCTATTGTTATACTTAGTAATGAGCAAGATATTTCTCAAAAACATTTATTTACTAGTCACATAGTTCATGATGACTTTGATAAGAGTCTTGATTTCCAAGGAGAGAGTATCATAGAAAGAGACACCAACACCACAAGGTCACTCCTATTAGTAAGAGCTTATTATACATTCTTCAATTACCAAATAACCTTCTAAGTCACAAAGGGATCATCAATATTTGTTACTTCTTCTTCATAAACAAGTGATTATCTTTATTCATCAAGTAGTCCCTCTATTTCAAATAATGATGATGTACATATTCCTATAGTGCTACAAAATTTTGTTCGTCATGCTAGTATTCTTTACTTCTTTTAAAGACAATGTAGGATGTTAACATGACATTGCTATTTTTTTTTCATATGCCTTTATCTCTGTCTTATTAAAGTTTTATTGCATCATTGTCTACAATTTCTATAACTATAAGTTAGGAGATCACATTACAAGATGTAAAGTAGAAGAACACTATGATTGAAGAAATGCAAGTACTTGAGAGAACTGACCTCTTTACTAGTTGGTAAGAAAGTTGTAAGTTGTAAGTGAATTTTTCAGTTAAACACATACCATAGGGTGTTATTGATTGATAAAAAAATCATTTAATTATGGAAGGATATCTACAAATATATGCCATTTATTACAAAGAAACATTTGCATCAGTTGTTAAGATGAATTTAATAAGAACTCTCATATCATGTGCTGCTAACAATGCTTGAGGTATTTTATAACTTAATGTGAAAAATGTATTTCTTTATGAAGACCTCCAAGATGAGGTGTATATGGAGATCCCACCTAGGTTTTCTGTTGCCAAAACAACCGGAAAGGTATGTCTCTTAAGATGAGCAGTTTATGACCTTAAACATTTTTCTCAAGCATAGTTTGATTGTATATATAATTTGATTACCATTTTAATTATACATATTGATGATATTGTGATAACTAGATATGTTAGAGAAATTAATCAATTAAAGATCCAATTGATGATTAAGATATTTTCTTAGAATTGAAGTGTCTCAATTTCTTAAACAAATTTTTCTTTCCCAAATAAAATACGCCTTAGATCTCTTTATGAAAACTAGTATGTTCGGTTGCAAATCAGTTGATGCTCCAATAGAGAAAAATCATCACTTAAAAGGTGACAATGGAGAACAAGTGAATAAATTATATATTGTTGACAACTTGTTAGATGATTGATATATCTTTCATATACTCATCTACACATTTCCTACATTGTAAGTATAATTAGTCAGTTAATGTATGACCCTCGTTCTTCTCATATGAATGTTGTACTTAGCATATTTTGATATATCAAAGAATGTCCAGGTCATAGTCTTGTTTACTCTTTTAGTAGAAATCTTGAAATAAAGTGTTATACTAATCCTGATTGGACTGGATTTGTAGATGACAAATGCTTAATTTCAAGGTATTGTACATTTGTTGGTGGACATATGGTCACATAAAAAAAGTAAAAAAATAAAGTGTGGTTGCTTCCTCTATAGCTGAAGTAGAGTTTAGAGAAATGGCACAAGGTATTTATGATATTTTGTGATATGAATCTTACTACTAGAATTGAGTCTTCAAAGTTAATATCTTTCCAAGTTACATTGTGACAACAAGGCAGTCATTAATCTTGACAATAATCTAGTTCATTATATCATGACATGAGCACTACTAGATAAGAAGTTCGCTGGGCTCAAGGATGTGAATCTTTTTTCTTGAACACTTTAGAAATATGGTGGCCATAAAAACTCTCTCTCTCTCTCTCTCTCTTTCTCTGGGCAGCTGTCACTATTCTTTAGTTGATGGCCTCCCCTTTGTTGAAACCAGCTAAGAACTTGAAAGAGGGGAAGCTGCCCGGGGTTGTCGCCATTAAGTCTCTCTGTCTCTCTTCCTGCCTCTAGAGACTGAATAGTGATGGGAGGGAGAAGCACATCAAGATTATACTTGATTCTTAAATCAATGTTGAAGCTATCGGAGAAGAATTTGTGTCTCTTTGTCCTTTTTTATTAGTATTTCACTGTTGAATGCACTGAGTTGTCATTTTTTTTTCTGTCAACCCAACTGTTAATACACAAAGTAGTGAAAATAATAAAAAATATGTAATCCCCCATTTAGGATGAAACATTCCATGCATGTTTCTCAGAAGACTCTGTGACCCAACTGATTCAAACACAAGCAAGCAATATGCCAAACATTTATCTTTCTAAGATCTACACAACTCTTGCACAAACACTCTGTTTTTTCCCCATAAACTATGATGCTTACCGATATCAAGGCAAATCAAGAACGATCTTGAAAACCATTCATTTTGACCCGTGAGAGAGTACCGTCTTTGATTTCTCCGTCTATACATCTAACAAGGTTACCCAGGAAGTCAAACTTCGCCGCATTTCCCAGGTACCGACTTCAGCAACTCTTTCAGTCACTAATGTCGACAAGGGGATCACGTGTGAGAAATCAAACCTATCTCTATTTCCCAAGCGCCGACGTGAATTCCCCACTGACTAGTCTTTTTCGTGGAACTGCCGCCATTCTCGGTTCATAAGATTTTGTGAAGCTGGCCACGGCATGTAACTCTGAGCAAAGAACATCGCACGCGTTCATTCACATAAACTTGTGAAGGGCAACGGGAAAGGTGTCAGTGTGTGTGTGTCTCTCTCTCTCTCCCTCACTCCTCTCTCTGTGATGGACAGAGAGAAGCGTACATTGTCATTCATGCGCGCAAATGGATGGATAAAAAAGGATAGGGGTGAATGTAAACGGAGAAGAAGAGGAGAAGAATGTCAAGGTGTAGGCGAAGCCTAGGACAGCTGCCATTAAGAGAAAGAGATGAGAGAACGAGAGAGGTGCCGGAATGTCGTGGACGGTGAGGATACCAGCAATTAAGAGAGGGAGAGAGAGTATGTGGAGTGACGACCCGGCCTATAAGAAGGGCCCTCATCCACCACCTTGTCGGCATGAAGCATCAGCTCTTCCTCCGACTACTAGTTGTTCTCTTCTGAAAGAAGATGTGGAGGGCCGTGAAGCGCTTAGGGTTGCTCGTGGGGTTGGTGGCGGTGGCAGCACTGGTGGCCACCGTTGCCGATGGCCGTCGTCTTGAGAAGGATGTGACCTTGGATGGTGGCCTTGGTGGCAGTAGCGGTGGAGCAGGAGCTAGTGGCGGTGCAAATGGCGGAGCTGGCAGTGGAGGTGGTGTAGGTGATGGTGGCACCGGAGGAAAGGGTGGAGGAGGTTCCGGTGATAGTGCAGGTGGCGGAGCTGGCACTGGGGTGATGTAGGTGGTGATGGCGCCGCAGGAGGGAAAGAAGGTGCCGGAGGTTCCGGTGGCGGTGCAAGTGGCGGAGCTGGCAGTGGAGGTGGTGTAGGTGGTGATGGCGCCGCAGGAGGGAAAGAAGATGCCGGAGGTTCCGGTGGCGGTGCAAGTGGCGGAGCTGGCAGTGGGGGTGGTGTAGGTGGTGATGGCGCCGCAGGAGGGAAAGAAGGTGCCGGAGGTTCCGGTGGCGGTGCATGTGGCGGAGCTGGCAGTGGGGGTGATGTAGGTGGTGATGGCGCCGCAGGAGGGAAAGAAGGTGCCGGAGGTTCCGGTGGCGGTGCAAGTGGCGGAGCTGGCAGTGGGGGTGGTGTAGGTGGTGATGGCGCCGCAGGAGGGAAAGAAGGTGCCGGAGGTTCCGGTGGCGGTGCAGGTGGTGGAGCTGGCAGTGGGGGTGGTGTAGGCGGTGGCAGCACCGGAGGAGGGAAAGAAGGTGGAGCAGGTTCTGGTGTTGGAGCTGGGGGTGATGGCGCAGTCGGAGGAGGAAAGGGAGGGGATGGAGGTGATGGTGGCGGAGCTGGAGGTGGTGGCGCCGGCGGAGGTGGAAATGGAGGCGGTGGAGGTGCTGGTGGTGTCGCTAGAGGAGGTAAGAGAGGTGGTGGGGGTGGCGGTGGCGGAGGAGGCGGTGGCGGGGGAGGGGGAGGGGGAGGCGGTGGAGGCGACGGTGGCTTCTAGACTACGCCATGTAAGGCCCAACGCTTCACCGTAACTCTGGTGACGCAGAGTGCATGAAGCTATGAGTATGGCAAGAAATAAGCGGACGTCCTTTCGCCGTTCAAATTGTAAGCAAGTTCAAATGCCACCCGTATATATGTGCCCGGCATTTTAGGGCTGAGAGAGAGAGAGTTCACAGAGGGAAGGGGGACGATGACGGGGCCTGACCGCACGGGAACGTCAGAGCCCGGGTTGGGTCCGTCGATGAAGCCGAGGGGGAGTGAAATTACGATGGCGTCTTGCTGACGATGCCAACACCGAACACCGGTCACGTAGGAAGGAACTCCATGCACGTAACTGCATGGATTTAGATCGATAACCTGGAGATTCGCAGAGCATAAAGATAGCTGGTAGGACAGGCGCACGAGAGAGAGAGAGAGAGAGAGATGCTAAGGTCAGAGCTCGTTGGACTTCTGGGGTTCTCAGAGCCATGGACGTATCGCCTTCCTCTTCAGGACCCACAGAGAAATGGATTGATCGCACAGGGTTGGTCTCGACTCGAGGGGGAGGGGAGCTCGGCCCTATAAGAACCCCAGTGGCCGCATGGCCATCGCCACCTCGGGACAGAGAACCTCTTCTTCTGCTCTGTTCTCTCCTTAGCGAAGATGGGGAAGGGCTTGAGAAGCCTAGGGTTTCTGGTGGCAGCGGTGGTGCTGATGGCCGCCATCGCCGACGGCAGGCATCTTCAGGAGACGATGTTGGACGGTGATGGCTCCGCCGGAGGGACTGGGGCGGGTGAAGGCGGTGGAGGCAGCAGCGGAAGAGGTTATGGGGGAGGAAAGGGAGAAGGGGGAGGGAATAGCGTCGGAAGTGGTGGAGGGAACGGTGGTGGCTATGGTTGGGGCTGTGGAGGCGGTGGAGGGTATGGCCATGGCACTGGAGCTGGTTGGGGACACGGAGGGGGTGGCGGGGGTGGCGGCGGAGGAGGCGAAGGCGAAGGTAAAGGTGAAGGCTTTGGGCGTGGTGGCGGTGACCATGGCGGAGGCGACGGGCAAGGTGGTGGCCGCGGCCGTGGTGGAGATGGAAGCGAAGGCTATGGGCACGGTGGTGGCCGTGGCGGACGTTATGGCCGTGGCCGTGGTGGAGGTGGGGGAGAAGGCTATGATGGGCTGGGTGGTGGCGATGGAGGCGGCCTCTAGACCTTAATGGCTTCCGTTTCGCTCAGAGTACCTTCCTTATGTGATGAGAAAACCACGGACTGCAATATCATCTCTAGACTTGCAGGGAGCGTGATGAGCGCCATGTACGTGTATAAAAGCAATAAGTATGGCACGAAATAAAGGACGGACCTTTGTCCCCTCAAACCATCTCCTTCCGCCAATCTTCTTCCTCCCATTCTTCGACTAGACTCTTTGATGGGTTTCGGTTACGATCAAGGATCATACGATTTACCATGCAACTAGGATTTCTTTTCTGCAGGTTATGAGCACACCCATCACCGGAAGGGCCTCGTAGATTATCATCTAAGTTAATTCTCTACGAGGTAAATAATCAATTCTCTTGTCACTTTGGTGGTTAGCATAACCATCACCCTGATTACCTGCAGTGAGAAGCCACACCCTGATGTGCAGTAGTTACTACCTACTAAGTGCCCATGTTGCATGTCTTATGTTGAGTCATGTCACTAACATAATGCCTCAACAATCCATGCCACATCATGTTGTCACATGCCGCCATACACATGCGGTCTCAATGTGTGTGCCACGTCATGCTGAAGCACACTTTTGAACATGCATGCATGGCTCACTACATGACCTCACATTGGCCGCAAGGTTTTACTCTTTTCAACTCATTCCTCTAATTGGTGAGTGTCACATCCTCTTTTATGCAGTTAATCAAATGTCCAGTCAGATGGTTTGTAGCGAGGTACCTATTTATGAGGTCTTGAACTATCGTAGTTGAATGATATTTTATTTTGAAAAGACTACCCCAATTGGCAAACCTTTCCATTTGGAAATCCCGGATTTGGGCCTAGAATTACTTTGTAGATTATTGAACGCATTATGTCAGTGGTATCCATTGGGAAGATTGTGCCCATCATCATCATCATCATCATCATCATCATCATCATCATTTGTTCTATGAAACATCAAAGGATAAATGTGAAAGACTAAGTAAATTGTCAATCTCAATGACTGGTTGAAGAGGTAGGTTAACTTATTTACTCATTCCATAAATTCAAATGGGTAAGTCTAAGTGAGGCGCCAACCTAAAACGATATTTAAATAATTTGATGCTCTTGTATAGTTCTTCTGACTTGAGTCAAGGTAGGATGTGGTCGTCCACTCTAATCTACATTTCAAGCTAGTGGCAATCTCCATTATTTTTCATCTAGTGCATTGCATGCAACTCTTACTATATCTAGAAAATTTATGTGACCCTATGTGCCAACAAGTAGTGCCCCAGCTTGATCTACTTTGTTAATTCTAGAGAGATAAGTAGTTGGTGCCCTATTGCTAGCTTGAACAATGATTGTGCAATCATCTAGATTTGGTTGAGCTTGTAGAATAACTGTACATGGTCTAACAAGTTGATCCAATTGTTTTAGTTAGCTGTAATAGTATGTAAAGTTCATCTTTAACATATCATTGATATGCTTCATTTGCTATCATTTCCAACTAAGTTTCGACCATCATAATGAGCAACTACATATTTCCAATTCCTTGACGCCATAGCTCTGCCTATGCCCAACCCTAGACACATGCCATGAAATTAAATAACTTACTTTTTTCGTATAGGTTATTAATCTTAACGAGGAGTGAAACAAATTACTTTACATAATCTGGCACAAACCCGTAAGTCAGAACTAGTTGGGGGGGGAATCCCTTGCCATCCACATGTTGCTGGTAGGAAGGAGTTGCTCTTTAACTCCATGAAATCTTCTTATGCGTTGACAATGAAGGGGACTGAGGCAGCGTTGACAATGGAAAGCGTTTCGTAATATATTCCACTCTTGGCTCTCTCTCTCTCTCTAAACGACGACTCCTTCTGGCCATCTTCTGAGCCCGGTTCAGATGAGCCCAGAGTCCATTTCCCAGGTGCAAATTAGATGGTGGGTCTGCCACACTTCATGGGACCCACCAGATTGAGAGCTTCTCTGAGGCCCACCAGGAGCTGTTCCGGGTGGTCTTCGATCTGGCCCGACTTCAGCTCACTTAGGACACGCCCCACAATCTGCATCAGACTCCCAAGTGTCAATGGGCCGGCAACACTTTGTCCGGGCATAATCATCACAATCATATTAGACAAGAACAAAAAGTGGGAAGGGTCTGACCCGACCTCTATCTGGGCCAGGCCCGGGCTTCAAGATTTCTCATGGGAAACCAGCCCGGAGCCCATTTCTGAGGCTTTCTTCCGGGCCCGGGCCTTACTAACAACAACTTTGCTAGTAGGAAGAGAGGGAACCAATACCTTCCGAGCGTAGCCCCCAAACGCCACGCCGCCGATCAGAGCTGGCGGAGCTCCAGGCATGATGGCAGTGGAACAAGAAGCACCGTCCTTTGTCTGATCTGATAAAGATCATCATGATTATCAAAAGATTTGAGAAAGTAGCAAATATAATCTCAAATTTTATTGTCTAATATCTTCTCGACTGCCAATCTTAATCTGGGTCTGGATTGGAGCGAGGAACAGATCAACCAAGTTGAATGGCCCATCCGAAGTAGGTCCAAAGGATCAGATTGGCTGATCCTTACTTAATGCCCATTTGAAGAAAAGAGTTCATTCATCGAAACAGCCCATCCTAGAAGAAGAACTTCCAAAAAAAAAAAAGGGCATTCATACCGAAAGAGGGAATAATTATATTATTACCAGGAATAGACCATGCCTGGAAAAGCCCAACTTTCTTGAGGCAGTCTACTGTGTGGGCATTTGTACCGCCAGCAAGCTGAAGGAACCCTTAAAGAAAGAAAAGATCTTGGTAGAAAAAAATCAGTAGGGCCATATAGAAATACGCAAGGGATGTAGTTTAGATCAGATCGACGGATCGAGGGAAGCACCAGGAGGACGGTCCTGGGCAGCAGCCAGATGAACAGCGAAGTCAATGGTCTCCTTGGTGGTTCCTCGGCCAATGTCTCCGCTCATTGGTCGGCCATCCAGCTGAATCCATAAAAAAACTTGTAATTAGCAGCGCGGGTCTTATTTACTTCAAATTTTATTTTCACTAATATGAGTGAAGACATTAAATTTATGTCCTTTCCAGTCAATGGAAAAAACTAAAACCATAAACTCTAAATCTTAAACCCCTAAAGTTGTATTTTTTTCCTCACTACTCAGTGAAATGTAAGAGCAGATTTGAAAGATTCCCTTATAAAGTTATTTAAATGATACTAGTAGGCATGATAAGGGTCAAACGATGAAAAGCAATGAAGAGAGCACAATAAGGATCTTTCTATGATTAGTTTTCACTAACAAAGGTGGAACTATTTCCAAATAGGTGGGGAATTCCCTTGCAGCTAAAGTTATGAATTTATGTGCAATCCCCGTTTTATTAAGGCATGAAACGAGATTCGAATAATTCACTGGATAAAATCATGAATATGGTAGTGCCACTGAGAACAATCCAAAGCAACAGAAACAAATTAAGTTTGTCATTAGTGACAGTAGAATGAAATTGGAAAGAATTAATTTCATGGGATAAATGAGAGAACGTAGCTCACCCTGCCCATTCAATCGAACAATTGAAACAAAATTTGCCAACAATTTCCCAACAAGAAAATGTTAAAAAACTTATCTGCGAAATTCAGTCACGTACCTGCCATAAATTATGGCATCGAAGGTTTTCCTTGATAATTAAGTACAAGTTATCCATTGCAGATACAGTCGATTCTCCAGAATTGGGTAAGCTAATCTGCAAGAAAAGGAGGGGTGAACTATAACACCTACAATTATTATTTTAGAAAAAGATACTTAATGATTCATATTCTATGGTATCTAATTTGAGAGGACTCTATGGTTTAAGCCAACTCCAGTTTCTGGTCTTGTGGGGTCATGTCAACATCATAAACTTTTGCTCCTAATGCCGACCAAAACACACAAGAACCCAAAATTGGAGGATCAGCAACTTTAGAATTAGGCCGTGAAAAGGAGAATACCAAACAGAAGTCCAAAATCTTATTGGGCCACAGAAAATCACGAGAAGACTGGTCCAATTTCAGTTGGTTGTTCAGTATCTGTTTTGTTCTTTTTAAATTCTGATCGCTGTTATCCTCTTATTTGTTTTGCTTCTGTTCAGAGTCTATTTTACTTTTTCAAAGTTTGTCCAAAGATTTGTTCAAGATCTGATCCTAAGATTTATTTTACTTTTAGAGAACATCCCACCTATTTTTGCTTAAATTACATGTTTCATGCTGGTAGTCTCACTTTTTAACTCAAAGAAGAAGGTGAGGATGATCTTTGATTAAATTAAATGGATCGTGCGGTTAAACAATGATCAGATGACAACCTGATGCAAAAAGATTAAGATATAGAAAGATGATAAGAATACAGAAAATTATTTAAATGGCACGAGCTTGGGACTAACTGCTATCAGCTTCATGTGATTAAGTGAATCACCCAAGCTATTCCAGAGCTCTCTGAACAGATCAGGATGCCTGTATGCATATATAGATAGATAGCTGAGATTAACATGATAAAAAAAGAACAACAATGGCTGACGATCAACTATTTTTCCACATGAAATCCTTTAGGACCTTCCACTCGTGTGTATCTCCACCGCATCCACATCATCTCTCTTCAGGAGTTCTGAGGTGGCTGCCACATCTCTGATATATGTCATGGCTCCTGGAACAGGGAAAGACAACGTGCTGCTTCAAGTTCTCATGGAGTGTATCATCCAATCCAGGATAATTAACAAGAAGAAAATCAATGATCGTTGTGATTATTTGAGATCAAATTTGCTCAAAAAAGTGTGAAAAAGCTTTGAACCTACTTATTTTATCATATGGGCAGACTGGAAAGCAACGGCCGCAGCCATAGCACCGTTCTGTAATAACACCACCCTGCAGAAAGTTTCAAAAACGCAGTCCGCATAAATAACGGCAAACTATGGAGATCCACCAGCAGGCCTGGCTGAAGAGGGTTTTGACTACCTGAAGAACACCTCGAGGAATCAGACCATCTGGTGATTCATCTTTTACGGAGAGCCTCTCCAGAGAGATTGCATTAGCGGGGCAAACCCTTTCGCACGGCCTGGAGCAATCAGGAGGGCAGTCCTCGGGATCGAATTCTGGCTAAGAATAGGCAATCAACGCTCCGAATTAGAAGAAGCGATGAAGCGATAATGAAAACCAAGAAGACTCCACGGGAAGTTCCGAAGATATTCTTATTTTTTTCGAGGAAATTTCTCGGAAAGTCCATGTATGTTCCTGGGGGTGGGTGGGGGGAGGGGAGGGGGGCGCATGATCTTATTGATGAACAGTTTCGAGAAATGTTCTCCGATTTGAGTAGGTTCCTCGCCGTGACTGCGGAGAGATGAGACGATTGATCATCATGGGAATCCTGATCATGGCGGGGTCCTACCTGCTTTGCGGAAGTGAACGTCTGCTTGGTCGTCGTTGATGCTGATCATCACCCACGGTCTCGGGACTGGAGCAATCGACATCGCCATTTCCACCCCTTCGACAACCGCGTTCACAACCGACGCGTCGGCCGCACAGTCGATGCAATCGACTGCAACACCGCGACCACACCAATCAAGAAAACAGCATGTGAGGTGGGAAAAAAATGCAGACAATTAATTGATATGTCAATTCTACACGTTCTGACCTCCCGCTAGGGCATATAAAAGAGAGAGATTCCTCACGTCCGCAGCATCCTGCTCAAAAATTTTCAAGAACACGAGAGCCACAGAAGATGAGCCGGAAGAACGAAGAGCTTATCCCCCTACTTGAAAGAGAAGCTTCTCTACCTCGAAGCTGGCCCCGCAGATGAGCTTCACCCAGTCGCCCCGGCGGAGTGCTTGGATGGGGTGTTCGGAGGCCGGGGAGGAGGAGACGGCGGCGGGGTTTTTGGAGGTCGTCGAATCCACCAAGCGCCTCACAGCGTCGAGACTGGGCGAAGGCGGGGGCCGTCGCCGGCGAGGATTTACCGGCGTGATGGAAGCGACGGGGGAAGAGAGCAGGAGCATGGTTCCAAGTAGTTCCCGGCGGACTGAAACAAGATCTCTCTCTCTCTCTCTCCCCTCCAAAATTGGAAACTCCTCTCAACGGATATATCGGATGAAGGACGTAAATACCCTCAGATCTTAATCCACGTGTAAGGTGACTAGAATAAAATCTAACTGGTAATTAAATAATGTTTATAAAGAGGAATTAAAATATAGATGAAAGCGAAAATTCTAATTCCTTTTTTTAAAGCGCATTTTCACGATGTAAAAAATCGAATTAAGCCGATCATATGAAGAGAAGTTGAGAGATTTTTTACATATTTGGACGTATATATGCCCAAATATAATAATAATAATAATAATAATTAGAATCATATTTTAATTCACAATTATCACATCTTTTGCATACACTTTGCAGTTCTCAAAAACTATTCAACTCCTAATTTTAAATAAACATATATAAATTCATATATCTTCATGAGAGAGAGAGAGAGAGAGAGAGATCTTCCTCTTCTAATGATTTGAGAGGCTGAAGACCAGGTGAGAGCAGAAGATGAGGAACAGTTCAACAATCTAACACAATCTGACCCAAAACGCTGGCCTACTATGATATGATTGTTCCCAACACAGCACAAGACGACTCATTTCCCCCTGCAACGACCAGGAAAACAACACCCAGATGAGAGAGAGAGAGAGAGAGTAGAGAGAGGAGAGAGATTGGGGGGGGGGGGGAGGGCTCACGTGTTCTGCATCAGTGTGATGTTGTCACCTTTGAGAAGAATTCTCCCTAGAAACGGAGCACAGAAAGATTAGTCAAGAGACGAGGATACATGAGACGAAACGAGAGGGGGATTCCTGGTCTTCTTACCCAGAGACTTCCTGGTCTTCTTCTTGATGTTGACCTCCTCAGCGTCGTCCAGAACCAAGTTCATGTACTCGTCGAAGCCCTGCCAAGGGAGGTAGAGATGAGACTGGGAGTCGAACTATCTTCCAAATCATACGAAACTTAACCCCAGATTCATTCATTCATTCATTCATTCATTTATCTATGTAGCAAGCTTTCATTCACCATCTACTTCTGGTGACAGGCATCAACTGCTTCAAGAGATTATAATCCAAAAGAGGAAGAAAAGAAGAGTTCAAGCCGGGTATAATCTCTCACACAACGCGAGCAGATGCGTTTTTTCTTCCCTGGATGCGTAGAACAAAGGGGGAGTTTCCGTCAAGGTTCAAGATAACCTACTAGGCACTAATGAACAACATGATGAATAAAGCCATTCCAGATACTGGCGCTTAGTTATTCTGATTCCCGTTGAAACTATTTTCGGAGCTGGTGGATGGGTCAGATTTACTCTCCCCCCTCCCATCAGATGGTATCAATCCTAAAATAAGCTTTAATAATTCATACACCGACTGAGCAATAAAGCAGCATCAGGATAATTGTGAATCACCAATAAACCATGATAATGGATGATCCTGATACTGATCTTGATCCAGATCTTCAGTTTTTCTCCTCTCCCTAAAGCTTTTCTCCCAGAGATTTCTTTCCATTTTCACAAAGAACTTTTAACTAAAATAATTTATCCTAACTACTTACATACATCAATCCATGCATATTATCGTTTTCAAAATCACTTGCTTAAAAAGGGTGCATGTCTAAATCAGTAAAGAGCCATCTTATTGCAATCTAGGTGCGATATTATCATCTATTAAATAAACTGCAATGTTGAACTGATGGTTGGAAAATACCTGTTAAGAGTTCGATCTACTTGAAAAACAAAAGCTACACTTTAAGTCTCCAACTGGATATTAATGATGAACTGTCAGCCGTTAAAGATCGGTGTAGTAGCGCTCGGGAGGGTCCACCTTTTATCACCAATCAGTGCTTACAACTATTTTGGCGAGAGAAACAGAGATTTCTTCAAACCATGGATGAAATATAGCAGAGTTTTGTACATGACACGCTCAAACACATAATTTATCCTTTTCGGGCATTTTTGTTATATTCATCTTCCAGCTACATGGGAAGATGCCTTTTCGTCTTCCTAAAAATATCTACTCTTAAGCTATAGAGGATGATGTAACTTTGCATAGCATTTGAACTAAAAAGTAATCCATCTCACTCATTACGTAAAATGGTTTCTCAAAGCAACAACACCTCAGGCAACTCCCCCAACGGAATGTGCCATTGACGGCGATATCTACCACGTACGTCAAATGTTCATTGAAAGAGGTCAACAGGGGATGCAGTCAACCATCCCCAAGTTGTCTCACACTGTGAGGGGAACAACGTGGTCAGAAGGACCATCGCCATCCATCTTCTTCTTTCAAGGTAAGGCAGCATACTGATTGAGATCTTACTTGTCACTGATTGCTTGAAGACTTACTCATTGAGGTTCACATATCCCACAAATCCTCACTTTTCCAAGCATGATATTTATTTTTCCCCAGGAAATTACTCATGCCTGCGCATGGCGAACATGTTGGATCGGTAAATCTAGTCATGAAGATGAGCTGACGCTCGACAGGAAGTCTCACTCTCCTGGCGGAATCCCAAAATCCACCCCCCACCCACCGTCCACCTGCCCTCAGAAGCAACTCTGAGCAAAAGTATGAAGAAAAACGACGCAACAAAAAGCATACCAGGCCGCAGCTAGGCATTAGAAAAAATGCGAGGTCTAATTGGCTTCTGTTTTGATTACCTGGCCTGTGTGTAGATTCAAAACCCTAGAACTAGGATTTAACACGGAAAGACTGGCATCATCAGCAAAGACAGAAAGCGGAGGTGAGAGAAACGTACAATGATACGCCCTTCGATTCGCAGGTCCTTCTGCTCGAACAGCCAAATCTGGATGCGCGCTTTCTGAATGAAGCCCAAAATCGAAGAACGTCAAAGAACGGTATTCAGCGAATGAACGGCGTCAGAGAGATGGGGCGGGTGAAAGAAATTCTTACACTCTGAAGAAACCTGAAGATGAGGTTCTATGCTCCGACATCCCACCGACACGCAGGGAAGAGCACGACCACCAGGAAAAGCGGAGAAGGGGTTAATCGCTCGGAAGAAAGATATAACAACAAAAAACTGATGGATCGGGAGCGTACAATGGGCTGGGTCATGATCTTCTGAATCTTGGTGGTCGCCATGGCTGCTTCCCTTTCTGCTCTCCTCCTACCGCGGCTGCTGCGACGATCTCGTTCACCGTCTCTCGTTGCAGAGCGGGCAAGAGAGCTTGCAACTCCTAAAACCCTGTTTTTCCACCAGGAACAAGCTAAAGCCTTCATCGTAGCCGTCCATCTGAGGACCATCAAATCCAGCGCTATCATTGCAGTGGAAGAGGAACACAGAAAGAACGGCTCCAATCACCGTAATTTTATTAAATCAAGAGAAAACCTATAATAACGCTTAATATCGGAACTAGTTAAATAATTTTTTTTTTTCTAAAAATACGATAAGCCTGCGAACAATACGAGCAGCAAGATAATGTAGATTAACCCAAATATCTTGAATTATATATAAATAGTATAAATGCGAAGAAAATCTGACCTCCCACAGAGAGACCAGGAGAGAGAGAGAGAGAGAGAGGAGAGAGAAAGAGGAACAGGAACTGGGAGAAAGTGCCAGGACAGGTGGCGGGATCCACTGGGGTCTCCATGACCTGCCTTCTGCTTCGTCTTCTACCTTCATCCTCTGGTTTTTACTTCTAATTTCCCTCTGCGACGAAGCTAATGGCTGGCTTTCAACGGGGGATGCAACACGTGGCCCGTCTGAGGAAGACACGGAGCAACCGATAAGCTGACCACATGGTTCGCTTTCCATTCCCCTCTGCTTCTCCCCATGGCGCCGCAGAAGGGGGGGGGCGGCGCCGCCTCAGCCGAGGGCTTCTCGCTGTCGGGAGGGGAGCTCGCCGTCGGCGGGGTGGCTCTCTTCTCCGGCGTCCCCGGGAACGTCACCCTCAGTAGCTTCGATGCCGTTTGCGGGTCTTCCGACGCGCCGCCGGCGTTGCTCCGGCGAGTCCGGCAGCGGGCCAGCCGCGGCGGGTTCCTGGGGTTCACCGTCGGCGAGCCCTCCGACAGGGCGACCACCTCCTTGGGGAGCTTCACCGACCGGAGATTTCTCAGCATCTTCAGGTTCAAGACGTGGTGGTCGACCATGTGGACGGGGAAATCAAGCTCCGACCTGCAGATGGAGACCCAGTGGCTTCTCCTGGAGGTCCCCGAGCTTTCCTCCTTCGTCGTCGTCCTCCCCCTCATCGAAGGGAGCTTCCGCGCCGCCCTCCACCCCGCCGGCACCGCCGCCTCCGCAGGCGAAGTCCTCCTCTGCGCAGAAAGCGGGTCGACCCGCGTCACGGCGGCGAGCTTCCGCTCCATAGCCTACCTCCATGTCTGCGACAATCCTTACAACCTCATGAGGGAAGCCTTCGCGGCGGCGAGGGTTCACCTCAACTCGTTCAGACTGGCGGAGGAAAAGCCGGCGGCGCCGCTGATGGGCAAGTTCGGGTGGTGCACTTGGGACGCCTTCTACCTCACGGTGGACCCCGCCGGAGTCTGGAGCGGCCTGGAGAGCTTCGTCGCCGGCGGCGCGCCGCCGAGGTTCGTCATCATCGACGACGGCTGGCAGAGCGTCAAGGAAGACGACGAGGAATCCCCACCGGGGGAGAGCCTTGTTTTAGGGGGAACCCAGATGACGGCGAGGCTCTGCAGATTCGAGGAGGGCGACAAGTTCAGGTCCTATAAGGAGGGGGAGTTCTTTTCTGCAACCGGCGCTGGTTTCGACCCCGAGAGGGTCAAGCTTCTGATCGCCATGGCCATCGAGCTGGAGCAGGCTGAGAAGGCCAACGACGAGGCGAAGATTGGCCTCCTGAGAGAGAAGCTGCGTGAGAAGATGAATCCCCTCGTCGGCGCGGCCGGCGGAGGCGGCAGCGCCGCCGGTGGAGGAGGATTGAAGGGGTTCGTCAAGGATCTGAGGAAGAGGTTTCCTGGTGTGGAGGATATCTACATGTGGCATGCTCTCTGCGGGGCGTGGGGAGGTGTGAAACCTGGGGCCACCCACCTGGAGGCGACGGTGATCAACGCCACTGTCTCGCCGGGGCTGGAGGGGACGATGGAGGACCTCGCCGTGGTGAAAATCGTTGACGGCGGCGTTGGCCTGGTCCGGCCGGAGCTGGCGGCGGAGCTCTACGAGTCAATGCACTCCCATCTCGCCGAGTCCGGCATTACAGGGGTCAAAGTTGACGTCATCCACGTAAGCTTCTTCAGCTTCCGGTTCCTCTTCTTCTTCCTCCTCCGCCGTCGCCGTTGACCCCAGCGGCGACTCCCCATCGCAGACGCTGGAGTACCTCTGCGAGGAGCACGGCGGCAGGGTGGAGCTCGCCCGGAGGTACTACGAGGGGTTGACAAGGTCCCTCGCGAAGAACTTCGCCGGAACGGGACTCCTCGCCAGCATGCAGCAGTGCAACGACTTCTTTTTCCTCGGCACCCGGCAGATCGCCCTCGGCAGAGCAGGTGAGCTCCTCCCCATTGAATTGCTCCTGCCAGAGGAGGCGGAGGATAAGAAGAAGAAAAACAAGAAGAAGGAGAAGTTCACTGACGGCGGCGCTTCTGCGGCGGCGCAGGGGATGACTTCTGGTTCCAGGATCCGAACGGGGACCCTCTGGGGGCCTTCTGGTTGCAGGGAGTGCATATGGTGCACTGCGCCTACAACAGCCTGTGGATGGGCCAGATCCTGCTCCCCGACTGGGACATGTTCCAGTCCGACCACCTCTGTGCCGTCTTCCACGCCGCCTCCCGCGCCATCTCCGGCGGGCCCGTCTACGTCAGCGACGCTGTCGGCTCGCATGACTTCACCCTCCTCCAGCAGCTGGTCTTCCCCGACGGCACCGTCCCCCGCTGCTTCCATTTCGCCCTACCCACCAGAGACTGCCTCTTCCACAACCCCCTCTTCGATGGACGGACACTACTCAAGATCTGGAACCTAAACAAGGTAAGCTGAGAATGCCCATCATCATCATCATCTTCCTCCTCCACAGAAACCCAAAATTCCGATCATCTTCTTCCTCCTTCCACAGTACGGCGGAGTTGTGGGGACCTTCAACTGCCAGGGCGGAGGATGGGACCCCGAGGAGCGGCGGATCAGGGGGTACCCCCACTGCTACAAGCCGGTGGCCGGCGGAGTCCACGTTTCGGACGTCGAATGGGACCAGGCGGCGGAGGCTGCCGGCGGCATGGGCAGCGCAGAGGAGTACGCCGTCTACCTCAGCCAGCAGAAGAAGCTTCTCCTGTCCAGCCCCAAGACGGAGCCCATCGAGATCACCCTTTTGCCATCTTCCTTCGAGATCTTCACCTTGTCTCCCGTCCGGCGGCTCCACGGCGGCGCCAGGTTCGCCGCGGTGGGGCTCGCCGGCATGTTCAACAGCGGCGGTGCAATACTGGAGATGGCGGAGGTCGCGGCCGGCGGTGGGAGCGTCAGAGTGAAGGTCAAAGGTGGCGGAACGTTCTTGGCCTTCTCGAGCGAGAAGCCGAGGGAGGTGAGTTTGAATGGGTTGGTGGTGGGGTGCGAGTGGCTCGCCGGCGACGGGAAGCTCACAGTGCGGCTGCCGTGGAAGGAGGAAGATGGCGGCGTTTCTGACCTCTCCTTCACGTACTGAGCAGGGCCCGATGGAACTCTGCGGAGCATAGAAGAGTTCCCTATCGCTTGTACTCTTCGCATATATATCAAATCTTAGCTATTTTGTGAACCAATGGTCTGGTCTCATCCAACAAGCTGCGACGGACAGAAAGGGCGTGAAGAAGATGAGAGAGAAAGAGAGAGAGAGAGAGAGAGAGAGAGAGAGAGAGAGAGAGAGAGAGAGAGAGAGAGAGAGAGAGAGAGAGAGAGGCGGAGGCAGAAGTAGAGGGAACAGTATGAGAGAGTGGGAGCCCCCCGGTAGTGTCAAACCTTGTCCTTCCTTCCGCCTAGTGCGTTTATCCACAGGCAGACGAGAGCTCCTCAACTTGTGATGGACGAGGTTTAATGGTTTTGAATATTCTGAATATGCCCAAGCAGAGGACGGACTGCCATTGATTATCGCTCTCGTAGGCCTGCACCATTTTACACTCCTCTCTCTCTCCCTCCCCTCTCCTCACTCACTGTCTCTCACACAGTCGTTCTCTATCTATGCTCCTCTCTCTTCCCTAATTTCCGTTCTTCTCCTCTCTCAGTATCAAAGCATGCCTCTTCATACCTTTGCCAGCTATAAGCTATTCAGAGGGCTCCCTGCATCAAAATTGGCTCCCCAACGATAAAGAATATTAAGCAACAAAGAAAGGTAGGGCCCTCACTTAGACCATGACCACCTAAAATCCTCAAATACATGATCGCATTACACCATGCTAGGACTTAGAGTATGATCTCAAATGATGACCACATCATAACCATATCATCAACCATAGGACTTAGAGTATGATCTCAAATGATGACCACATCATAACCATATCAAAATTGGCTCCCCAACGATAAAGAATATTAAGCAACAAAGAAAGCTAGGGCCCTCACTTAGACCATGACCACCTAAAATCCTCAAATACATGATCGCATTACACCATGCTAGGACTTAAGAGTATGATCTCAAATGATGACCACATCATAACCATATCATCAACCATAGGACTTAGAGTATGATCTCAAATGATGACCACATCATAACCATATCAAAATTGGCTCCCCAACGATAAAGAATATTAAGCAACAAAGAAAGCTAGGGCCCTCACTTAGACCATGACCACCTAAAATCCTCAAATACATGATCGCATTACACCATGCTAGGACTTAGAGTATGATCTCAAATGATGACCACATCATAACCATATCATCAACCATATGAATTAGGCCATCTCTTTCAATTGTTCTCATTGGCACAAACTCTCCTCATAACAATTGCGACTTATATATTTAGTGACGTTAGCACAAATTTATGATATAAAATATGAATTTTATGATGATTTATTCGCTCGATGATGAGATCAAAAGCCCATGAAATGACATGCGCCTGAGCTCTCATAAACTATTCAGCGACCGACAAAGAGCATTGACCATTTACCTCGTAGAGAATTAACTTAGATGATTATCTAGGAGGCCCTTTCAGTGATGAGTGAGCTCATAAACTGCAGGAAAAAAATCCTAATTGCGTGTTAAATCGTATGATCCGTGATCGCAGCCGAAGCCCATCTAAGTCTTTAGTTGAAGAATGGGAGGAGGAAGGTTGGAGGGAGGAGATGGCTTGAGGGGACTAAGGCCCGTCCTTTATTTCGTGCCATACTTATTGCTTTCATACACGTACATGGCGCTCATCACGCTCCCTGCAAATCTAGAGATGATAGTGCAGTCCGTGGTTTTTTATCACATAGGCCGAAACGGGGGCCATTAAGGTCTAGAGGCCGCCGCCATCGCCACCACCCCGGCCATCATAGCCTTCTCCTCCACCACGGCCACGGCCATAGCCTCCGCCACGGCTGCCGCCGTGCCCATAGCCTTCGTTTCCACCTCCACCACGGCCACCAACTTGCCCGTCGCCTCCGCCATGGCCACCACCGTCACCACGCCCATAACCTTCGCCTTCACCTTCGCCTCCTCCCCCGCCGCCACCGCCACCGCCACCATGTCCCCAACCAGCTCCAGCGCCATGACCATACCCTCCACCGCCTCCACAGCCCCAACCATAGCCATAGCCACCACCGTTCCCTCCACCACTTCCACCACCATTCCCTCCCCCTTCTCCCTTTCCTCCTCCGTAACCTCTACCGCTGCCGCCTCCACCACCTTCACCCACCCCAGTCCCTCCGGCGGAGCCACCACCGTTCCCTCCCCCTTCTCCCTTTCCTCCTCCGTAACCTCTACCGCTGCCGCCTCCACCACCTTCACCCGCCCCAGTCCCTCCGGCGGAGCCACCACCGTTCCCTCCCCCTTCTCCCTTTCCTCCTCCGTAACCTCTACCGCTGCCTCCTCCACCACCTTCACCCGCCCCAGTCCCTCCGGCGGAGCCACCAACGTTCCCTCCCCCTTCTCCCTTTCCTCCTCCGTAACCTCTACTACTGCCGCCTCCACCACCTTCACCCGCCCCAGTCCCTCCGGCGGAGCCACCACCGTCCAACACCACATCCTCCTGAAGATGCCTGCCGTCGGCTATGGCGGCCATCAGCACCGCCGCCACTACCACCGCCACCACCAGAAACCCTAGGCTTCTCAAACCCTTCCCCATCTTCACTCAGGAGAGAACAACAGAGCAGAAGGAGAGGTTCTCTGTACCGAGGTGGTGGTGGGCAGCAGCCACGGGGGTTCTTCTTATAGGGCAGATCTCCCTTCCCCCTCGAGTCCAAGCCAACCCCTGCAATCAATCCATTTCATTGTGGGTCCGAAGAGGAGGGCGATACGTCCATGGCTCTGCGAGCTCCAAAAGTCCACGAGTCCTGACCTTCCTCTCTCTCTCTCTCTCTCTCTGCGCCTGTCCTACTATCTTTGCGCTCTGCGACTCTCCAGGTTACCCGTCTAAATCCATGCAGTTGCGTGCATGGATTTCCTTCTTACGTGATCGGCGTTCGGTGTTGCATCGTCAGCAAGACGCCACCGTGATTTCACTCCCCCACTCGGCTTTATCGACCGACCCACCGGCGGGCTCTGACTTTCTGTTCGATCAACCCCCATGATCATCCCCCTTCCCCCCTGTTCATCACCCTCTGTGAGCCCTAAAAGCCCGGGCATATACGGGTGTAGTTCGGACCTAAAAGATGAACTGAGAGGCGAAACCTCGTTCGTTTATTTCATGCCATACTCATAGCTTCATGCACTCTGCCCGCTACCAGAGATTATGGTGAAGCGTCGGGTCTTACATAGAGTAGTCTAGAGGCCGCCGCCGCCTCCTCCTCCACCTCCACCGCCACCCCCGCCTCCTCCGCCACCGCCTCCGCCTCCGCCGCCGCCACTACCACCTCCGTAACCCCAACCGGATCCACCAGTTCCACCTCCTCCTTTACCTCCACCACTGCCACCACCGCCACCCCCACCACCACCAGGGCCACCACCTCCCTTACTTCCTCCGGCGGCGCCACCACCCCCAACTCCGCCACCAGCACCTCCACCGCCTCCCTTCCCTCCTCCGACGGGGCCGCCACCCCCAACTCCGCCACCAGCACCTCCACCGCCTCCCTTCCCTCCTCCGACTGGGCCACCACCCCCAACTCCGCCACCAACACCGCCTCCCTTTCCTCCTCCGACGGCGCCACCACCCCCAACTCCGCCACCAGCGCCTCCACCGCCTCCCTTGCCTCCGCCGACGGGGCCACCACCCCCATATCCTCCACCAGCACCTCCACCGCCTCCCTTCCCTCCGCCGACGGGGCCACCACCCCCAATTCCGCCACCAACACCGCCTCCCTTTCCTCCTCTGACGGCGCCACCACCCCCAACTCCGCCACCAGCACCTCCACCGCCTCCCTTCCCTCCGTCGACGGGGCCACCACCCCCATATCCTCCACCAGCACCTCCACCGCCTCCCTCCCCTCCGCCGACGGGGCCACCACCCCCAATCCTCCACCAGCACCTCCTCCGACGGGGCCACCACCCCCAGCTCCGGCACACGGGGCCACCACCCCCAACTCCGCCACCAGCAACCTCCACCGCCTCCCTTCCTCCTCCGACGGGGCCACCACCCCCAACTCCGCCACCAGCACCTCCACCGCCTCCCTCCCCTCCGCCGACGGCGCCACCACCCCCAGATCCTCCACCAGCAGCTCCACCGCCTCCTTTCCTCCTCCGACGGCGCCACCACCCCAACTCCGCCACCAGCACCTCCCGCCTCCCTTCCCTCCTCCGACGGGGCCACCACCCCCAACTCCGCCACCAACACCGCCTCCCTTCCCTCCGCCGACGGGGCCACCACCCCCAACTCCGCCACCAACACCGCCTCCCTTCCCTCCGCCGACGGGGCCACCACCCCCATATCCTCCGCCAGCACCTCCACCACCTCCCTTCCCTCCTCCGACGGGGCCACCACCCCCAGCACCTCCACCGCCTCCCTTCCCTCCGCCGACGGGGCCACCACCCCCAGCTCCGCCACTAGCACCTTCGTCGCTTCCCGACCCTCCTCCGACGGGGCCACCACCCCCATATCCACGACCAGCACCTCCACCACCTCCCTTTCCTCCTCCGACAGCGCCACCACCGGCACCACCCCCAGCTCCGCCACTGGAACCCCCACCAACTCCCTTTCCTCCTCCAGGGCCGCCACCAGCGCCACTGCCAGCTCCACCACCTGCACCATCACTAGCTCCTACTCCACCAGTAGCGCCACCAAGGCTCCCATCCAAGGTTACGTCCTTCTCAAGACGCCGGCCGTCGGCAACGGTGGCCATCAGTGTTGCCACCGCGACCAACCCCACGAGCAGCCCCAAGCGCTTCCACATCTTCTTTCAGAAGAGAACTACAAGTAGTAGAAAGACGAAGAGCTGATGCTTCATGTCGACAAGATGGTGGACGAGGGCCCTTCTTATAGGTCGAGTCCTCGCTTGGAGTAGGTGGATTCTTCGCTGATAGTTCAGTTCTTCACCACACATCCTCTCTCTCTCTTGATTGCAGCTATCCTCTGCTTCCATGACGTTTCGACAGCTTCCCACTTCTCTCTCTCTTCATGGCAGCTGTCCTAGGCTCCCAACTACGCCCTGACATTCTTCTCCTCAGCTTCTCCCTGTTTGCATGAACTCCTATCCTTCGTTATCCATCCACCTGCATGAATGAACGCCCTTCATACCTTAGCCAATGTACTCTTCTCCTCATAAGATTGACCTCTCCGTCCTTGAAGAGAGAGAGAGAGAGTGACACCTTTCCCTTCGGCCTTGACACGTTCATGTGAATGAACGCGTGTGACCAGAGCTATTCTGAAGCTCTGCCTTTCTCACGGAGTCGGAGTCCTTCGGGTTCCTTCTCTCGTGGACATCTGAAGCACCCCCCAGGAGGGTGTCTGTCTGAGGGAGGCTATTTGATCAGAGTTACCTGCCGGGCCCAGCTGCACAAAATCTTACGAACAGAGAATGGCGGCTGTTTAACGGAGAGACTAGTAGGTTGGTAAATCCCGTCGGCACTTGGGAAATAGAGAGAGATCTGACCTCTTACACGTTATCCCCTAGTCAATGTTGGTGAGTGAGAGAGTTGCTGAAGTCGGGGTACCTGGGAAATGGGTAGAAGTTTGGCTTTCTTGGACCTTTGCCGGTGTAGAGACGGAAAAGTCATAGACGGTACTCTCTCACGGGTCAAGATCAGTGGTTTCCAAGATCGTGGTTATTGATTTTCCTTGAAATCTGTAGTCCGGATAGTTTATTGTGCGAGAGTTGAGTAGACGTTAGAAAAGTATTGAGCCCAGTGTAAAGTAAATATAATCAATTTTGTAGAATTTTTTTTCTTGTTTTTTAATAAGTAATGGGGAACATAATCTTCTAGATTCAAGGAATGTGGCATTACATTATAAACCCTATTTTTATATTATAATCATCGAGAAATATAATCATTAAATGTGTGATGCGTTGTTACATTATTTCATTCATCCAATGTTTCTTCCTAAATGGAGGTTTACATATTTTTTATTATTTTTCATTATTTGGGTTGATCTAGTTACTTATAGTGAACTAGAGCATCATCCTTTCATACTAAAAAAGAGAAGTTAGTACAGTAGATTTCATGCTGACTTGAAACAAAAGGCATTCTATTAGGGTTTGGTCCTTCTCATTGGTCCTCAGATTGAACAAGCTGGGTTACCAAAAGTAACAAAGTTTAGAGTTACCAAAAGTCCTAAGTAAATAATTTTGGATTTCTAGTTTTAAGATTGAAGAAAAAAAATTAACAAGTAAAAAACATATCATTTTTTGTTTTTAGATATAATTCATCTTAAATTTTGAATTTTTTTGAATTTAATTATGTATTTATATTTACATCCATGAATGACCCTATAGACCCTTTTTGTAATAGAAACCACAAGTTTTCTAAATTGAACACAACACTTTCACTACCTTTTAAATGTCAAACCTACATCTATTGTCTATTTGTGCTTATATAGTTGATGAAGGCAAAATAGATAGAATTTTAAAGTAATATTTTATATTGAGAAAATTATTTTGAGGACTTAGAAGACAGATTGGAACAATATTTATATTAGAAAAGGTCCCATGTGATTTCAGGACTGATTGTAGGACCTAGAGTATCTCTTTATTTTTATAAGAAATGAGTTGACTTTTATTCAACTCACTCATATGAGTTTTACACACTCATTGTGAGAAAAACACTATATAAAGGTAATATGGTGACTTTGTGTCAAGCCTTTTTCTACTCTAATCTCTTCGATAACCTCATACGTGAGTTGACTTACTACAAAAAAACTCAATGCAATTTTCATTTAAAAAAAAGATTGAATCATTAAGGAAGAACAAGCCTTAAATTTGAAGAAACAATATATAAGGGTAAAATGGGAATTCTCATGTTAAAAAATCGAACATATTTGAAACTCTTGATTACATAAAAATGTTCTAATTTAGATCATGAGAAATTATTATAATTTTTTGTATATAATCTTCATGAAATATTTCTATTTATTCTTCATAGTTAGAAGTTAGTAGACTCATATATAGAAAAAACGAATCAAGAGGTGTTATACTACAATTACAAAATAAGAAAATGACAAAAAGCTAATGGTCCAAAGCTAATAGATGGAGTGAACCCAAGCCATTGGGTGATTATTTAATTGGTATAATCGTAAGAAATAAAAAATAATTCTATATAAGATCATTCTCACCAACACCATAAGTGAGGAAAAATGATTCAAGTATTTTTCTGTAAAGCATTCAAACACCACACTACAAGATGTTTCTGCATTTCTTCGATGTGGAATCTACATTATTGGAAGTTATAAGTTGAATTGCAAAAATATTTACTCGGCATTGATTTGTATTTCAACACTTTTAGTGCTCTAGTTAGCCTAAGACTATAAATCTAGAAGATATTTGTTAGGTACTAATATGCTTGGCCCTCTAGAACTGCAAAATTAAATTGAAGCTAAACTAAACTCTTAGAATTTAATATTTGTCCTATCTTGAGTTAGTAGTGCCCATAGATAGAGTCTTTAAAGAGTAGAGTAAGCAAGGTGTGCTAAACCATTATAAATTTTGGTTTCATTTTTAGAAAAGAATACTAGAAATTTAAGTGTGATTGAAAAAAGACCAATCCATCCCCTTCTTAGTTCCTCTAGCAAACTCCTTAGAACCAATAGTATTAACCTATCTCCTAATTATATTTTTATTATCTATAATTTTATGTCTATGTCTCTTATATTAGTTTTAATCATACCATTACATATGATGCCAAGAATATAAAAACCATTTGATGAAAAATAATTACAATTTCTTTTTAGTAATGAATAAATTTTTTAAAAAGGGTTTTATTTTTCATGTGTCAATCATTTATCAGATACCCTAAACACTTTTGATGATTAAAAAAATAGAAGTTCATTTTCTAATTTTTATTTGAATAATAAAATGCTTATTCATTCCTTTCTAATCCTCTAATTGTGGGATCTAGAAGTCATGATTTGATTTGCATCTCTACTTATTTTACAAGTTTTAGATAGTTTCGATTTATACAACTAATGTTCGTGCAATAATCTTCCTCATGCAAACACACTATGCATAGTAATATGGGATTAAAAATCTAGAGTAGATAATAATAGGGCAGCACAAGAACGACATACGGTCAGCACTGTATTGTACTATATTGAGATGTGATGCCCAAGTTATTTCATTAGACTACTAGATATCTTGGAAATACGGGCTTTGGGACGATCTTCCCATGATATAGACCCAGTAGCCCATTGCAGGGCAAGCCTAGTCTAGTGGGGCCAGTCTTGCAGTCTGGACATTCCTCCTAGCCAGAAGGGGTAGCTGGGTCTCGGCTTTGGCCAGGAGAGATTCGGCCAATCCTCTTCTCAGAAGAGAACAATGGATGGTAGTTGACCGTCAGATAAAGTGGATCAAACCCATGATTATTAATCTGTGAAGATCATAAGAACAGAGGATGAAGGTAGAGAACGGTCGGAAGAACCAGTCGCAGTGGTATTCCTTTCTTGCCTGGGTTGGATGGAGGATCAATTGTGCTTGTCCCTCGTAGTACAGCGGGGGGTAAGAATATACCCTCCACCCCTTCCTTCTCCGGTGTTCATCACCCCACCCCATTAAAGAACCCCAAAAACCCTCCTTCTCAATCTGTCTCTCTCTCCTCTCTCTCTCTCTCTCTCTCTCTCTCTCTCTCTCTCTCGGCAAGCGACGCGGGGAGATGTACAAGCAGAGGCTACATGAGCTGTGCCAGAAGAAACAGTGGGCAAAACCACTGTACACGAGCTCCTGGATCGGGCCGGACCACATCCCTCGCTTCCAGGCCTCCGTCACCGTCAATGGGGTCACCTTCGACGGGCCAAAGGATGTGCTCTTCGGGACGCAGAGGGAGGCCCAGAACGGGGCCGCCCGCCTCGCCGTCGACGAGCTCGTTTCGTCCTCCTCCGCGGCGGTGACGGCGGCGCCACCGTCTCCGAGGCCACTAGCGGAGCCTTCGTGTAAGCACCGTCGAATTCGCGTGTTGTTTCTTCCAAAATCTCGTCAGTTTGGCGCGTCTCATTCTATTTAAACAGTTCTGGAGTGATCTGAGGGGCCGATGATCGTGCTACCTCCTCCGATCCTTGTTCACTGTTTGTATAGTTGTTGAATATCTGTGAAATTCTTTGGTGAAGTTAGTCATCGATCGATGGGTACGAACCCTGTTGTATATAGTCTCAAATGGGTAATGTACTATGATTTCCACTTCCATCTTTGATCTGCAATAGCCCACGATCTGATCTTTACCAATTCGTCGAAGAGGATTCAACATGACCCACTGGAATTAGCATTAATTTTTTATAGTCCTCTTGAATTAGTATCTCTTATTTCTGTATAACTCAGCATCCAGTTCATGTTTTGGTGCGATCTCCGATTTCTGTAGCCTCTTCTCCTGAGAAGCTTGAGGTGGACGAAAACCCATCGAGGAATGAAGAATTGAAAAATCTTGGGCCTGATGTGGTTGCCTTAAACACGGATGAATCAGGTAGAATTTCTCGATCATGTTCCTAAGATGCTAATTCTATCATAGGGGCCAATTATAACGCTGGATTTCTGCTACTCTGCTCAGTTTTGATGTGATCCTCGATTTATGTAGGATCTTCACCTGAGAAGCTTGAGGTGGATGAAAACCCATCGAGGAATGGAGAATCAAAAAAATTCGGGCCTGAAATGGCTGCCTTAAACATGGATGAAAGTGGTATAATTTCGCAATCATGTTTCTAAGATGCTGATTCTAACATAGGGACTATTTTTGTAACTATAAATCGAATAATGTCATTCATATTTTGGAAACTCAAGTTTCTACATGATTTAGTGGTACACAGTTGACCTTTGAGTCAACTTGCCAGTTTTGTTTTTGGATGTATGCATATGCTGCTATAGTTGCAATATACAGAATTCATTCCATATTCGGTGGGCTTTAAGCAATCCTTGGTTCAATTTCGGTGCATTATTTTGATTTATGCAGGCTCTTTGGATGCAAAAACTGAGATTGATACAAACCCATCTAGGAGTATAGATTCGAAAGGTGATGAATCAGATCTACTCCCCTCGAACATGAATGTAATTGATGCAATTCTTTACGATGATTCTATCTTATGCATTATATTATTCTCAATATCTGTTCGGGAATCTCATTGATACCTTGGAAACCCAATCTCTTACAATTATATATCTCACAACTTAAGTGAGGTCTTAGACAGGCCACTTTTCTCTTCCAACCTAATTCACCACCCAACCAACAGTCAAAGGGTAGGGATTATGCTCAGAGTCAACTATATCAACTGATATATATATATATATATATATCAACTGTATAGATAATTTTTTAATCGAGTTTTTTGATGTAGAAATCCAACACATGTACAAGGGTCTGCTTCAGAATTATGCTCAGAGGCGAGGCTTGGGCATGCCGGCATATGACAACGAGTCTATGGGCATGGATCAAGCTACTTGCTTCAAAGCCTCAGTCACAGTCGGTGGGCAGACCTTCAAAAGCCCACAGTTCTTCAGCTTGCTGAAAGATGCAGAACATGCAGCTGCAAAGGTCGCTATGGAGTTTTTTCTCCCAGAAGGAAATCTAGAGGCAATGCTCCTTTCTGTTCTTAGTTTCATATAATGAGTTTTATATTTTGATCTATTTACATGTTTTAAATCTTAGTTTTCTTCAGAAATAACTTGGAAGTAGGGAGGAACCTGGACGAAAATATAAAACTTTACTAAACCTAAGTGGGAGCATTCTTCAATGACAACTACTAGCTTTGCTATCAATGCACGAAATTGAAAATCTTTTAAAAATATGAAACACATCTTTTATTTATTTTTCCTGAGAATTTTTCCGTCTCTCATAAGCTTGAATAAAACGTGATGAAATTGTTAAACTTTAGTTGAACTAAATGGGAGCATTCTTCAAGTAGAACTAAGAACTGTGGCATCGACGCATGAACTAGAAAATCATCTGAAAGAAATTAAATCTGTTTCAATGTTGCCGATAATTTTCTATTGCCCAAAAACTTGGAAAAATTAAGACCCATGTTTCCCTGTTGTTCTTTCTTTCCATCAGAAGAAATTGGTTTTATAGAAACAAAAAGCCTTCATGTCAGTTCTTGGTAAGGATTTCTGGTATGGATTGCTCAATTCATTCAATATATCTTGGTTTAAAGATGGGAAAATTAATTAAAGATAACTCAGGGTGCCACCTATTTTTTTTCTGTTCTACAGGAGGAGGGGAGGTTCTATAAGAATCTCCTATGCGAGATGACACAGAAAGAGGGCCTTGCCTTGCCGGTCTACGACACAGTCAGCGATGGCCCTTCTCACATGCCCACCTTTGCCTCCAGAGTTGAAATCGAAGGCGAGAGGTTCCAAGGCAGTGTTATGAAGACCAAGAAGCAAGCAGAGGACGATGCTGCGAAGGTTGCATGGACGAGGCTCAGAGAACGTAAAATGGCTGGATAAGCACCTCTTCTACCTCGTGATTTAAGATTTATTTCTTCCTCTTTTTTTCACTTTGGTTTGATTTATATGCTTCTGGAATTAGAGGACTCGGCGTGCCTCTTTTTCAGAGTCGTAACTCTACTCGGGCCCAGAGACGACCCTGGAAAATGGGGTAAACTGAGATAGATAAGTAGGTCCATAGATAGATAGATAGATAGAGAGATACATATATATATATATATATATATATAGAGAGAGAGAGAGAGAGGACTGTCATTAGCCCATTGACAATCACCTCAATTTTCAACCTCATCGTCTGAACTGTTTGGATATATAATCTTTTTAATCTTGAAAGATAAGCATGATATTTTGGGACTTTGATGTTATCTGTCTGGCCGAATCTTTTGGAGACCTGACTACTGAAAATCTTACTCCCTGGGATAATTTTGAGAAATTAAACTTTGAACTGTATGCCCATCTAAACTTTTTGATCTTGGCATTAAGATAATTTGAGAAATTCATTTCGATTTTTTCCATATAATCTCATTGGTCTTGGAAGTCAACCATGACATCGAGCTATTTTGATGCTAATTTTTCTTCTGGGTCCTAAAATTTATGAAACCTTTTTTTTGCACGATAAATTTGATGATAATAGTTCATATGGTTGCTAGAAATAAAAATAAAAATAAAAAATAAATCCGGCATTTGGATTGACTAATCAAGTATCATTCTCTTTCAGGTAAACTGAGCAGGTTCACCAGCGGGTTCTCCTCCAGGTTCCAAGTCATCAAAATCAATGATGTTTCTCCCTCCTTGCCTCCTCCTCTTCCCTCCCAGAGGGCTCATCAAGATGATCCCCTCTCAGGTGACGTGTTTTCTCTCCATTCCCATGAGAAACATGCAAAGCCCTCAATCTGGTCAACCCTCGAAGAGGGTTTCTTTCGATCATATGGTTTCTTCCTCCCCGGTAAGAGAGGGGATCGCTACTTCTTCTTTTTTTAACTAAAAGCTCTCTGCTTGGGATCAGATGATGCAGCCCAGAGAAAGAACCAGAGTGATCCCCCGGGTGGCGCTGACATTTCCAATTCCAGCAAACTGGCGGAGGAAATCGGCGGCGGCGGTGAACCAGTGCCGGGTTCATATGGGAGGAGGGAGCCTTCGTCGCCGCGCTCTCGTGGGGACGACGAGATCTCCTCGGCCTCAGCCTCTGTACAGGGGAAATATGAATTCACTGCGAGTGAGGAGGAGAGCTCCACATCGGCCATCAGGGTCATCGTCTGCCCTAGAAAAAACAACTCCCAGTTGCCTGCGGGCGCCAGGCTGCTGCCTTTCAGTGACGATATGTGGATGGCTGTGAGGATCGAATGACTGTGATCTTGGCTTCTCATGTTTTCTCTCTCTCTCTCTCAAGTTCTTCCTTGACTTCGGCCGCGTCACTTTCCCTGCTCTTTTCTCTCTCTTCCTCTTACTCTCTCGTCCTTGAGAAATCGGTCGACAAATTTTCCGAGCAAGAAGTAAAAAAGGAGTAGCATCTCCCTTCCTGTACAGAGAACACCGACCTTAAAGTCAACGGCTCCACAGAAAACACAACCGGCATCCGAACACTGGACAAATAATTATGTCAACACATGGAAAAGTCAACCCCAAGCGATATGAACATCGTCATAGAACCCCCGTAGAGAAGGATACAGCAGCAGCAATAGAGATGATGGGCTAGTGGGCGAGCTTGAAATACAGAATCAAAATAATGGCGAAAACCAGAGATGTGATCACGGAGCCCATGATCCACTTGTTCCTACTCATCCGCCTGGACATGGCGGTCAGAATCTTCCTGCTCTTCCCGATGTTGTCGTCCACCCCGTGTAGCTGCAAGAGCAGGCACAATGATTTCCTGGTCAACGTTTGATCCTCATGATTTGTATTCTAATAGCATCTTGTTATTTGTTTATTTCCATTAATCTGCATTTTTGGTTTTTTTCAAAAAAAGGAGTCTTCACGGGTAATAATTAGTAAAACAAACGGAAATGATTCCGTTGACCTGCAGCATATTCTTCTCCGTTGAACTGATGCTCCTCGAGGTCAAGCATCTTGTGCATGAGCAACTCGATTATAGAAAAAACATTGTTCTATTTTAATAGTTCTCAGCACCTTGAAATGAGATTATTTTCATTATTCTGCGTATGTTTTGGGGGAAAAAGCAAAAAAAAAGAGAGGGGAGGGGGGATGGACGCCTTCGCCGCCAATCATTACTATAAAAAGAAGAAAGGGAATTGAGAGGTAAAGCAAACCGTGTTATGAGCATGCAAGAGAGATTGACGCTGCTGATGGAGGTCCTGGAGGATGGAGACACCCAGTTCTTCTGTCTCCAGCATGGTTCTTCGGCTCTCCTTGATCCTCTCACTGGACTGGTTCAGCCTTTCGGTGGACATCAACAGCCTTCCTCTCTGATCTGCAGACGCCTGCAAGAATTAAACCATCAATCATTTCACTAAACTAACATTGATCGTCAATGAACAGAAGAGTTACATCAATCCACAGAAAATTATCGCAAAATCATTGACCAGAAGAAAGCAGGCATCCTTGATAGTCATTCATGTCCGGCCATTTTCCTTCTACGGTAACTTGAAAGATAGACAAGGCAAGCCGCCCCGGACAAGCTCTTCTTGCCTCTGTTCTTGATATGCTGAGCTTGTCTAGCCTAGGAGCAGTAGATTCAGCAATTTCTAGTGAAGGGAATGACTCAGAAGGGATTTCCATATTAACAGTAGAGGGAAAGTTTCTGAGAAATCTAGCATCTACAGGGAGTTTCCCATACGAAGTTCTACAAAGGTACAATTAGGATGGTGATGAAGCCAAAAAAAAAGAAAGAAAGAAAGAAAGAAATGTGTTGCATGCCGGAGCTTAGCTCATCTACTAGATCTGCAATGGTCATACAACCTGGTAGCATGCAAAGAAGGCGATCGAGGGGCCAGGGAGAAGGAAAGGGATGGCAGATAGAAGAGATGAGGATCCTAATCTCTCATCATCCGGCCATCTTCAAGCAAGCAATCCATCAGCTGTTCTTAGAGGGAGAAATGTTTCCATAAGTTTCTCAAGTGGGAGCATGGATGCAGCTAAAATAACAGAAGGAATCTGATCTAATCCGGACCCTAGCCTTCTTTTATCTATTTCAGGAAATTCTCACGTTTTAATAGTAGTTTCTTACAGCAATCTTATCATCATAACCTAAGAAAACAATAAAATAGAAGCTGCAATGGGTCAGGGGTAGGCCCAAAGGAGGAAGAAGACCCATGTCAAGTTTTTCAGGCAAGACGTCTCACTAGAGGCAACCCTAAGCATCAGTGAGCAAAAGAAGCGTCATAACTAAAACCCTAAACTAGCTCCTGCTACCCTGTCCGAGACGCAGAAGAAGAGGCTCAAACAGCATCTCAATGGTTTGGTGGACCCAATGAAGAAGACGCTCAAAAAGATTATAGGGATGAGAGTGTGAGCATACCATCAGTGTATCTGCCATCCCCGACTCCAGTAGCTCCTCACGAACACTTTGATTAGGGTTTGGGGACGTGATCTTCTTCACTTCGCCTTTCAAGCTGTTGAGATCGGACTTATATTCCCTCAGCTTGGCAAGAAGCATGGCCTTCAAGCTGGGCTGCAGACTCCGCGCCTCCAGGTCCATTTTCCGGATCTAAAGCACGCATTCCGACAGAGAAACGTGAGGCGTCAGCAAGCGGTGGAGGGAAGAATATGTGATGATACGATAGGCGTCGAAGCAGATACCAAAGCTTCGGCGTCCTCCAATCCAGTCTTGATCTCGGACACTTTCTGTTTCTTCTGTTCTGAAGAAATGAAGACGGAACGGATTTCAGGGTGCGGAGCATGATCAGATAAATATGCACAACCAATTGCCGCGCCTATTGCGCCAATTTCTCATGAAGGACAGCAAATCCGCCAAGTATCCCGGGCGAGACCCGCTTCCAGACGCAGGTAACAGGTTGAGGCCACATTACCCCCATCAAGAAGGCCGGCGGACGTGCACTTCTTGAAGAGAGATGCTGAGAGCTCGCAGTACTGGCGCTCGTACCCTTCGAAAACCTCACTCATCGCTCCGGTACGGGGAACAATCGTCGTTCAGCGTGATCGCCCCGCCGCCTCCTGCAGTGAAGCAGCAGATTCAAACGATTAGACGAATCGTTCCTGCGAAGAAACCGATTTCAGCCGAGCCACCGTTCACCCGCGACGAAGAGATCCACCCAATTCATCCCGAAGCATTGACAGAGAGAGCAGACCCGAATCATCCAACAATAATTTGGGAAAAAAAACCGCGAATTCAGCAAACATCATCGACCTCTAGGTTCTTTCCAGATTCCGCAAAGCAAAGCATTATCAGCGATACGGCCGCAATTACAAAGATGAGAAGGGTAGGTTTGGGGCAAGAGGAGGAATCGATGAAGCCAAAGAAACATGGGTAGGGGGGACGTCTCTCCCTCACCTCTGATCCTCCTCCTCGATCGCGGCGAGGCTCCGACGAATGCTGTTGGGGAAGACGAGGAAAAGATGAAACTTAAGATGAAACGAGCGAAGAGAACAAGAAGGGGACGTGCCACCTGGGACGATTCTACCCTCCGGAGCCCCGACCACGTACTTGGCGGGCCCACACGTCGGCCGACAAAGTATTCCAGAAAATACGTTTATTTTTATGACGTCAGGTCAGACTTTACAATAAGTCAAACCAATTATTTTTAATAAAAAAATTAATTAATGACATTTATTCTGCATATAAAATTTTCATTAAATATAAAATATAGGTGACTCCACATATCAATATAAATCATGTTTGTGATTATTTTGAATATGAAATAAATAAATAAATATACAATTTCTTCTCAATAACCACGAGGTCAAGTCATATTTTACAAAAGTCAAATCAAATATTTTGAATACTTAACTATTGAATCTTTTATTCTTCGTATAAATACTGTTGACTACTTAAATCTGTCATATAAATAGCCCCGCTCATGGATCTAACATTATTTAATATAAATAAATACACATAATTTGGTACCCCTTAATTATGACATCAGGTCATAATTTGAATATGAAATAAATAAATGATTTATCATCAATAATTCTCCCTTTTTAGGTACTATAAACCCAAAAAAATAATAGACTAATTATTTTATTTTTAGAAGAAAGACGATCTAGAATGATCTAGTGGCTCTACCTAGCAGCCCCCGTTGACGGGCTGAGCTATACCTTGAGCCTCTAGAAGGCCCGTAGTGGGCCTAAGAGTAAAGGCCCATAGCCCATTATCTCTAGGCAGCCCGGTCCATTAACCTCTACATACCAGCCAAACTATTAAAAAGGCAGATTTTCTTTTTCTTTTTTTTATTCATCTTCTAGATATATATATATATATATTAATCAGCAGAGCATATCCTCCATCCTTCTTCTTCGCCATGGAGGTCAGCGCGGGGAGGGAGTTTCAGGGTGGGATCGACGGTCGACGGGGGAAGGGTTGACGAGGACGTCGAAGTCGCTGAGAGTCCACTCGGCGGTCTCCTCCCCGCCGCTGATGAAGATCTCGGTCCCGACGTCGATGGAGCTCCACCTCCTCCTCGCCGGAGGCGTGCCAGGGTCCTGCAGAGAGAGATAGAGAAAGGTTCCTCAACTCATCAGCGGCGGCGATCGGCGGCGATCGGCGGCGAGGAGGATCACTGGCCTGGTAGAAGTAGAGACGGTCGGAGAGGCGGCCGGTGTCGAGCTCCCAGGCCCTGGGGTCCCCGATCCAGCCCTCGCCGGCGGCAGACGGGTAGCCGTAGGGTTTCCAGGCGGGATGCGGTCGGATCTGGACGAGCTCCTGCGGCTGGGGGTTGCTGTAGGGGTCGCAGAGGCTGTACGGGGCCTCCAGATGCTCGGCGTTGCCGGGGGCGCAGTAGTAGTGGTAAGCGGCGTAGGGGAAGGCGGCGGCGTCGCTCCGGTGGATCTTCCTCCCCCGGTCGTCGATGTGGAAGGGCGGGCAATTCTGCAGGCTCGAGGGGCTACACCAGGCTGGGATTGCGGGGTTGATGATCATCTCGCTGTACCTGGTCACGTCGGTGGCGGCTTCGCCGTCGCAGTCGCCGCCGTCGTTCTTCCAGCAGCCGCCGATGTCCAGCAGGTAGAATTGGCTCCTGGGGCCGCCCCCTCGCTTGACCTCCAGACGCAGCCTGACTATGAAGTTTGGCGACTCTGGCACCTGCAACCGGCGGCGACGGCAGCGGTGTATTAGGAGTTTGATGTCGCCGGAGCTCCGATTCCAGCCACCCGGAAGGAACTAAATGGCGGAGGTGGAGTAGGGCTTGCAGATCTCCGGAGCTCTGACTCCAGCCGGCCGGAAGAAGCCTAGCGGTGGAGGTGGATTTGGGCTTTCAGATCACCGGAGCTCCGATTCCAGCCGGTCGGAAGAAGCTTAATGGCGGAGGTGGTGGTGGTGGAGGAGCTTACGGTCTTCAACATCCCTCTGGTCTCGTAATGGTAGCCGCCGGAGAAGCCCCTGGTGGCGTCGGCCCTGAGGTAGAGCATCAGCCATGGGTACCTGCTGTTCGTCCTCAGCATGTGGCGGAAGACCCACCCGCCCTCCGCCACCGTCTTCTCCCAGGTTACCTCGAAGGAGGAGGAGGAGGAGGAGGAGTTGCCGTCGAGGTCGTAAGTCCCCCGGAAGCCCCCTCTCATCACCTGATCGGAGAGGGAGGTTCGCCGCAGCTCCAGGAGGGGCTGGTTCATGCAGCCCGCCCCGAAGCAGGGGAACCTCGCCGACTGCTGGAATGGCGCCGCCGGCCGGCCGTTCGCCGGGCAGCGGCCGGAGCTCGTGTCGAAGTTGCCGTTCTTCACCATCACCATCCAGAACTGCCATGGATCTGGAGCTTCTCCTCCGACCTCGCACAGAGAGCCCAGGTACAGCTCCTTCTCCACCGCGTACAGATCCGGGTCGCCGCCCGCCGCCGCGCTCCGGCCGGGGAACGGAGCTCCCCCCCCGAGCTTGTTGTCCTCCTCCGTCACCCTGTGCTGCAGCGACCCACCTGAAACCAGTTGCAGACGGCGGCTGAGGACCAGTTTTCCGAACCAGAAAAGCTTCGATCGGAGAACAATGGCGGTCTGCTCCATCACCGGTGAGGTCGAAGCATTCCGCCGCCCTGGGGCTGCCCATGCCGGGGGCCTCCTCGCCCACCTCGTTGCAGAAGTTCCACCCCTCGAAGGCCACCCGCAGGCCGTCCCGCCTCATCCCCGGGTCCCCCGCCACGGAGACGTACGGCTCCGCCGCGGCTGCGCAGCCGCCGCAGAGGAGGCGCATTCCCAAGGCGAAGAGTAGCACGGCGGCGCCGCCACCTCCCCCCATGCGTGCCTCCGCCGGAGAGGAAGACGACATCGACGACGACGACGAACTAATTCAAAGAGTATAGCCCCGAAACCGTCCTCTGCTATGGTTGGCAGCTCCCCCGTCACGGGAGGGATGGACCAGCTGCTTGGCCATGCCAACCCACAAGAAGCTGGTTTTTTTAGAAATGTAGGTGTCAGCAAATCATTTAATTATAAAAAATATACTGCCAAACAATACCCTCCAATTTTCAATCAATTATTTTCTGTATAATTATTTTTACTTCCAACTAACTTACCTACATGGAAGTTGCTCTATGTCCTTATATTTATTGATGATTGCATTTTTAAAATCACTAAATTTACTGAAAATAAATACTCATTTAAGTTCGCAGAAAATGTTGTAATGTTTTATATTAAAAAATAAATTCAAATTAATAATGAATAATTCACATTAATACAGTAATTTTGAGGATTGATAGTTAGATAAATAGAGGATTGATTATTAAGTAAAACATATAATTTTGAGGGGCCTGCTGAGATTCCAGCCGTTGTGTTCCCGCTATTGATGTATCCCCCCGATTGCCCTTGCAGGTCCAGTCTTAGCGAGGAGGTGGCTAAAGGATGGGTGGCGGCGTGGGGGATTGGCCATGGCGACCGGAAGAAAGGTCCTCCCCTCTGTTGGCTCTTCTGCCGGAAGGAAAGCAGGAGCTCCAGATGCCGATGGTTCCTACTGTCCGGCAGAAAGCGGCGGCGGCGGCGGCGATAAAAGCGCCGCCGGTGGTGAAGCCTTCAAATCGCGGTGCATTGAATTCTTAGAAGAGATGGTGAGACCCTCCTCCCACCAACCTCCCTCCCTTACCGCCGCAGCTCATTTGGGTTCCCTGAATTCCTCTTCTCTTTAGATGTGGTTGACAGTGATGGATCCGCAGAGAATATACCCGTCATGGTTCGAAGGAGGAAGGTGTCTGGGGGACAGTTAATGGTATCGCTTTTACAGTGCTGATTTTCCTGTGAGAGAAGAAAGCGAGTGCCTCACCTACCGCAGAGATTATAGCTGGCTTATCCACCTTACTGCCATGGGCATTCCGCTTGGAGATCCCTCATCTCTTTACAATAAAGCATGCTCCTGTTCTTATTTTGTGTAAGCGGTGGCTCATTTCTGGGGCAATTTGGCTGATTATTGCTTAGGGTTGACTCCCATCTGCTTCATTCTCTCGTTGATTAGCGTCTGCAATCACCTTAAGGAAGGAAACATTGATGCACAACCACATTAGCATTGTCCATTTCTTATTATTTTCATCATTTGCTTGGCGTAGCCATGGTTCATGCATTTCTGAACCCTTGCCTTGAAAGGGCGAATATCATAGCATGATCACTGTACATTACGGTCATGTATGTGAACATGTTATCATCATTTCTCGATTGTATCTTTGCAGAGTCCACTCTGCTTGAAGATTGTGCCAAGCGAGAACAATTTTGATATTTGATGTCTTACATAATTCATCATGAGTCTGCCGCCTTTGACTCACTGACAATTCCACTATCTTTCCAAGAGGGCGCCAGATGACTGACGGATCCGTTGGGTCACCTTCAGATGGACGCAAAGAACATAAATAGAGAGAATATAAGATATATCAGCAAGTTGAGGACTTTTCCATATCAAAAGCTTCGGAGTTCTTGCAGCAAGTGGTGAAAACGTTAAGGGAGTAGCATCTTCTCATCTGGATCCGAGTGCTTCCTAGGAGTTGGTATTGACTACAGAAACCACTTGCCTCTCTAGATTTAATAGAAATGGCATAGTTTTTTGGCCATAATATTCAGAACTATGTACTTTGTCTTATTTCATTTGTTGCCAAGTTAGAACATCGTTTTGCATTGAAATTTCATGATGCGTTTATGTGAAATAGCTGTCAAATCCATCCTGCTGAGTACCATATTCCTGATATTTACCTTATACTTTCTTTCTATATAATGATGGTCATTGGGTCTGCAGAATTACTAGCTGATCAATTCCTAACCTCTATATATTTAGAAAGGTGCAGTTTGAGGCCAAGACCATTCCTGAAAACCCTAATATCCACCAGCCTAACAGTTTGGTACCTCAGAGGGTACACCATTCCTGAAGTACATACATAAGAAGTGAAAGGGAATGAAGAGTGATACATGTGCTATGGGGTCAAGCAGCTTCTTTGCAAAAGAACCCAGAGAAAATATTTGAAAGAAAGATACACAAAAAAATCTCAGGAGAACTGGTGTGAGGATGAAGTCATGAAGATTATTCCTTTCTATAAAAATTATAGAATAATTGAATATACCCATTTTAGGGTTAAATATACTAACTCTAAAGAGTTAGTATAATACATGGAATGGGGCAGAACATAGTTGGCCCATTTACTCTAGACACCATCCCTGAAGACCCTAGGCCCATTAAGCATAATAGTACACACTTAACCGACAACTCTTAGGCTGGAGCGTAGATATCATATGCTCCAAGCTTGTAACAAATAGTAGTCACCTGGGAAGTATGTGAAGACTTTGTAAATATATTTTTCAAGTTAATTTTCAAATGTCATGTTAATAGTAGTGATGAGTTGAACTTAAATTTTTTCCTTAATGAAGTGACAATCAACTTTGATGTGTTTTTTCCTCTCATGAAAGACATGATTATATGCAATATTGATGGTTGCTTGATTATTAGATCAAAGTAAGGCCTAGATGAGAAAAGTTGAGTTCTTCTAGAAGATGTTGAATATATACAAAGCTCATATGTGGTGTGTGTCATAGGTCTATATTCACATCATGTAATAGATCTTGAGACCACAAATTATTTCTTGCTCTTCTAGGAAATAATATTACTATTTAGAAAAATGTAATAATTAACTGTAGATCTCCTGACTATACTATTTTCAGTCTAATAAGCATAAAAAACACCATAGATGGTAAGATGACCATAGTTATTGTACAATAACCCTTGACCTAGATTTTTTTGAGATATCCTAAAATTCGTATAACAAATACAAAATGCCCACCATGTGGTCACTCTATAAATAGACTTACAACACTTCTAGCAAATGAAATGTTTGGCCGAGTGAATGTTAAATAGTTAAGTTTACCAACTAAGCACCAATATCTCCTTGGATCATTTAATAGTTCTCCTTCAACATGAGATGTATTTAGGTTGCGATCTATAGGAGTAGTTGCAAGTTTGGTCCCTATCATTCTTGTTTCTTCAAGAAGATCAAGAGTAATTTTTTGTTGATTGATGACAAATTCTTTCTTAGAATAAGATAGTTTTATACAAAGATAAATTTTGAGGTTGTTTAGATCTTTAGTGATGAATTGTCCTTGCAAAAAGATCTCAGCTTGGATTTATCATCAAAATAATTGTCAATAGATGCACAATCTCAAATCTTCACTCCTCAACCTCTTTCCATCCCTACAATCTAAGAAGAAACAAGAGTAAACATGAATGTAACAAAAGAGGGCAAAAAAACCCTAATTCAATTCAAGAGTTTACATAAGGTTTGTACTTATATTGACCTAGTATTGAGAGATAGAGATGGAGAACCAATCCGATTGAAGTTGGACTAGTTAAAGTGCACTAATAATATGAAAGAGGAGAAATATATAAGAAGAACATTATATCAAAGAAACACGGCGGAAGAACATTGTCTCTCAAGTTGGAGAATGTATGTCATTCATTCCTAGTTTGAAAGTGAAATGAAAAAATATTTTGCTCTATAATTTTTTGGTGAATATCTTTATAACATGGTTAGTCATATGAACACTTGATGTGCCAATTAACTTATATTTAGTTTTTTTATATAAAATACATGTCAATCTTGATGTACTTGATTCTATCATGTTGAACATGATTATATACAATATTAACAGTTGACTTTTTGTCACAATAAAGCTTCATTAGTCCATCTCTTTTTATTTTCAAATCTTCCAATATGATGTTCAACCATAATACTTCACATATACCTTGTGTCATCACATGAAATTTAGCCTCTGAACTTGACTTCACGACTACACTTTATTTCTTACTTCTCCATATAATGAAGTTCCCTATGAGAAAGGTACAATATCTAGATGTCAATCTTCAATTTATCTAATGGGGTAATTTTCATTCTAATTGTCTAGTCTCAAAGGACTTCAAATATATATCTCATCTTGCTAATAATTTACACTTCTACCATCTTGAAGCTGGTTGACATTTGGAAAGTTTCTTGTTCTTAAACTTTGCTAAATCCTCATATACTTCTTTGAATCTAGTTGATCTAAGTTTTACACCATGAGTTGGTAAGACATAAAGATGACCTCACGCTGATGATCTATAAAATCTTATAAGGTGACATATACTTGAAGGTATCTCATGATTTGTAAATTAAGATATTTAATTTCACTTGCACCTATGCAAATAGCATTTTTTGTTTTATTCATTTAGAGAGACCTTGGTTAGCATGCATCATCTATATATGCAATATACCTTCAACCAAGTATGGCTTCATGGTATTTATGCTAGACAGTGTGACATTATGTCAGTTTGTTACCAATTATTTTTAGATAAATCATGCATATAATTACACACTTTCCTCCATACGATAATAATTTTCTCCCAATAATGGAGATGTTTGTGTCTATTAGCATCCCATAAATATGAGGTCTAGAGACATAAATATGTGTAATCTCTAAAACGATGAACATTATGATATTGTGAGCCCTCATCTTACTTTTGAGTTTCTTTGTACTTTGGTTGGTAAGGTCAAACACATAATTGAAAGATAGTTCTATCTTTTCTTGGGTCTCAAAAAATAATTCTTCTTGATGCACTATCAAAGCTATGTCATTATTGTTGTCAAGTGTCCTACTTCAAAGATGGACATAATTTGTAATTATTTTTTGCATTATATGATTTGGGGTATACTTGTCATCATAAGAAAAATATGGGCCATTGCTTGAATTTTTTATGTGTTGTGCTTGAATTTTAGATTCTATAAGGTTTAGGCATCTTCAAATAATAAGAGCTTGGTGATCGCTTGCAATGCCTAAAATGTCAACTTTAACATCCCATGCTCCCTAGTGGATGTTGAATGACTACTTTGGTATGAAGCTTTTGTCTTCAGTTCACTAGACAACCTTCATGATTGCCCTAAGTCTCAATTATCCCAAATGATATATTTCTGCATAAATGTCAAGCTTGATCCCTTTGACAAAGATGTCTTGAAAAATGTCATCAAAGAGGTTGTTTGATAGAGAACCACTCACTCACTATCAACGGCCCAAGAAGACATAGTGACCCAGCCCACCATGGCCAACCCTCATATAAGAGCTAGGGTAGCCACAAATAAAGGGCATGAAAGAACCAAGGTACATCAAGTGAATCCATTTCCCTTTCTCTGGCCTCCCTACCTCTCCCATGCTTGACCTCTCCTCTTCCCTCTCAGGTGTGCAATTGTCGGCCTCCTCTCTCCTCCAAACCACTGCAGACCAATCTTCGTCTTCCCCTTTCCCCTTCTTCTCTCTATTTGGCATGTCATACTCTTTCCTCCTTCCATCTGATGCTCTTGCACATCAGCCTTATCATTGTCTATGGCCCCTAACATGAGTCCAAAGTCACATTGATATTTTGCAATAGTGGCCCATTATTTGATGTTGAAAAGTTGATATTGTAGAGTGCCTTCCTAAGATGAGTCAAATTATTTGAGGAGTTGACATCAAAATTTTCATCAATCTTGAAATGGTTCTTGTGATTCAACTCAATATAATGAGGTTAAAGATTCATCTTCAAAGCATACAACAATCACAATAAGTTTATGGGTGATAAGTATGATGACTTGTCATTTGAGTTGGCTAGAGGGAAACCATGGGATCAACCACAATTGAGGAGAATCATGGAGGATCGAGCATGAGTCATCTCATCATAGCCTACTAAGGGTAAGGCAGAGCAGTTTCTGAGATGATTGACAATCTATTTAAGCTCTATCAACAATTCATGAGTGGTTTTCAATTGTTATCTTAGTAGCTATAGACATTGGTCTTTACAAGCTTCCATTTTAAGAAAGCGTGACAATTGATGTTCAATGGTCAAGAGACAACGAAATTCTTCTCATATCTCATATAATTCCTTCTTGATGCCATCAATGTGGTTCTCCTGACCTTTGAGAACCATTGCTCGATGAATAATAGTAGAGTAAAAAGGAATAAATCTGGCTAAGATACCAGATTGATAAGACCCTAGTTTTGTAACAATGTTCAATACTAAATGAATAATGATAATAACATACTTGTCGTGTGCGAATGCTTTAAGTTGCAAGAGAGATAGAATCACAATGATAAGTTACTATGAATGGCAATTAAAGAATTGACTAACTCTTAAAAATGGGGGGAATAATAGGATACTTATATTAGACTTGAATGGATGATTGAAGGTGAAAAACTTGATGGAAAAACACTCATTGGACACTAATCGACTCAAGAGTTTGGGGAAGAGGAAGAGGAGAGAGACAAAAAGAAACATAGTAAGGGCTCTTCGAATGACCTAACACTCTAGACTCTGCTTCATGACTTTCTTGTCTTTTCTTTGGAGAAAGAGGCTTCTTCTTATTAAAATAGTACTAATTTTATGTTCTCCATCTGTACACATTCTATGTTCTCGGCATGAGCTGTGGTCATACTGTTAAGGTGACCAAGTTCCACGGAGTAATCGTTGACTTTATTGTGGAATTGTTCTATCGTGTTACCTAGATGCTGGTGATACTCCGAATGGCCTAGGGGATCCACCACTCCCCTTGACCAATGATCTGAGTTGAATCATCCGACAGAGGACCGAAGTCAACTTCCCCATGCCCCCAAAGTAGAGAACACCATCAGATCAGCATCCTCGTCGTCGTTCGGCGAGTTTCTGATGAATCTTTCTGGTTTATGTAAAGGTCACGGGGCTGCGAAACCCCCCGTTGGAGGGCGGGGGGTCCGGCTGTCCGGCGGGCAGAGGCAGCAGATAGCCGTCGCGAGGGAACTGGTGGCGAAACCGAGGGGTCCTCAGTGGCGGCGCCGCTGGACTCGGCAGAGGAGCAGACGGTGGTGCAGGGGATTCTGGAGGTGGCGATGGGGAGAAGGACGACGATCCTCGTCATCGCTTACCGGCTGGCGGCGGTCAGAGGGCCGACCTCATCGGGGTGCAGAAGGACCTGGTCAACGTCGAGGGTGGCGTCTACGAGTCCCTCCTGACGCTTCACTCCGCCGCCGCCCCCCAATCTCTCTCTCTCGGAGCTTCAGAAGAGGACAAGACCAATGCAGGAGGAAGAGCAGGCCCTCTTCGTCGTCTCGGGTCGAGGAATTTTGTCTGAGATTTCTGCATGTGGCAGGCACCCCAGTACGTAGACTTTGGTGGATAGATAGAGAGTACGTGGTTCAGAGGAGGAGGGATAAAGAGAGAAAGAGAGAGAGAGAGAGAGAGAGAGGAGGGAGAAATTTTTCGTGGGACCTTTGCCCAGGAGAGCCCTTTCTGCTCAGACATTGGCAGATATGTCACGGAGGGGCGGAACGGGAGCGAGAGAGGGAGAGAGAGAGAGAGAGAGTTTTACAGGGCCTTTATCCAGGGCATTGGCATATGCATCACGGGCAGACCCACAAAAAATTTCGGAGATATGTAGCGAGAGAGAGATAGAGAGACGGAATCTCCATGGAGGGTGAGAGTGACAACACCATGAAAATGTCAGTACACTTCCCTTGTCTTTCACACAGAGAGAAGAGAGACAGAACAGAGAGACGAAAGAGAAGAGAGAGAGAGAGAGAGAGAGCGAATTTCCCAAAACACCGATTGAAGTGGTTGATTTGATCGAACCATGAAAATGCTCGTCGGTGGTCGCCGACGAGGGAGTGGATCTGCTTCCCTACAAGAACTCGTCTCCATCTCGGCAACTGCACATTCGTGCTCACCACCCGGCGGCGGGGAGATTCGTCCCACCGGGAGAGCAGCGGCGCCACCGAATAGTCCCCCCCCTTCCCGTTGTGTCCTCTTCCGGCGGTCTCCTTCATGCGCACATGCCGCCGCCAACTCCGTTGGCTGGGTCGCCGGCCCTTCACTCCCGGGCTACAGAGATCCTCTCACTTCCCATCCACCCACCTCCATTATTCGATCAAATCTCTAGGTTTTCAACTACCATGGTTGCTGGGTCGCTTTTTCTTCCTGTATAGACCAGAGCGAGAGAGAGAGTATTCCTGTTCTGGGCCATGGTTGAATGGAGACAGGAGCAAGGAGAAGAGACAAAGGCGGGTGGGGTTAGCCATGGCGGATGGGCCCCACCGTCCTCATCCATGTCTCGTGCTGGGGGGTCTTCTGAAAAAGCCTCCTCCCCCGAGAATAGAAAAGTCTCCGGCTCTGATCTCGGAGAAGATTCCCGGGGGATTGATTAATGTGGGTGTTCCCTTAATGGGTTCTCTGGCAGAGAGAGAAAGCTTGAGTAAGAGAGAGAGAGAGAGGGAGGGAGAGAGATAGAGATTAAAAAGAAGGCCGCCGCTTATGGGTTTCTCCGAGGAGGAAGATCGGAGGTGTGCGTGGATGGGAGTAATGGCGGATGAGACTCAGAAGCCACTCGCCATTAAATGAGAAAGGAGAAGAGGAGAAGTCCCCACATGCGTCCAACCTGGCATCGCCTCTTCTCTCTCTTAAATTTTCTCTCTTCAGGTTTCTCCTGAGACCACCTCCTCCTCATCGTCCACCTCCATCGAGAACCGGGGGTGGGTCTGGATTGATCGGCCAACTCCGGGCTGGTGGAGAGGAGTTCGCAATGAAGCGGGAGGCGGCGCCGGCGGCACCACCTGGCCGCGCCGGAGCGGCAGAGAAGACCACCAGGAAGAGCCCTGCGCCGGCGGCGAAGGCGGCAACGGCGAGAGCCAAGCCGGCGCCGCCGCCGGAGACGAATCTCCACCAGGGCTCCAGAAGGTCGTCCATATTCGCCAGCCGGGTCAGCCCCGCCGAGTTCCTCGGCCGCTCCCGGAGCAGCGGCGGCGGCAGCGTCGCCTCCACCGCCGAGCAGCTCGCCCCCCTGCGGCGGAGGCCCGGGGAGGACCCGACGAAGAAGAAGGAACGGGCGGCGGCGGCGGCGGCGGCGGAGTTGCAGAGGAAGCTCGACGAGGGGGAGAGCCTCGTGAGGGAGCTGCGGTCGGAGGTCTCGGCGCTGAAGGCCCAGCTGGAGAACCTCCTGTTGGTCAACGCGGAGCTCGAGTTGCAGAAGAAGCAGCTCGCCGAGGACCTCTCCGCTGCCCATCTGAAGATATCATACCCCGCCGGAGCCGACGAGCAGAAGGTAGCCCGGGGAAAGTCAAACCTCTTCTTCTTCTTCCCCAAATTCGGTTCATCCCTCCACCTAATGATGCTTCACGAATGCAGAGATCAGAGCAGTCTCCCGCCGGCGAACCAGAACCAAAGTCGTCGCCGCCGCCGCCTCCTCCTCCCCCGCCGCCGCCCCCGTCTTCGCTTCCCCGGCTTTCCCCAATCCGGCAAGGGCCCACTCCCAAATCCGAAAACATGCGGAAATCAGCGTCCTTGGTCGAATTCTACCACTCACTGGCCAGGCACAGCCGGGACGGCGGTGGCGGCGGCGGCGGCAGCGGTCGCTCCGCCGATGCTCGTGTCAGCATCGTCGGAGAGCTTCAGAACCGGTCGGCCCACCTTCTAGCCGTAAGCATCAACCCCTACCCCCGCTCTCTCTCTCCCTCGGCGTTGACTTATGGTGGCGGCGACGGCGGCGGCGGCGAGAATCAGCTGGTTGGTTGGTGCTTTTCTTCTGCAGATCAGGTCGGACGTGGAGAAGAAAGGCGGCTTCGTACGGGTCCTGATCGAGAGGGTCCGATCCGCCGCTTACAAGGACATGGACGAGGTCGTCGCCTTCGTTGACTGGCTCGACGGCGAGCTCTCCACGCTGGTCGGCCTCCAAGATCCCTCCTTTATTCCATTTTTGAACCTTCCAGAAAGAAAGGAAGAAGGAAAGCAAGCTGTAAATGCGTCGTTGTTGCAGGCAGATGAGAGGGCGGTGCTGAAGCACTTCGACTGGCCGGAGAAGAAGGCGGACGCCCTGAGGGAGGCCGCCGTGGAGTATCAGGACCTGAAGCGGATGGAGATGGAGATTGACTCCTTTGAGGACGACCCAGCCCTGCCATGCGAGGCCGCGTTGAAGAAGATGGCCCTCCTGCTCGACAAGTAAGCTCCCTCTTCTTCTTCTTCTTCTTCTTCTTCTTCTTCTTCTTCTTCTTCTTCTTCTTCTTCCTCCTCCTCATCAACTTGCCCCCATCGATCCAACGAAGGTTGGAACGGCAGATCCTGAGATCCGCCCAACTGCGGGACGCCGCCATGAGATCTTATCGGGAGCTGAAGATCCCCACCGATTGGATGCTCGATTCCGGCGTCGTCAAGAAGGTGCCCATCTCCTCATCCTCTCTCCGACAGAAGAGTTCTTCCAAGATCCTCGGTGGCAAAAGTCAACGTTTTAAACTTTGCTGATGATGATGATTCGAGCAGCTGAAGCTGCTGGCATCGACGAAGCTGGCGAGCGCGTACGTGAAGAGGGTGAAGCTCGAGTCAACGCAGCACCCGGAAAGAGAGCAATCGCAGGAGGCGCTCCTCCTCCGGGGCCTCGGTTTTGCCTTCCGGGTCCACCAGGTAATCAAAACCTGGGCCCGAGCCCCGTATTTTTCCGGGCCGTATTAGGCCCGGTTCGATTTTTTTCCTGTCGAGAGAGCGGGCGGTTCTGATCTTCTCATCTGGATCGATGGCAGGTGGCAGGCGGTCTGGATCCTGCCACGATGGCCGCTTTCGAGGAGCTGCGGCGGCAGTTTCGGGCTGAGCCTCCGGAGGCCATCGGCCCTCTGAGCCCGAAACCAACCCAGGTCACGTGAGGGCGGAGTGAAGAGACTACCCTCTCTCCAGCTATTACTACTCCCAGCCATGTATACTTACTTTAGAGAGAGAGAGAGAGAGAGAGAGAGGGGTATTACTACTATTTTAGTTTTTACTGGAAATAAGGGCAAGCCTTGATGATGCTCTGTGCTGTACATGTTTTGGTCAGTTCTGAGATAAACCCCTCGCTCTGGGTTTTTCTGCAAAATATAAAAAGAGCAGATCTCGGTGGATTAGGAAAGGATAATGGACCGTATCTGGCCCAGAATTAGCTCGTATGGGCCATCGGGCCTGGCCCATTAATATTTGTGGCATATTTATGGTAAGATCCCGATTGTGTTAAACAACGTATAAATAGCTCCTTTTATTAAACTTTATCTTCTACTGCCCCTCCTTGTGGTAGTCGTCCATGTCGGCGGTCGACCACTCCTTTTGAACGGGAGGGAGACTTCCACGCTGACCGAGCGCTCCATTTTGACCTTCTATTCGTTTTATACCCTCGTCTCAATACTATAATTACAATTATGTCCTATTCTGATCGTCGGAGGGGTGACATGGCGAGCGCCCCACGATCCTCTTCCAACGTGGACGCCAACGTAGCATCCACCTAAGTCCATAATATCCGTTAGATCAGGGATCTCTCCATCGGACGGGTCATTTTACTCTACGGAAGTGGCGGGAACGTGTTCGGTGGAGGCTGGCGCGTGTTTAACGGATACACGCCTGGAGTCCGCTCGGTAACGATCCCAACCGTCCACGTATCTCCACTTCGAGATCAACGACTTTAAAATTTCCACGTTTTTGTCTGTTCCCGCCTCCCTCCTCCCCCTCTCATAAAGACCCCGGGTTGAGTTCTCTTTCTCTAACTGCAGTTTCCCCCTCGCTTTCTCTCTCTACCTTCTCTCTCTTCTTGCTGCAGATCGGGGAGGTCATGGAGGTCGCCCCCGGTGCCGTCCTGAGGAGGGAACCCCCATCCCATCCCGCCGCCGCCGCCGCTGTGCTTCTCCGACGGGGACCTCGTGGGGGAGGTTGGATCAGCAGCGTCTCTGTGCGCCAGCGGCGGAGCGGCGGCGGCGGCTGCTTCGACGACGATGGGCATCTCCGGTACTATGGATCGCCGGTGAGGTGCGGCGGGAGGAAGGAGGAGAAGATGATGGGGAAGAGGAGGGAGAAGCTGGTTGAAGGGCTGGTTGGGCTCCAGGCCATGGGTGGCCTCGACTTGGCGGCGATGGCCGGCGGCAAGGTTGAATGCGGGAAGATGATCGTGGATGTAAGGGTTTTTTAAAATCTCTCCTCCATCTGCGTCTTTCGAATTTTCTCTTCGATTTTCCTCCATTTAATCGGGTGATTGAATGGGTCATTCTTCCATTTAATCGGTGATTGAATTGGTCCTTCTCCCAGATTGATCGAAAGATTCCCTTCTGGGCTTTTCTTCCCCCTGGTTTGGGATCCTCGTCTCCAATAAATCTTCCGTGATTCCAGACAGGGATTTGTTAGTGAAGATGTCGGTTCTGTGATGGCCTTCGATCTGCTTTCTTTCGATCGGGCGTTTGAATTCCTCCTTGGTGTTCTGCAATGAAGATTCTCGCGATTCGGTCCTCATCTGGCTCGGATTTTGCAGGAAGTGGCCGACATCTTGCTGGCCCGATTGGATCTGCTGAGAGCGGAGGAGAAGGAGATAAAGAAGAGGAGGAAGAAGGAAGAGAAGGCCGCCATGAAAGCCGCCGGGGAGCAATGCGACGAGAGCTCGGGCTCGGAGGACGACGACGACGAGCAGATGAAGATGAAGATGACGATGAAGATGAAGAGGAAATCAGAGGAGAAGAAGATGAAGAAGATGAAAGCGTCCTGCCAGAATACGAAAGACTGCGGCGAATCCGAGGACTCATCATCGAGCTCCTCCTCCGAGTCCAGCGACAGCGACTGCGAAGAAGAGGACCTCGTGGACATGAAATCCCTCAGATCCTCCGCCCCTGCAGATGCTCCACCTGCGACTGGAGAAACCAAGCCGGTGGAGAAACCAGGAGGGAGAGGAGCAACCTCCACCGCCGCCATCTCGCTGACCCGTTGCAGCGCCGCCGCTGCCATCGGAAGCCCCAGTGTGAGCGCCTGCTGCAGCAAGAGCGTTGACTCTCCCGCCGCCATGGACAGGATTGAGATCTGCATGGGGGGCAAGTGCAAGAGATCAGGAGCGATGGAGCTGATGCAGGAGTTCCAGCGGAGGGTCGGCGTGGAAGGCGCCGTCGTCGGCTGCAAGTGCATGGGCAAGTGCAAGGAAGGCCCCAATGTCCGCGTCCGGACTTCCACCGCCGCCGCCGCCGCCGCCGCCGCCGCAGTAGCAGCAGCAGCGGAGGAATCCACGGCTGCCAGGGCTGTGAGGCCCCCTCCTCTCTGCGTCGGCGTCGGGATTCAAGACGTTGGTGCGATTGTGGCCAACTTCTTCTCGGAGAACAAGGAATTGGACCTGGCGGCCGCTTGAATTCCCTACCCCCGCCATAGCCGAAGCTTCGCCGGAGAGCTCCAGCAGTACAGGAAGAAGGAACACCATGCATATTCACCCTCCATGCGCTGCTGAACACCATGCATGGGCTTCTGAATTGGGTATTAATTTTTTCATCAAGAAAAAAAATAAGCAAAAGATCTGTTATTTACATGATCATCCGACCCAGGGGTTCAAGAAATATCCACATCGTTGCTGAACACAAGCCTCAATTTATTCAATAATTATATGAACAAAACAACACATAATTGGAAATCCATTACTGATCTGAGCTGGGTTTCCACCTTTTTTTCTCAGGAAAATACCAACAAAATATTATATAATGAAAAAATAAAGAAATAGTTTCAATTCGCTCATCGACGATCACATAAAATAATCCGAATTGGGTTTTTTTCATTTCTTAAAGGAAATATCAACACAATACATAATGCGACAAAATGGTCGACATCTCTTCCGTAGAGGATATGAACACAGTAACACTGATTTGAACATTTATCAAAAACCTTGAGAAGAAATGCCTTCCCCTCTGCTGCTCTTCTCATGCGCCAAACCCTTTCTTCGTAGCCCTAAACACGATAATCTTTCCATAAACAGCACTGGTTCTCGTGATCAGATTGTCCCAACATTGCTTTCAATGATGCAATAATCACCACCAATCAATCAGATCGACAAAAGGAAATAAATAAATATATATATATATATAATCCATGTTTTATTTGAAACAATCGGCAACTCCGGTGGTGAGCACCTTCCCCCTTACTCCCTCCCCCCTCCAACCACTTATTCAGGGGGGCCACTGCGATGTTGAGAGAGTACAACAAAGGATCGGCCGGCTTACAGGGCGGGGGAGGGGGAGGGAGGCGGTCCCAGCAGTGAGGGAAGATGTACCGCCTGAAGAACCTCATGCTTCTATGACAGTATCTACCAATATAATAGATCTTGGGATTCTCCTTCGATGCTGGCAGGCTCAGGATTGAGAGAATCTGCAGACAGACAGGGAGGTCAAGGCTTCTCTCTTTTTAAGAAAATGATAGTAATTTGAGTGAGAGATTTGTGCGAGTTGCTCAAATAAGTCATATAACTGGTAGATTTCAAGTCAGTTCACTGCAGAGATAATTTAACAGGAACCAGGCATGGACAGCAGAGAAATGGATTTCATGAAGAGAGTTGGCGATTGATTGATGGCATGAAGAACATCCATGAAACTAGATATAATCTTAGCAAACATCAACCAGTGATCTGTTTGGTCCGAGGTAGTTTCACAAATTGAATGATGCTATACTTTTATTATCAGAAAAAGAGTTCAAGACATGGGTATTTTACTTCTGCAAATTATAATAAGATCAGGTCAATTTTAATGTATGATAAAACTATAGATCGAATTAGCTTGCATCTTTTTAATCATAAGAAAAACTTTACCAAAGAAGCGAGGACAGATTAAAGCCAACCCTAGTCATAAAAACGTCCTGCATTGCTGACATTAATCTATATGAACTTTGGAATGTTTCCCAAGTTCAATCATAGAAAATCTATCGAGGGAATCAAGTCGGAAGTGGCCCTCCCAACAGGTTCTGATCTACGGGCAACTGTGGATATCTGTTTAAATCCTTAAGAGACCAAAGCATTCACCCATGTAAAGTACATCAAAACATTCTAACAGCCACCCCTACATGTCTTCCATCTAACACTGTTCTTAAGATGCCGTATTAAAATGTAACTTATTTCACGGTCTTGATGAGTATAATGCCCACAGAAGACTCACCGTACTCTTGGCCAAACCCTGGTCTCCTATAATAACGTATTTAACCAACATTAGCATAAAAATTTCAGGAATGTAAGAAACGGGCCTCAATTATGGGGCATTTGTTTGAGCAGACACTGTCAGATGAGCTGCACTGATTGAAATTAATGGCTCTTTATTTTCCATAACTGGTTAAAATCAGAGAACTTAGAAAACCATTCCATGAACTTTTGATTGTTGCGAAAACCCATAATTGTACGGCCAAAACCTGGGCAAATTGAAAAATCCCCGCTTTCACATGTAATTGAGACTTAATTGTCTCCAAAGTCAACTTTCAATATGTTTTTCTACAGCAGAAAAGGAAAAAATCACTGAAACCGCCATCTTTCCAAGTTTTGATTATTTACAAGAAATTATCTACAGTATTATTTGAGAAGTAAATTATACATAATGAACAAGCATTCAATGAATTAGCTAGGCATACAATACACATGCTCACGTCAGGCAATTGCGCTTAACCGCCTTCTAAATCATTGGTGTCCATATGTACAGAAGATCGTAAATGTGTGTGCGTGTGTTGTGTGTGTTCGCACAATCACTTAGATTGCATGATCTTCTTTCATGCATCTTTCGATAAGAAAAACAATCAAAAGATCCTGCTACATCCCCATCTTTTACATTGTAAACATTGAAAATAAGAGTGATTGACTCGGGATAGATATGAGTTTCTGTCGTCATTCTCATGTTCTATTTCTGTTTCAACTCATGACTTGACAACTGCGGGGACAACATAAGTACTTTTGAGAGAACATAAGGCCTTCCAGATCTCATTTCAAGATTCAATATTTGACGAATTACTACAAAATCCACTCTTCAGGTAGGTTTGTAAAGAAAAGAACATAAGGGCCAAACCTTCGAGTAGAGAGATCTAAATATTAACCCGAAGGATATTTCTTCAAAAAATGATTTTTAATATTAAATAAAACTGTTTCAGTAAAAAAAAAAAAGACATTGACATGCATTTTAAAGGGCAACCCTTTGAGAGCCACTTTGGTAGGCCATAGATGATAAAACAACATTCTAGGCCCACTTTTAACATTATTATTTTCATCTCAAAAATGAAGAAAAGTTATGATTATATCATTGATCGATAGATCAGAATCCAAAATCCCCATAAAGGCTCTCTTTGGAAGTTGAAGAGAGGCTTCCAGCTTTGCTCCCTAGTTATTTCAGCTTGACACACAGCTCCACACATAGTTCCCTTCCCGCTAACTGGTTTCATAATATTTTTTATAGAACCACTGCAGTCTAGTTTTATCATAAAAAAAAAAAAGTTTACATGGATTAGGGCTGTTAACCACAACACCACAAACGACGCTCAAATCCCTTATTTACCTACTTAATGCCGGATTGACGATAGCATGCAACTAAACCACAAAATCAAAGTCTCGTTCTCAATTGATAAGACTTTCATACTATATAAAGCGATTATCTAATATAGCTCAGCGATCTTTGTATGAGATCTAACTAGAATACCTTTGCATTAGTTGGATGGAAAGTCCTGGCAAGTAATCCCACCCTTGACGACTTTGTTAATAGCATCCCTAAGCCTGTAATAATCTTCCTCAGAATTATAAACCTGGTGGGAGATTCGGACGTAGCCAGTTATACTGCTCGTCAAATCCAACAGTGCCTCCTCCCCGTGTATGGTGGCGTTGTGGTATGTTGGAACTTCGATTCGGAACTCTTCTCGCAAATACCTCCTCAATTTCTGTGCGTCTTCATCGCTTGCGATCCTCAGACAACCAGGTAAGCCCACCATAATCATGCTGCAGCTCATTTCTGGAGGAGAGCCAAGGCATGTTCCCCATGCTCCTGCCAGCATCTTTCCCATCTCCACAACCTTCTCATGGTTCCTCTTCATAATTCCATTGATTCCCCCTTCAAACTTGTTCACAAAGTCCATTACCTCGGGTACAACAAGCTGAGCACTGTAATCCCGTGTTCCAATCCACCCACTCTCGATCGCCAAGCCTTTACCATACTCGCTTGACACCACAGGGTGATGCACATCAGTTGAGGCATCCGACCTCCGACAGTACAGGAATGCAACGGACGGAGGACAGAAGAACCACTTGTGGAGGTTGCTGGTGTAGAAGTCGGCCCCAATCTCCCTAATATCGATCTCCACATTCCCAAGAGCGTGAGCTGCATCAACAAATACCTGCAAGCAGACACCACCACCATCTTCGTCAAGCTTCGTCTTCTTCCTCACAGAAGCAAGGCGACAGATAGCCAGATGATTTTTTTTTGCAGGCATACGGCTACTAACGTACCTGCTCGACGCCCTCCTCCCGGCAGATTTTCGTCAGCCGCTTCACGGGGATCACCACACTCGGCATGGACGTGATGTGGTCTATCACCGCCAACCGCACCTTCCTTCTTCCCCCATCCTTGGCCACCTCCAGTGCCTTCCTGAACTCCCCCACCACCTCCTCCTCCGAGGTCACCGGGAACGGCAGCGGCACCTCGACGACCTTCGCCCCCACCCGCGCAACGTACGCGTGCGCTGATTTCTTCACGGACCCGTACGCGTAGTGAAGAAGAACCACGGCGTCGCCTCTGTCGTAGATCCCCTCCTGGAAGGCCCGCTGGACCCGCTGGAACACGATGGCGGCGGCGGTGGTGGCGTTGTCGACGATGGACACCTCCTCGACGTGGTCGGCGTTGATGAGGGACTTGATCACTTGCCGAGACCTCAGAATAGCCGGCTGGAGCTCGTTGAAGAAGAAGTCATCGGGCTGGCGGAGCCACAGTCCCTGGAGGCGCTGCTGCGCGGCGAGGACCGAAGCGGGGCAGCTCCCGAAGCTCCCGTTGTTGATGCGGGCCACCGAGGGGTCGTGATGCCCAAACTCCCTGCGCACCTCGTCAGCGCCGATGGGGAACGAGCGGAGCTTCTTGAGGGCACCGCCGTTCCTCCCGGCGGCGTCCTCCGCCGCCGCGTGGTGGCCGTTCACCGGGCTGCAGACGGAATCCATGACCCAGATAGACCTGGCCTCCGATCCTTCCTCCTCAATCTCTCATCGGGAGGAAGGATTCTAGGGTTTCTCGGGGCCTGTTCTCCGAGAACTTGGCGGGGGCCCAGAGGCAGGAAATTGGCCTCCCTCCTCCTCCTCCCCCCACCCCCCCCCCCAACACCAAACACTCCCGGCTCGCTGCACCACGGATGGCCTCTCTCTTTCTCTGTCTCTCTCTAACATAATTTTAAAATAAATCCTCGATAATGTTTCTCTCTCTACACGGCCCTTGGTTCGAATGATCAGTGGAAAAGTTCACCTTGTTTTTTTCCTCTTTTTTTGTATTTTTACCCTCCTCTATTTTGAAATATGCACAGATGACTGGACGGTAGAATCGACGATCAAGGGAATCTGAGATTTGGGAGCTTCCTCCGTCAAAATTATAAGAGGCCACCACCTCTCTCTCTCTCTCTCTCTCTCTCTCTCTCTCTCTCTCGCTCGATACATATATTTATATATTTAAATAGCTGAAAGATAATAGTAGAAGCACATTTTATGATAAGGTCCTCAAGAAAAAATATTACTAATGCGAAGCGTTCTTTATTTTCACCAAAAGCCAAAGTGCCCTCTTTCTCTCACATGAAGATAGAGATAGAGAGAGAGACAGACCCCCCCCCCTGTTTATCTGCACAACGGGAGAGCCAAAATTACCCACTTTTTTCCCCCATTAGTAGAGAGAGAGAGAGAGAGAGAGAGAGAGAGAGAGAGAGAGAGAGAGAGAAACTTCCCTTTCTTTCTCTCACCTGGAAGTAGATATAGAGAGAGCGGGAGTGATCTACACCCAATTGCCATCAGCTCTCTCTCTCTCTCTCTCTCTCTCTCTCTCTCTCTCTCTCTAGCTAGTCCATGACGGTCAACATCTGGCAGTACTTGGTGTGATCGGCCGTGTCCTTGAATCCCGGGATGAAATCGGAGAAGAACCTCAGGGCTGCCGCCAGGTGCTGCGGCCCGCCGCCGCCGCTGCCAGAGGCCGCCGCCTCCAGGAACGTGCCCGGATGAACTGTGGTCACCTGGAAGTCAACCCCAACTCAGCGTCAGACTAAGGAGGTCAACCCCAACTCATATGCATCTTCTAGTCAACTCATCATCATCACCCGAAATTAATAGAATAAAATAAATATATTATAATAATTATTTTAAAATAAATAAATAAATAAACTGTGAGCAGGTCAGGTCCACCTTGTTCTTCCTAGCATAACGCATGGCCTCCAGATAGTAGCCATCTTGCAGGAGCATGAGAACATAATCATGGTGGAGGGAGAGCTGCCTGAGCATGTCCACGCCCAGCTTCCTCGTGTGAGGATGATCACGCCCAGATTCTATCAGCTGGAAGGCGACATCTTTCGATGGTTCCACAATCTGGAGGAAGAACATGACAAATGATTCCAGAAAAAAAAGAAAAATTATTATTATTTATGAACTGATTTACGCCCTCGATCGCTTCAGAAATTAGAAAAAATGGGTCTCACAGATTTTTCCAAATGTTTGCATTTAATCCATAAAAATGAGATTTTTCCGATGCACAGTTAAGCAACAATTATCAAGCTGGAAACAATAGAATTGTAATAATAATTCGAGCCATAAATCAAGATAATTCCATATGATGCTATTTATAGGTAGATTTTAAATTCTATTATTATTGCTGATTGTATTTATTTTGCATGAAAACTATCCCTCAAATAAATATCAAGAGCATCATCAAAAAAATAAAAAATATACATCCCAGAGACCTCTCTAAAACTTGAAAATAATTTATAAAATTTAGATTTCCGAATGAAAAATTTGAGGAATACATCTTTCCATAAATTCTGGAGAATTTATCATCTATCATTTTATATATTTTCCAAGATACCAACTTGACCAGGAATACCCTTCAAATAATTAGATCTACGTTCTCAACCTCCTAAATAACAAACATATTTTTTTTAAAATGGAAAAAATAAATATATCAGACATTTATCCCAAAACTTTAGAGTAATCAGAAGCAAAGCATGATTGGAGAAATCACCTTCCTAAAAATAAACTGAGCCAGCTCTGAATGGTGACCACTGCGAGCAAGCAGCTGTACAATCATCACATACACCTTTGAAGAAACTCTGAGCTTCTCACTTAAAGCGCTGTAGAAGATGATGATGATGGTGAAGATGATGAAGAATGATGATGATGATGATGGTAATAGTAATAGTAATGGTAATGGTAATGGTAATGGTAATGGTAATGGTAATGGTAATGGTAATGGTAATGGTAATGGTGATGATGATGATGGTGATGACGATGACGATGGCGCTTACCTCTTCAGGAACTCCACAATTACAGATACTAAATATGGAAGGTCTCCAGCCATCTCCTCTTCGACAGCAGCAAAGACGAGGCGGTTCATTTCATCAGGGGAGACTGCCACAGAGGATCTGCTGCTGTCAGGCACAAGAGGAGACCCAGATTGAGCACTGCCTTCCCCCCTTTCTCCACCAGCTGAAGCTTGGAGATCGCCATTAGAATCCCCCGGCTGAGTACTCCCAGCTGTGGAGGCTGCAGGAGGTTGAAGGCGTTCCTTCTCTGTTTCTCTACTGGATGACTGCTGGGCTTCATTCTCTGCCACAGATGAGGAGCGATCCGTATGCCCTCCCTGACCAGTCGCTCCTGTCTTGCTGTACTGAGAATAAGAGGCGGCCAGCGCATCTGTTGCCCTAGAAATAAACGATACAGGCCTTCTTTCCAGAATAATGGTCCGCATCATCCCTAAACATAGTTGCTTATTCTGGAAAATTCATGCAGCAGGCAGACAAACATGCAGCGGTGCCCAGATTTTGAAATTAATAAATTAATATTTATATATATATATATATAAAATGTGCACAGAGATTGGGTTCTACCTTGATTGGGTCAGATCTTCGCCGCTGAAGGAATTCAAGCACAGAAGGAACATCTGAGCTGCTGGTAGCAATGGCCTGTGGAGGAGAAGGATTGTGGTCAACTCTGCATCCCCTTATGGAATGAATGAAGAGAAGTATGATGGCATTGAGATGATGATCGGATGGCCCACCTCCAGGTCTAAATGGAGCTTCCACACCAATCCATGCTCAGTATCGCAGACAAGATCAGGTACAAGAAAGGTCCAGGCATCCCCATATATCATCCCTTCATACCCACTCAACGATCTGCCATCAGCAGTTGCAGCAGCCAGTCGCGTGCTCTCTTGAGAGGAAGATGAACTTGCCAGAGGGATGCTCCTCAGCAGGAGAGGAAGTGGAGCTGATATTGGCGCCAGAGAATCTAAAAATAGGTCATAGAGTATGACAACCTTCGCACCAACTTGATGCACGAGAATGACATTGTCAACCACGCTGACTGCCACCTTGGATGAGTAAACCGGTAAAGAACCCTGAAATACAGATAATCGCGGGATATTGGTAAATAATGTGATTAAATGCCTCCATTCTTGTTTCATTCATATATTAAAAATGAAGAATAATAAGATATTATGACGAATAAGAAGAATAATGAGATAATAATTTTCATGGAAGGTCCACTCAAATACTCATTTCATAATGCATTAAAGTAGAAGTTTTGCAATCCTATACCTTCCAGGCTCTTCATCAAGTTCTTCACTATCTTTTACTTGGCAGTCATTGGATCTTTAAATATGCTGTCTTGTAAACATATCCAGAATAATACCAACTGATGTAAACCAGGAAATCAGCTTAGCTACCGGACATGTTTCGACAGTTCAGATACATAATTTACTAATTCTGGAAGCCATGAAAACGCGAGTACTAATGTTTATTTTATGAAACATTAAGTAATATTGATGATTACTTAGGCAGGATGTGGAGTCTAAGATCAAAACTACCTCCTTGTAGGAGAAAGTATGCATTTCACATAAAATTGCCGCTGATTTATTTGTTGACATATGAACTTGGCTTAATCAATTCTTTTTCAAAATAAGATATTAGAGGAAGCTTAAAAAAAGGATCAATAATAAGGCCAAAAATATCCATGATACTCTGTAAAATACTTTCTAACACTTGTTTTCCACGGTTCACATTAATTGGAAAATGGTTTTTTTTTCTTTTAAAGAAAAAAAAGAGCATGAAATGTAAAATGGAAAATTAAAAAAAAAAGGCACTAGTGAAGTGGTACCTGGTACACAACAGCATCACGATAAAACCTGTACAATTGTAGTTGTCCACCAACCCTATCAAGTTGAAGACAATATATCCTACCGTATCTGCGAATTGAATGAACAGACACAATCAAAGGGCAGTAGTAACAATCAATGAGAAGATGATTCTAGCATGGTAATCATGAAGGGTACCACCCGACCATGTTTGTCAAGAATTGAAAAATAAAAAACGAGCATAAACAGACAATAATAGATGATTAAAAAAGCATTAAATGAGAAGAAAACTCATCAAAGTGATCTTAGCAGGAAAAGAGTTCAAGCAACAGAATCTGGGTTTAATGGCTTACAGTATAACAATATGCATATCTTCTGCAGCAAGAACAGGTCTCTGATTTGCATCAGTTTTGGCCATCATCATCTCAAACTTTGGAAGGCGGACGATCCCTCCAGATGAGAACTGGATGTGCATGGGGGGGAGGGGGAGTGAAAAGAAATGTCATTCCAATTCTATAATCACAGAATGAAAACAACTCAGCCTCCCCGAGTACTACCACTAAAAATCACGATCACATTATGCAGCAGGTGTTACAAAACTTCCATTCAAAGGTCATTGGATGCATATACTTGGATACAAAAATATAAAAAGTTAAATAGTACGTGACATGGATAGTGGACAAATATACATCAAAGTGGTCTACTAGAATGGAGAATAGCAAGAACACAAACAAGTTCCTGAGCTTCTTCAGTGATAAAGGCGTACCTGAAATCCTGAGATGAGCTTGCACTGCGTTCCAGAAGCAAGAAGAATCAACCGACTCTCATGAGTATAAACATACCAGCTGACATTAAATTTCTTCACTTCCACCAATCGTAGGGTGTTAGATTCAGGTTCATAGGCTAGCAAGTCCAGTCCACTGAGAATTCGTTTAAAAAGAGTACAATAAGAATATATCAAATGATAGATAGACTACAATTTTAAGAGCAGGATTCTAGATACACAGTCATCGTCGAGAATAAAATACATCCCAATGTAATGATGCAACAAAAACCAAAGATAGGAACTCTCAGACATGTATAGGTTGACATAGAATTCTATTACGGACGAAATATGGAACAAGATAATCTGCTGAGAATTTGTTGCGACAGCTTTAACAATGGAATTCCATATACTTTCCTTATGTAGAATAAAATTTCATTCAGGAACCAAAACCTAAATGAAAGAAAACCTCAGAGGTTCATCGACTAACATAGAATGTTGTCAGATGAAATACGGTACATCATTAAGCAAGAATTGGAGGAGCTACCATGAAACTAGAAGTATACAAACTCAATCCAATTATAAACAGGAACACCAAACCCCGCTTGATATCATAAAAAGAAATGAAAAAATATATAAACAACAGGCTAGAAACAAGCCATTATTGCTTGAATCTCCCTTGTAGAATGAACCTTTTAATCTCTCTTGAACGAAGACACAAGAAGAGTGGAGAGAGATAAGAAAATAACTCAGGTCAATAGTCACAAGGCCAAGGACCACCATCAACTGATGTCGTTGCTTACAGCAACTTACGTGCCAACTATACATCACAATCTCTGCATGGGAATGTACATGCTATATCAGCTGAAAGTCTTTATAGATATGACTTTTAGTTACTTCCTTTTAATCCAAATTACATTTAATGTACTAACTATGAGTATGAAAATGTTCCTTTTGATTTTATTTGATCTATAACGTTTTGGCTAGTTTCCAAGAAAATATATATAATTCAGCCATTGATTTTAAAAAAATTGCAACGAAGAAGAAAAGATAAGAAACAGGGTTGAAGGCAAAGGTTAAAACTGCAAAGGTCGTCAAGATGTATGCAAATAAGGTTTATAAGTGTATGATGGTCAGTGCATGCATTATGCTAAACCAAGATGGCAAAGACCAAGCATAACAAATTCAGCAACATATCATGCGATGCCTCCTGAATATATTGACTGCTTTGATACCTTGATTTTATAACTACTACATCACATGCTGGGCAGTCAGTCCAAAAAAATCCAAGGATGCACTCTGACTCTGGCTTGTATTTTCGACTAAAGATATCCCCAGTATCTCTATTTTTAAATTGAATCTCACTGTTTGATCTTTGGATCCCAATTAGTTTTCCATCTAGAGAATATCTTATGGATAAAACTGCCCCTTCGCTTATTGAATCCGAATTAGGAGGATCATGCTGGATAGATGGACCAATTTTCCATGACAAAACCTGAAATAACAGACCTCGTCAATCAAAAACCTGAATTAAATCTAACTGACAAGTGTATTAAATAAATAAAAAATGCGAAAAATCCAACACTGTAAACCATATAGAAATAGGTAAAACCTGATCAGCTGTTGGAGAAAGAAGTAATTTATTGCCGTCGTCATAAAAGAGACCTCGTGTTTCAGGAATGCTGCACCAGAGTGGTGGATTCTCAAGATAGACATGAGAGAGTGTCCCAGATCCTACCAAATCCATCCTGTCTTGATTGCAATCTGGCTTTCCAGGCGGGCAGTTTTCCCTCCCCTGAGCTATGGCAAAGTTGACTGTCTCACCAGAGCTTGCATAAACCTTGAAAAGCCAGCCTAACAGCATAGCAATAGAGGAGGAAATTAGTAACTAAAGATATAAAGTTCCAAAAGCAATGCTCTTTCATACTATTTTCAGAAAGGCGTACTCTTAAGCATACTTTCCAAAAATTTGATACCTTATCTAGCTAGCCAACTTGATGTGCCAATGCCCTTCTGAGTTCCTTCCAATGGCAACCTCGATTATACCCTCTTCCTAACCTTTAAGGCCAGTAGAAAGGCATATAAGAATAAAATGTAACTCCAAGTAGAGTAGGACAGAGTACACCATAGATTGCATACAAAATGATTACATACAGCATTGGACATGCATGTCTTTAGAGCGAGAAATTCCTTTGAACACATGTCACGTTCAATCTCTGGGACTTTTTCTGCAACACATCTGCCATATTCTTTTGCCTGTGGCAGATAAGAATCACAATAAAAACATGAAGCAACGACCACCGAACATAAAGAGATGTCTCATTGTAGCCTTAATTGATAATAAACTGGTAGCGACGAGAAAAGGATCATAATTTTAATTGACGCATGGAGTTCCATTACATTGCCAGTTTGCTTGGACCTCGGCATGGTTAACTGTGTATGTTAATTTAATAGGCAATACAATAAAGCAGTTTTAGAGAGCACTTGGGCCAAAGTCTGTGACTTTTTAGCCGCGGTTATTTGGTGATCTGATGCCTTGTTTCCTCAATCATGTTTGCCAATTTGACACTTTAGTTTTGTGCCTTACACTTGCTATTCTTTTTTTTTCTTTTCGGTCTTCGTACCTTTACATTTAACATTGTTGTTGATGACCCTCGATCTCTATTTTTCTACTTTGTATAGTCATTAATATGCTTTCTTTCTTCCCATGAATATGTACTCATCCCATCGTTTCATTATCTTCCCCATCCTGTTAATATTTTAGCATAACCTCAACTAGGCAATCACTTTAGTTTCTCTCTCTCTCTCTCTCTCTCTCTCTCTCTCTCTCTCTCTCTCTCTCTCTCTCTCTCTCGATCTATCTATCTATCTATCTAGTTTAATCACGTCTACAATAGATGAAAGGAATCAAGGCGCTGAATATGATCGATTAATACTGTTGGAAATAAGAGTCCTTGGAGGATGTTGAAAGTATAGCAAAATCAAAGGCAGAACTTGAGGCATGACACTAGGCAGTTCTCCCCGCTGTACGATATGCGGTGAATATTTTATGCTTCAATGCTGCTCTCATCTCACTTATTCTTCACCAATCATGAACTTCATCCAATGTGTGTCTGTTCACGATGCTCCCACCAATTTTACGCTAGCCAGGTATTTTTTCCATCAATGAAGAGCCACATTATTCATCTGTGACGAATTCTACTGACCTGGGATGCGCAGTTCACCAGTATACGCTTCAGCACGGAAGGATTCTTAGCTTCTCTCTTTCCCTGGCTCATAGAAACACTACAGAAGGAGGAATAGGTACGATATAATAGAAAATAATATTAACTCGGGAAGATCATTTCGTCGAACTGCACAGCTTTCGAGAGAGAGAGAACAACAGGAATCGCCCCTAAAATCGCCTGTCTCTGGACAAAAACAACGACAGATGACCATGGAAGAAGAAGACTACCCCCATCAGAGGATGTGAACAAGAACAACAGGAATCCTCAAGAATCACCCCCCCAAGACCAACTAGGACAATGACAGCGCGCATCAGGAAAACAAAACTATCCGGAAAAACGTCGGAGCCCCTTCGAGTAACCCAAAGTCCGGCCAGAGAGGAAAAGGACGGAGAGCGCCCGTCTCAACAGCGACAACAGATAACCTCTAGAATCACGAAAACTCTGGACCCGTCGACAAAGATGATCATCCGCGGATTCACATCCGAACAATTCAGAGGCTCACCTTCCAGATTCGACCCTCCGTCGCCGTCCTCTCCAGAGCCAAAACCGCCGGTGAGACTCCAGATCTTCCTCCCTCAGTGACCACCAGCGACACCCCCTTCCCGTCGCCTTCCTCCTACCGTCCGGTCGCCGGGCTTCCCGGGAAGTCCAAATACCCGTTGGCCCGAGATGCAGTGCGTTTGGAACCGCTTCCCCAACATCGATTCCTAGCTCCAAATCAACATCTGCCCAGAATCGTTGAGTCTGAGCTCATAACACTTTACTATTTTCTTTTAGCGACTCTCACCGCAAAATGAAACAATTTATTCGATTATATTATCAGATACCCCATATATTTCTGGAGAGAATAATCCTTCATATAAGCATGTGACCTTTTATTCTAATAAAGTTGAATAGAACGAACTGCCAAAAATAAATAAATATGCAAAGACCCCACTCCTAATATGGCAAACTTTTTCATAATTCACGCTATAAAAAAAATTATTTCGATTTTAATTTTTTTTCTTGGCGTGGATAGAGATTATGGGTAAGAACTTTGGTTTTCATCAAGCAACTTCTGTGAATATTGGCCAAAGTTCAATGAATCTAAGCACATAACCTTCTATTTTTTTAGTGACACTAATCATGTAGTGAACAATATATTTGATCATATTACTTACACCTAGTATATTTCTGGAGATCTTATCCTTCATACAATAGCTTGTCCATTTATTTTAATAAGATTTTATTAGTTATAACCTGTAAAAATAAATAAATGTGGCAAGCCACTCGTCAATAGAGTGATTGATGCACTAATATGGCATGCTTTTTAAAAATTAATTGCTATAATATTTTATTTTCATATTATTTCCTTCTTTGGTGCGCATGTAGACTGTCAATTTGATTATTGGTTTAGTAGGAATTTTTATTGTCGTCAAGTAAGTGCTATGAATATTGGCCAAAGTTCAATGAACAATATTTTGATCATATTATGGAGACTTATCCTTCATATAATAGCCTATCCATTTATTTTAATAAGAGTTTATTAGATCTAATTAGTATAAATAAATAAATATGACAAAACCACTGCTCAATAGAGTGATTGTGTAATCAGATGGCACTCTTTTTCAAAGTTAATGGCTATTAATTTGTATTATGATATATTTTCCTTTTTTGGCATGCATGTAATTATTAGTTTGATTATATGTTTGAAGTAAGTGCTATGAATACTGGCCAAAGTTCATTGAACAATATATTCAATCATATTATCTACATCCAACATAGTTTTTGAGACCTTATCGTTCATACAAATAGCCTATCTATTTATTTTAATAAGAGTTGATTATATATAATTATTATAAATAAATAAATGTGACAAACCACTCCTCAATAGAGTGATTTTGTACTCATATGACACATTTTAAACAAATTAATGTGTATCAAATGTTATATTTATATTATTTTTTTGGTGTGAATATATATTTTTTATTTTCACCAAGTAGGTTCCATTTTCCATTTTTTTATTCACCAAACATGTGTATATAATGTGATTTTTTTTAAACCACACGTATTAATTTCCTTGCTTTGAGATATTCTATTTTCCTAATTAATGGATGTGCTAGATAGGTTTATTCTCCTAATTCCTAATTAATGGCTGATTCCTAATTAATTTGGAAAATAATAGCACCCATTGGGCATATCTGATCAAAATCAATAAATAGGATGGTTGACTTTCTTCGTTCAAGGGTATTATCCTTGCTGAATTAGAAATATCATTTGGGATTATATTTTTCATCAAAATTAAATCAAATTTTATGAAAACCCCCTCTAATTTAGACTAATTTTCCTTAGTTTGAATGCACAAGATGTGATGTTTTCTTAATTCGTGGCTTCCACAAGATAAAGAGATGCCGGTAGATATAAATAACATAAGTATTGAGGTATAAATGAAAATAAGGGAAATATAAGGGAGTAGAAAGTATTTATCGCCGAGATCCCTTATCCCTCGATTTCTTCTTATCCCTTCCCTCCACAAAAACGGCTCCTTGGGCAAAAACCGATTCCATTCAAATAAATGCGAGCTTCTGATCATCTGGGAGGACTCGGGAATTGTACCCAGTCGTTCCTCTCGGGTCTCCCTCTCTCCACCATGGAGGCGGCGGGGACTCCATTGCCCGCCAGGGTGGCTGCTGCAAGCGCCGCCCCTTCGGTGCCCGCCAAGTCTCTACTCATCCGGAGGGACCCCTGCTCCAAATTTAACGTGGGCACCTCTTTTTTCGGCCGAAAACCCTCTCAGAAATCCATGTATGGGGAAAGGATTTCCTCCGGAGGGAAGCCCCGGCCGCAGAATTTGTCTCTGGTGTCAGCTTCCTTGGGTGGTCTGTTGGGTGGGATATTCAAGGGAACTGACACGGGGGAGTCCACGAGGAAGAAGTATGCGGACGTCGTCGCATTGGTGAACAGGTTGGAGCCGGAGATAAAGAGACTGTCGGATTCGGAGCTGCGGGACAGGACGTCAGTTTTGAAAGGCCGGGCGCGGAATGGCGAGTCATTGGATTCACTTTTGCCTGTAAGTCTGGATTAGACCCCCGGTCAATGATTGTGTGCTTAAATCACAGCGTAATTAGTGATATTTGGGAAGATTACATTTGTCTTCTACGGTCTCGGACAGCAGAATAATTTGGACGGCCGGATTTCTGCGAAATTCAGTTTGTCATCCGTTCTCGCAAATGGCGGGATGCTTCACAGGATTTCTGGGCTTGCTAAATTCTTTTTTTTTCCTGTGTTGAAACGTTCTAATTACATAAATCCCTAGGACACTCAAACTTCTGGCGATGGGGTCTGGATTCCTACCAAGTGGTCTCGTACAACAGTTGTGCATGGATAGAACGAGCTTCGATATCTTGAAAAAACCGATTCGTCCTTGCATTTAATTGAAATTTTTTGATCAGGATATGGAACGCATACTTTCATCTATGGAAAATTTTCTTGGAAAAGTTATTCAAGGTTCCAGATGCCATACGAGAATTCGATTTTGATATCTGATATTCCTAGCTTCACACAAAGTGCCGTGTACCAGTGTCACATGAAAAGGGCTTGCATTATTTTAAAGTATATAGTTCCTCTAGTTTATGGAGATCTCAGTCACTATCTTCGTTGAAGAATTTAAAATACCTCTTTATGTTAGATATCTCTATCACTATCTTGGTTGTGATTATTTCTTTACGACTATATTTCACTGCTGTTGTCATTATTTCTCATAAATTAGTATCTCAATAGTTTACGTGGTATACTTCAATATGTGACAGCCGTCAGCTGGCTAGATTTTGTTCAAGTTAATCATGGATATTTTCTTGGGCTGTTCAACCTTTTTTTGCCATGAGCACGCCGATGAGATAACTTTGAAACCGAGTGATATTTTTTAGAAATGGTTAAAAAGTAGTGACTGGAATCTTAGGATATTGGTCTAAATAAGTTAGCAAAACAGCGCAATTACCCAGTTGAATTATAATGTAGCCATGCACGCAACATTCTCATCCAGAAACATTCCTGATACTTGTGAATTTGATAACCACACAGTTAACCACCAACGAAGAGAATCACTCCAAAAGTATTTATCGAACAGGCCATTAACCAGACCCCCCCCACCCACCCACACACACACACACAATGAAATGCCAGTATAAGATCCATCCTTGATCCGATTTAAAGGCTGATTTGGATTTGCCTGATTGAGTGCAAAAAACATATTCAACTGAGTCCAGGATGAGTATATTTTTAATTATTAATCTTATAAGTTTTTGATGATGATGAAGAGAGGAATTGAATTACTTCCGCATAGATTATCTTGACGGAGGTTCGTCATTATATCAGTTTAACAGTTTTTTGTCGTAATTTGAGTCAGTTGAGCTCATGGTTTTCAGTGTTTAGTGAAACAGTTGATTCTGTAGTCAACGATTAAGAGGTTTCCTCTATGCCTCATTGAATTTATTTTATGGTCAAAGTATGGCGTTGACACTTTTATCTTTGTGCTCGTTTGCAGGAGGCATTTGCTGTCGTAAGAGAGGCATCTGTGAGAGTCTTGGGACTACGCCCCTTTGATGTACAAGTAATAGGTATCTTCTACACGAATTCTGGTGGGCCAGTTGTTATTCTTCAAGGAGGGGGTGTTTTTTGTCAACCAACAGAAGCGTTTCTTTGTCATAAACTTCAAAGTTTCTTTTTCCGAAGTTCTGGGTACAAAATATCTAGGAAAACAAGACTTTAAGGTTGGCCTGTTGCACCAACAACAAGGCAATCGCCTATGATTCCGTCTTATCAAGGTATTTTAAGAAAGATGCGATACTTATGTCTAACACTTCTCAGTGAATAAAATATTACATATTTGGAAGTGCCGTTCTTGGATAAAGATACTGGAGAGAAGTTCTATATGAACATGTATAAAAGCCATCCTCTAAGAAAAAGATAGTTAATGTTTTACAATTACATGAATCTCTTTCTCTTGTGATTTTAAAAAGTGGTAGAATCAGATAAACTTATGTAGACGACTATCAGAAGAACTTCACCTGAATTTATGGGGTTATTACCTCTTTTGTCTGCTGAATTGGAAAGCAAGAGCCAGAATTGGGTGAGATTGTCTCATTGCTGTATTGAATTGATTGACCTTCATCCCTTGTTTCTTGATCTAGGAAATTCCAGGCTGGAAAGTTGTAAACTTCAACACAGTTGTTTATTTTTGGCATAAAATCAGTTAAATGGGACAGTGTATGTTTCCTTTCTGTCTGCCTGAAATCATCAAAAGGGAAACATTAGAGAACAGCTGAAATGAATAATAATTTCCTACGCTTCAGTTTTAGAGACCATTCTGGATGCTAAGTTATGCTTTTATACTTTTGTGCTGGGTGGACCTGATGGCCAAAAGTCGATGCATATTGCTGATTAATCATTAGCTCAACAACAGTGCTAGATAAACACATATCATTACTTTCGTTTGATGGGATATGGAACTCTTAAACGCGTCACATCTGTTTATTAGGATTCGGATCATGAAGAACTCTTGTTTTCCAATAGTCCTGGTTTCAACTGCAAAGTTAAAGTATTCGTTTGGATTTTCTACCTTTGGTGCGGTAAAATAGTCTATCAAACTTCGAAATGGAAGATTGAACAGCAGCTAATCTGAAAATTGAATGGGAAAGAGAAAATATGATAACACAGTGATCTAGGGTGTTGTTTATTGATATGCTTATGTTATCTTTGTTGATTGTGCAGGTGGCATGGTCCTTCACAAGGGAGAAATAGCGGAAATGAAGACTGGTGAAGGAAAAACACTTGTTGCTATCTTGCCTGCTTACTTAAATGCCTTGAGTGGGAAGGGCGTCCATGTTGTAACTGTGAATGATTACCTTGCTCGACGTGATTGTGAGTGGGTCGGTCAAGTACCGCGTTTTCTAGGGATGCAGGTTGGGCTAATTCAACGTATGTCACATTTTCCACAATCCTTACTCACCTTGTGTTCTGGTTAATACCTGTGATTTAGGACCCTTGATCAAAAGTTTTATGCTTTTATGATTTTCTAATTGATACTTTAGAGAAAGAGGTTGATTTACGTTGAAGACTGGTCTGTCTAATCAGGAAACAAATGTCCTTCACATAATCCTTTATGAAGCTATTGTATCTTTCTTTTACTTACCTACTGGATTCACATACTGCGTCACAGAATCAACAATATCACTCCCGTTTCTAGTGCTTTGTGAAGCATGGATGCAAATAATCGTTGCTAAAATGGATACCAAAATTTTGGTATTGTAAGATTTTTAACGAATTTCTTAACTCTTTTTTGGTAAATGGCACGTGCATCCCTAGTTACTTTACATTAGGGAACTTCTACATGTATTTATTTTCTTTCTCACCGTGATTTTTGGGATTTAAACGTAGGAGGCTACTGATACTCTTTTCATTCTGTATGTAACTTTTCTTGAACGCAATCTTTCAAATTTTCTGTATGACAGAAAATTGGAAATTGCTATTTTAAGCATTCAGAATTTTGCATTTAGCTTGATGACCAAAAGACGTTCACCGGGAATGTATTTTTCTATCAGTATTTCCACCCATGATCACTTAACTTTGCGTTTCTGACTTTCTTGATTTATAGCATCAAATGATTTGTCTGATCCCAATGTGTTTTATTGACAGAAAACATGTCAAGTGAACAACGGAGAGAAAACTACTTGTGTGACATTACATATGTCACAAATAGTGAACTTGGTTTTGATTATTTGAGAGACAACTTAGCCACGGAAAGTAAAATATTCCCTCCCATTTGTTCACAAGTTTTTAAAATATGAATATTTTTCTGCGATACTTGCCTGACAGACTTTAATGGACCTTGATGCATGCAGAGCGTAGATGAGCTTGTGTTGAGAGGCTTCAATTACTGTGTTATCGATGAGGTCGACTCCATTCTTATTGATGAAGCAAGGACACCACTCATCATTTCTGGGCCTGCGGAAAAACCAAGTGAACGATACTACAAAGCAGCAAAGATCGCGTTTGCATTTGAGAGAGAGATACATTACACAGTAAGATGCGAGTCTTTTCTGACCAATCACTGCGATCTTATGCCTCAGAACCATGGTTTTGTAAATACTATGGAAGAGCTCCTCTTTTGCCTCACCAATTGATTTGCTCGGGCATAATTGGCCACTTTTACAGATCAGAAATACCGTTTGTAAATCTATTTTCAAATAATTTAGTTTGATAAATTAGCAAAAATGAGATTTATCTTCACAACTCATTTGTCGACTTGGAGTAACAGGTGGATGAAAAGCAGAAGACGGTCCTACTCTCAGAACAGGGCTACCAGGACGCTGAAGAAATTTTGGAAGTTAAAGATCTGTATGATCCTAGAGAACAATGGGCATCATATATTTTAAATGCAATAAAGGCAAAAGAGCTATTTCTCAGAGATGTAAACTATATTGTCCGTGGCAAAGAAGTTCTTATTGTGGATGAATTTACGGGGAGAGTCATGCAGGTAACTCCAATCATGCCACTACCCCCATGTTGGTTAATTAGTAATGAGTTCTATTATTCTTTTTCATTATGGGAACTAATATACGTCTCAACTCAGATCTAGTAAGGTAAAATCAACCAATATAGAAGTGATTTTTTTTATTTTTTTATTTATCAATTCGTCTCATATTTTTCCTTGAGGATGAGTAAACTTAATAAGGAATTAGGTATACTCACCAAATTCTGGCAAAACATATTCAACTGTGTGGAGTGCACAAACCAAGCGTCAAAATTAAAGAAATCAGTTATATCAAAAATTAGAAATGTGCCAAGAATGTTGATTCAAATATTCATTTTTTTTTTAAATGACCGTCAATGAGCTAGATAGAGAGTCGTAATTTTGAGTCTTGTAAAGGGAATATGGATGCATGAGGAGTGATGACATATTTCATTTGTTGATTAGCAACTAATTCTTTTACCATAATTCTAACAAAGTTCTCATTTTATGACATATGACCTCATTTATTTCCATAACATGCAGACACTATGGTAGAACATCCCCACATTTTCTGCGAGAAGTGAACTCGTGATTGAAATTTACTGGCCTACTTCATTCATAGCCAATTGTTTCAGGGACTTCCTGATTCTTTCACGTTATATCACAACTTCAAGATTCGTCCCTGAGATGTGTGTACCCCGTTTCTGTTGTTCCATTCTGTGTACCAGGCTGTATGAAGCCATGAAGGACTCTTTCAAGCTTTAGCTTCCGAGCTTTTTTTGACGAACATATCTGATAATGATTTGGGGTGTCATTGTGGCCTTTTTCAGCGCTAATAATCAAGAGCCTCACCTCGATGTTCTATAGGTCGACTTTGCAGTGCCCTAGAACGCATTGTTCTCCTCCAAGTGTTATATGCCCCATTGTATTTAGAAATCCACGATCAGGATGAAATTTTGCCATTTCGTTTGATTGTGTCATTCTTTCTAATGCAGTTCTTTTGAACCTAAACTCGTCTTTCGAACTTTTAAGATTTATAAACGCGATTTCTGTTTTCTTATCACTTTGGCGTTACTCGGTGTGCCATGTTTACAGGGTAGGCGATGGAGTGATGGCCTCCACCAGGCAGTTGAAGCGAAGGAGGGAGTGCCAGTTCAGAATGAGACTGTGACACTGGCCTCGATCAGTTATCAGAACTTCTTTCTCCAGGTGAGGATATTATCATGCTTGTGAGTAATTAATTGCAATGAAGCTCTATCTTCCGGATTCATTCACTCATGTTTACCCATGCAGTTTCCTAAATTATGTGGGATGACTGGTACAGCAGCAACTGAAAGTACGGAATTTGAGAGCATATACAAACTGAAAGTTACTGTTGTTCCGACAAATAAGCCCATGATAAGAAAGGTATGCTTCTCTGCTATCTTATAATTATAAAATCATTTAAAAATTCGTCTGTGGGATTAAGAAGGTCAAAGTTGTGTGGAACATTTAACATTTGGTAATGTCAGGTTAAATCTCAGTCCTATTTCCTTTTATTCTCCTTGGACCAAGAGACATGTGGTAATGCTGGGTGACTTCGTCATAGGGTATATGATTCATTGCTCAATTGAAATGTGACCTTAGGAAATTTGAAACTTTTTTTCATTTTTTGTGAGTGGTGAGGATTAATTGGTGATCGTTTTACGAAATTTTATGTTTATCCCATAACTTTGGGGACAAAGTCCTATGCGTGTATGTCTCTTGTCTGTCACAGCTTATATGTTAACACGAGGATAGATGCTACAAAAAAAATTAATTCTGGCCCTGTAGGATCACAGCTTTTAGGCTTTCTAGAACCACCTTTTGAGAATTACCGTCCATTGGCATTCTTACTTTTACGTTTTGTGTTATATTTTTTAGTCTATTTACTAATTATTTGTTTTAGATTTTATCTAGCACTGTTGTTTGGTTATAATGTTTCTAAAATGTGAACTAATAAATACTTACTAATTATTTGTGGGTTTTTCTCAAATTCTTAGCCAATGTATTTATTTATATGAAGTGGTTACCTTTTGCTGAAAGCTAACAGTTGCCATCTGTCTAGTTTATGGTTGATTCTTGAAATGGATTGTACTCAAGTAACGAATTTAGCTACACACCATCTTTTTTTATATTTATTTTGTAGTTGATGTTTATGGAAACATCAGACTGCCTCTGAAATCTTCTTGGACGCTTTTCAGGATGAGTCCGATGTTGTCTTCAGGTCAACAACTGGAAAATGGCGTGCTGTGGTTGTGGAAATATCCAGAATGAACAAGATTGGTCGCCCTGTACTTGTTGGCACAACCAGTGTTGAGCAGAGTGAATCCTTGTCACAACAACTGCAAGAAGCTGAAATTCCTCACGAGGTAATGTGGATATCATTTTTCCACGGGAGTGTATTAATGAAGTCAACTTCCCTCGTGTATTATTTTGTTGTCTGAATCTAATTCTACTATCATATGAAGATATTTGGCAAGGTTTTAGTAGAAATCCCTGTCTGTGTAAGAATCCGAATTCTGTTTTGAATTATGAAAATTTCTATGCATTCTAGGGTATTTTGTTAAAAGGCTAGAACCAATTTTCCTTAATTTCTGTGATAATTATACGAATCAAATGTGGATCATTTTGATGCAGAACTATGGATGTGGAAAACGAATTGAGAATATTCATTTTTGTCAAAAGTTACTTCTCTAACGGAATTAGTAAAAGTCACTAGTCTAAGACGGTCCCTTCACATTTTTCATATTTTGAGATTATTAATTTATCAACATGTTTTAGTAAGTACATGAGTGACATGCTCCTAGTAATTATGCTACTAAGAATCATCAATGGGAGCTCAGCATCGCCCAATTTTCAAGTTGCTAACTCAACTACATCCTGTTAGTTTGCATGTACTGATCTGAGTCATCAAACCTTGATGTTGGCCAAATCCAACCGAGATAAAATCAAATTGGCCAAATCAGCTGTAACTTGAGGGAGAAGGCTGGTGTGTCGGAACATACAAAAAAACTGAAGGGAGTTTTTGTATACAGTTGTTTAACTATATTTATATATATATTTTTTTAAAATCCCGAACTACTAAAGATGTAAACCATTGGCCCTACTATTTATTGTCTTCTCTACGTCTAGATGATTGATAACCAATTTTTTCAATGAAATTTTGGAAAGTTTGATTTGATCTTTCCAACTTCCAATCGATGAAACGTGGAACAAGTTGTGTAGATGTACTTCGAGATGAATTAGTCGACTAATAGGAAAATGCATTTTGAATATATTTCTTCTTTCTTGCTTTTTTGAGTCTTTTGATTACAATTCAGCTCCTGATATTCTTACTTCGCTATGAAACTATTTGAAGGTTCTTAATGCAAAACCAGAGAATGTTGAGAGGGAAGCAGAAATAGTGACCCAGAGTGGTCGTCTTGGGGCTGTAACTATTGCAACAAATATGGCTGGGCGAGGGACGGACATAATCCTAGGAGGTAATGCAGAGTTTATGGCGAGGCTGAAGTTGCGCGAAATCCTCATGCCCAGGTATTTATTGCAATTATAAGCATCTAACATCTTCTAGACTGAATGCTCAGCCTGTTTCGCTTTTACAAACCCTAGTTGGCGTAGTTGTCATTATAAGATTAACCCTGACACTACTTTGCCAGTTCATGCTCAGGCGGTGGTCCTCCCGGTTCTAGTGAAGAGTAAAAATGAACAGTAGGAAGTGGGAAAAGAGGGAAAAAAAGAAAGTGGAGCTGTATTTAGGATTTTTACTTTATGATCCACTTGGGTATCCCCTTGTTTTATGGGATATTAAAACTTCATTATTGATGACTACAGGCAAGCTTCAATATACTTAACCTTGAAAGTTGTATCCTAATAGTAATCGTATTATAAGTCGTGGTCAATAATAATCCTCTTCTGAATCATAGTATGAACGACTTAAGTTTGTCTTCTTAACCAGAAACTTAATTCTACAGAGTTGTTAAGCCAGTGGAAGGGACATTTGTATCTGTGAAGAAGCTTCCACCAAGAAAGACATGGAAGGTACTGATCGAACATGGTTTAACTAAAATGGTACTTTTTGAAGAGTCAAGCATCTTGTGATTTCAAATAGTTTATTAGAAATGATCTTGATCTCAGGTGAATGATGTGCTGTTTCCGTGCAAACTATCTAAAGAGAAAACTTCACTGGCTGAGGAAGCAGTTGAGTTGGCTGTCCAAACATGGGGACAAAGGTCACTTACAGAGATTGAAGCAGAAGAACGGCTTTCATATTCCTGTGAGAAGGTGAAATCCGTTTAATGATGACTGATAAATTCCTTTATTTTTCCTGGATCATAATGTAAAATGTTCATTATCTTGGAATCCTGGGGATTTTTTTTTCTAGATATTCAAGTTTAGATTATTTTCACGGTGAAATGAAAAAACTTCTGACGTATTTTCTCTTGAGAAAATTTAGTTAATGTTGATCTATGTATAAAGGTGATTCGGGAGTGAAGCTAATGATTGCTCCAATGGAAAAATTCAGGGCCCTACTGGAGATCAAGTAATAACAAAATTGAGGGAAGCTTTTATGAAGATTGTTGAAGAGTACAAAGTTTATACAGAAGAGGAAAAAAAAAAGGTTCGATCAATCTCCCGACTCAGGTTTTGAAAATTTGATCTCACGATGAGAAGACTGACGATGACTGCTCATTTAAAAAATATCTTCAGGTGATTTTAGCAGGTGGGCTCCATGTGGTGGGGACAGAACGCCATGAATCTCGAAGGATCGACAATCAGGTAGGAATTTGTGAGCATTCAAAACAGGTTTACATTATCATCTGGATACATTTATTTAAGTGCACGCTTATACTTTTTTCTTCTTTCCACTGTAAATGATATGCCTGATGGGCATTTGTCTCTTTCTCTTGATTGTGTTATCTCCTGATTATATCTGGTGGCGTCATATTAACTGAATCAAATATTTGTGTAGTAGTCTGATTCGTTATTTACTGAGAAATGAGTTTCACTCCTATGTTTATCAATAAAATAAAATGGATCAAACTGCTGGAAATTTTGAAATGGGGTGCTCTGTAACAGAAAGTGCACCTTTGTTACTCCTTCGCTCTTTTTCCCAGCCCATCTTCATCAGCTACAGCCGGCATCTGTGATAGCATGAAGGGCGTACTGGGATACGGAACAGAAAAAAACCCATTTCTGTTACATTTTTTTCTTCTTCTTTCGGTTATGCTTCCCCTGTTCCCCTCCCCCCCTCTTCTTCTTCCTCCCCTTGCTGCAGCCTGTAGAACCCTTTACATTATCTTCTTCTTTTCTTCATCATCATCTCAATTCGTTCCCCAACTGCAAGGGAGGCAGAAAACAACATCCTTGTGTTCTTCGCACATATTATTCGTAGCTGGTGTGTATGCAGCAGCTAGATTTCCGGCAACGTATCTAGAATATTTGAATAAGTGAAGGCCTTCCTCATTGCTAGAGAAAGAACATGAAATACAATTTTGCTCTATTTTAATCAGGCATTCCTCCTCATTTGATCTTAGATTTTGAAAGAAGGAATCACACGTAGACATACTGATGATAGGCATGGAGTTAGTTGGTCTATGAGTAGAGGCTCATAGGTCACCTGAAGAAAGATATTTTTATCTCGATCCATATTCTGAAAGACCTAGTGCTCTATTCGAGACCCTGCCCAGCCTGAAATGAGCCGACTCGAGTGGAATCGGCTTGTTTCCAGGTGATTTTTTGTTTGTTTTTTTTTTTTTTTGGGTCAAAGTGGGATTGTAAATCCCCCTGAAATGAGATGAGGGGCATAAGTGGCTTGACACAGGTGATGGGTGATATGCTACAGACGAGACTGAATGAAAGTCATCAAATTAGCGATATTTTGACCAAATTCATTATGGATGACATTGTGTCAATGCATGCGGCATGAAAGAAAGAAAGGGGGGGGGGAACACTTGACGACATTGCTCCAGCTATCTTGTCTATAAACATGTTCATATCAAACTAAGTCTTTGTGCCATTTAACTTCAAATATTGATGGAAAGTCTGGTTACTCTTCATATCTATTCGTGAAAGCTCTCCATATGTGATTCACCAATTTTACTGCATATTGGCCAGCTTTCTCGCTAAATGGGGCTGATTTTGTCGTGCTCAGACATGAGTTGATCATGTGAAACCTTTTCCATTCATTTTCTTCGAGTTGACGTACGATTTCTCAGTTATTGCTTGTCAAAATGATAGCATTCTGTTGGGAGATTCCTCACTGCAGCTAAAAACTTATGATTATAAACATAGGCCTATCCTCTCATTGCCAGTTGATTCGGATTTGGATAACCCAATAACTCCTATATAATTCACTTGAATTCTGTCTCTTATTAGAATTATATTTTGGCGTATGTACATGGACATTCGCATCTCTCTCTGTCGGCAACCAAGGATTGGATTTTTGCCTGTATTTCAGTGTAAATATTTCGGTGATAATATATCTACTCGTATTATTTTATTTTTTTGGTCGCTTTATTCCCCTGAAGTGCTTGAAAAAATGGGTTTCTTTTCTTTGTGTTTACTTATCCATTTGTGTCTTGCCTTGTATGTATTCTTGGGGATGCAGCTACGAGGTCGAAGTGGTCGACAAGGGGATCCTGGTAGTTCTCGTTTCTTCCTGAGCCTTGAAGACAATCTCTTCCGAATATTTGGTGGCGACAGGATTCAGGTAGTTCATGGTCGCATCATATCTTCTGTCCCTCCCTTATACTATCCTGAATCAATGCTCAAGTGCCATTGGGGTTGCATTGTGCAGGGCCTGATGAAGGCATTTCGAGTTGAGGATCTTCCCATCGAGTCTCAGATGCTGACGAAGTCGCTAGATGAGGCCCAAAGGAAAGTCGAGAACTATTTCTTTGACATCCGAAAGCAGTTGTTCGAATACGATGAAGTGTTGAACAGCCAAAGGGATAGGATCTACGCTGAGAGAAGGCAGGCGCTTGAATCTGATAATCTGCAGACCCTCATTCTTGAGTACGCAGAATTGACCATGGACGACATCTTAGAGGTACCCAATAGCCCAGAGGAGTCACTTCCAGATGCATGTGCCCATATTTATTGAACGTAATTTCGATATCGTGATGCATCATGGATAGGCGAACATCGGCCCAGATGCCCCGAGGGAGAGTTGGGATCTTGAAAAGCTTATCTCAAAGCTGCAGCAGTACGTGCTAAACAGCCTTTATGCCCTCTTTAAGCTTTCTCGTCTATATTTAGAAAGCCTGAAGCTAAAGTGCTGAAGAATAAGTTTCTACTAATTGTTGGGTCCTCAGGTATTGCTATCTCTTGGAGGACTTGACCCCTGAGCTACTGCAAAGCAAGTGTTCTAGTTATGAGGAACTGCAGGAATACCTCCGTGTACGAGGCCGAGAAGCATACAAGCAAAAGACTGTAAGTTGACAACTTTCCCTTGTTTCTATTTGTGAATAATTTTTGGGTTTTCATTGCAGCATGTTTCTCTTTGGTCTGGAATTTATTTTTCCAAATATGGTGCCAATCTTGCTGCATGATTTCCCGTTTGGAAGTTTAATTCTAAACTTTATAAAAATCTGATTTATTCTCTTAGAATCTTACTTAAGTTGATAAATTATTTGACAATCTTCACTTATTACTCACAGATTATAAGATCTGTAGTAACCATATCCCTCTCTCTCTCTGTCTCTCTCCTCCTCCACCTTGCAAGCGTTCTATGGATGAATTAGTCCAAGATCTTTAATTTTCTCTCTCATTTCCAGGAAATTGTAGAGAAGGAGGCGCCTGGGCTGATGAAGGAGGCCGAGAAATTTCTAGTTCTGAGCAACATTGATCGACTATGGAAGGAGCATCTGCAAGCAATCAAGTTCGTGCAACAAGCTGTTAGCTTGCGGGGATATGCACAGAGGGATCCCCTTATTGAATACAAGCTCGAAGGTTATAATCTCTTCCTGGAAATGATGGCCCAGATCAGGAGAAATGTGATATATTCCATCTACCAGGTTTGCTTCTGATCCTGAACTCTTTTCTTTGCCCAATATCAGCGGATGTTTATTTTTAATTTTTTTAGCTTAGAAAAAAATAAAATAAAATAAATCTCCACTGGGCCTTTTCTGTTGCATCTACCACCATGTTTCCATTTGATCCTGATTTTTTTTTCCTCTGTTCTCCTTTGCCAATTATTGTGACGCATTTCGAGAGCCATTTTTTTCCAATTTATTTCTCTTGAGAAAATAAATGAATGAAATATCTCCACTAGGTATTTTTTACTTTGTTCTTTCCAACCTTGTAATGAGGAGAGCTTTGATAATATTTATTCTAATTCATTTTTTCAGAAAATAATTAAAATAGCCTCGTCAAATCTTTTCCGTTCTATTTTATTCCTACTTAAGATGACACTCAGAGGATCCTTTATCCACAATTTATTCATATTTTTAGTAAAAATATCTGGCAAAGCTTTCACTTCTCTTCTTTCCCAACATGTCAGAAGGACTTTAAGGATCATTTATTTCCAATTTTTTTATTCTTAAAATAGATGTATAATAAACATCTACAGAATCTTTTCAGTCTCATTCTTTCCGAAAGATATGAAGAGAAAATTTCAGAACCATTTTTCCCAATTATTATTATTATTATTATTATTATTATTATTATTATTTGCGAGAGATTGATAAAATATCTTCACCGAGTCTTTTATGTTCTTGTCTTTTGTCGAATGTCAAGACTCTAAGATCCCTTTATTTCCTATTAATTTATTTTTAAAGAAACTAATATTTCTCCGCTGAATATTTCCTTTTCCATTATTTCCCAACACATCAGACAAACCTTGCCATCGAGATGAGAACTTTGGGAGCATATTTACACATTCATTTATTTCTTCCACAAAATAATACTAATATCTGAATAATCATGGAAAACATCTCCGATGGTTCCTCCAGTTCAAACCCGTGATGGTCCAGAATCAGCAGCAGCAGCAGCAGCAGCAGCAGCAGCAGGACAACAACTCCCGAAGAAAAGGGTCGAAGAGGAAGGGGAGCAACAGCGGAACCGGCGCCGTGGAGGCAGCTCAAGCTTCTTCATAGGGTGCCCCCCCCCTTCTTCCGGAAGATCCAGATCCAACCATGGCCATCAGACCAGAAGATCATCCAGGTTCAGGGTCTATGAGAGGTGGATCATGCTCAAAGAGGGTTCATGTATTTAATTTTTAATTATTTTTATTTTAATTGTTTGGATGCTTACACGAGAAGAAAGTGGAGTAATTTTTTTTTTCAAATTTGTGTTTATTTTTTGTTTCTCTCGTTGAAATTTCCATCCTTTAGCTCGAAAGATGAATTCCTGGGCTCGGTTGGTGAAGTCAAGGCTGGAATAAAATGGGCGCTGAGTCAACCCGGTCCGCGTGTGCACCGAGCCTGAGATTGGGTAGGGTCTGACTCTGAAGTTTGGGGTCCATTTTCCTTCCACGTGGCTACCCACCCTTCATGTATTACCTCTCTCTCTCTCTCTCTCTCTCTTACATTTAATATGGGTTTTGAGTCTAGTTTGGGCTACCACCTTTAGAGAGAGAATTCATAATCTGAAAATTCACTTATTGGGTTTCTCTCTCTCTCCCTCTCTCTCTCTCTCTTACATTTAATATGGGTTTTGAGTATAGTTTGGGCTACACTTTTAGAGAGAGAGTTCATAATCTGAAAATTCACTTATTGGGTCTCTCTCTCTCTCTCTCTCTAGGGTATGACGTGGATGTAGGTCTGGACTTTTGTACAACTCCGTGGTGGACAGTGATCGGTTTAGACAGCCAATAAGTCACAATCGAACATGTTCTAATAAATACTAATAATTCTTTTAAAAGTATATAAATCCTTCATTGTCTGGCGAAAATAACTTTTTGGCCTATCGGCAGAGATAAATCTAGCGACTTAAACGCCGCCGCAGTGTCCACGTCGCGCGTTGAAAACCTGCAAAGTTAGAGCTGTACTTTTTAAAAAAAACCCCTGGTTGGGGAAGCAATGGCTTTTCTCTCCCCCCCCCTCCCCTTGTTCAGGGTGGGAGGGAGAAAGCGACGTCTACGAGCGTGATACTAATAGCGAATCCGTTAGTCCAATTTTTTTAAAAAGCCCTCCCAAGGAGATCACGGCACAAAATAACAATATCTTGAATTTGGAGGGTCTCTTATGCAAAACCGTAGGTCCCAACTCCTCCATGATGACGTGTACAAGAGACGGACGGAGAAGGCAAGAAGAAGCTTCCAGTGGACCCCACCGCTCTGGGGCCCACTGTCTCTAATTGCACCCCCCCCCCTCTCTGTCAGCGCCTGTCCCCTTCCTCCTGGCCCGTTTCCGGTCGTCCGGCCCATTATCTTTCCGGTCCAGGCCGAACCCATTTTCATCCATTCCCGCCCCGCCCCGGCCCGCTATCATACACCGTACCAACCTCCTCTCTCTCTTTCTCTCGCTGCGCTTTTATTGGCCTATTTAATAGCAATAAACGGGGGGGTTACGGCGGCGCCGGAGGATCAATCGATGGGAGATGGAGGGCTAGGATGAGGCCACGACATCAGCCGGGGGGGGAATATCCTTTCTATTATTATTATTCGTAATTTACGGGTTTATATGCTTTTGTTCTTCATGGGTCTGCATCTGGTTGGGCGAGGGAGGAGGGGGGAGCTCAGTGGGCCCCCACAGCGTCTATAAAGGCCAGGCAGTCAAACTGACGTGAGAGCGTGGCCTGCTTCTCCCTCATCCTCCTCTTTCTCCTTCCACGTCGCCGAGGCCCCGCAGAGGTAGTTCTGTGAGTCCCCAAAGTTCGGGTATCGTTGCTTTTCCATGGTTTCAGTGATCGTCTTCTTTCTTTTTTTTTCTTCTTAAATTGTCATCACTACCCTGGATTGGCTTACCTGGGTTTCTTCCTCTCCCAGTGAGCCAATTGGGTTTTTCTTCAAGCTTCTTGTTTAATCTTCCCCGCTGGGAGTTTTCTCTGGGATGGGATGATTTCGAGTTCTGCGCGCTTTAGTTGGTTTTTCCCAAGCTAGTGCCAGAACCCAGTTGGGTCCGTTCACAGGCCGCGACGTTTCGTCTCAGGTGGTGTTCTCGTTGTGGCCCTGGAGATTTATGGTGACTTGGTCTCCACGTCAATTAATTTAGCTCCGTTAGTTGTGCTAAGAATATTACAGAACGCATCTGCACGCATTTTTTTTTTTCCAACGGTGCTATAATTTCATATGGTTCACTAATACGGTTGGGCTCGAGAGTGAGACCAAGACAGATTTTCTGAACGATGTGGAGATCAGTCAGTCGGTCATATTCCCTTCATATGGATTTTCTGCCGGCATATGCATTTCCTCGCGCGCTGCAAGCTTGTGAAATAGTAATTTCCCTATTTTTTTCATTACTTTTCGGCTGTGGGATGGTGAATATTTCCTTTTTTGTGTTCATGATTAAGCATATTTTCTTGAATCCGTGTTCCTGGCATTCTTTGACCGAGCAGGCAGAGATTTAACATTTTTTTAAAAAAATTTAAATTCATTTTTCATAAATTTCTCCTGCGTCATTTTACCATCATTTTTAACAACTGTTCATTTAGATTCCATAACATGATGCTCAGCTGGAGCTGCACAGACCAAACAGCTGACTCTTAGTGTGAATAATAATGGTTCCCATCTTATCTACAGGGCCCTGGGGGGGAGAAAAAATGGGAAAGATATGCATTCTGGCCCATATCTGCTTGTGGGTTCTGCCACTCTTGTTCTCCCTTGGAGAATCCTTGGCCGGCTTGCAGCGGATAAATTTGAAGAAGAAAAACTTTGACTATGGATCTTGGAAAATGGCGAGAAAGGCGGCACAGGAGTATCACGATGATCAGTATGGCTTGGCTGACCCAGATGTGGATGTTGTGCCCTTGAAGAACTATTTGGATGCCCAATACTATGGTGAAATTGGCATTGGCTCACCTCCGCAGAAGTTTACTGTGGTGTTCGACACAGGGAGTTCCAATATCTGGGTTCCATCGTCAAAGTGCTATTTTTCTGTGAGCTTTTTGTCTATGTTTTCGATCTGTTCGTTGTTAGATTTTGTATTTTCGGGATTATGTAAGTTTGTGAGAAATCTTTCCAAAATGAATTTATCATGGGTTTTGCAGATCGCCTGTTATTTTCACTCTAGGTTCAAGTCTAGCTCGTCAAGCACCTACAAGAAGAATGGTATTGCTGCTTCTTTTTCAATATTTTAATTTCCATTTTAACATATATATATATATTTATTTATCTGAGATCTAATTTCCTGAGAACCTACAAGAATAATGGCATCTTCAGAGGTCAACGTTTTAAGCTACTTTTAGCTGAAACAGCCATTGTTCCAGGCATACCTTTTGCAATACGGAAAGCTTTTGCTTACTATTTCTGCCTCCTCTCCCTTCCATTGAAAAAGAATAAAACAAATAAAAATCAAGTTGAATAAAAATGTTCTGGGTATTAATGGCCCAAAGTGGCCCACAAAATAGACTAATTCCTCGCGTCTCATCTAGGGAAATCGTGCAAGATTTCTTATGGTTCTGGATCCATCTATGGCTTCTTCAGCAAAGACAATGTACTAGTTGGAGACCTCACCATCAAGGATCAAGTGGGTTGAACACCTCTATTCCTTCTACCTGGAAGCAAGCTTTAGACGTTGTACCTGTTCTTGATCTTGGCCTAAAATTTTCTAATATTGATCTTCAGGATTTCATCGAGGCCACACGGGAGCCGAGCATTGCATTCGTGATTGCAAAATTTGATGGAATCTTAGGGCTTGGCTTTAAAGAAATTTCAGTCGGGAATGTTCCGCCAATATGGTATTTACTCTCGCTTTGCTGAAAGGAGAAAGAAAGTTCTAACCCTCTGCATCTCGGCTTGAAAACGATGTGACTTGCCATATGCTAAAAGGCATTGGGTTGACTTTCGACAGGCAAGGCATGGTTGACCAGGGTCTCATACAGGAGAAGGTTTTCTCCTTCTGGCTGAACCGGGACAGTGACGACTCAGATGGGGGGGAGATAGTCTTTGGAGGCGTTGACCCTAATCATTTCAAGGGTAATCATACCTACGTCCCTGTCACTCGCAAGGGATACTGGCAGGTGAGGATTAAATTCTGAAATATTTCGGCTCCTTGGAAGATTTATCAAAGACTAGATCATATGATCAGTCTCACCTTCTCCTCTGTTACAGTTTGACATGGGAGATTTTCTAATCGGAGGCAAGACCACTGGTGGGAGCATCTGAAAGCAGAAACCTCCTTCCCTCCAGTCCAGGACTTCTGATTTTCTCTCTTGTTTCAGGTCTCTGTGCTGACGGCTGTTCCGCCATTGCCGATTCAGGAACATCGCTGCTCACGGGCCCAACTGTATAAGCTGACTTCCTGCTCAAACTTTTCTTGCACCTAAGCATCAGTGAATTAATGAACTTGCATATCTCTTGAGTAATGGAGATCGGCTTATGGCTAAAAAAAATTCCTCTTTCCTTTTGGTTGGTTTCAGACGATCATCACCCAGATCAACCATGCGATTGGTGCTGAGGGCATTATCAGCACAGAATGTAAGGAAATCGTTTCACAATATGGAGAACTGATTCTGGAGCTGCTGATTGCACAGGTCTGCCAACTCCTGACAATTTCTCCCGCATATATCTCATGAACGTTTATCTTCACGCTGATTGTGGTCTGGTTTTCTTCCCAATTTCTCAGGCAAGACCCAGCAAAATATGCAGCCAGATTGGTCTTTGTTTCTTCAATGGAAGGCAGAACATCGGGTTAGTAAATATTCTTCCAAGGAATCAGATTGAGGCCTGATTTCTGTTCATCATCCTCATCCTCATCGTCTTCTTCTTCATCATTATTAAATGATGCAGCGAGGGAATCGAATCTGTCGTTGAGAGGAGGCGCGATGGAAAGCTGCGCACAGATGTCCTGTGTGCTGCCTGTGAGATGGCCGTTGTTTGGATCCAGAACCAGCTTCAAGAGAACCAGACCAAGGAAATAATATTGAACTACGTCAACGAGGTTTTATTTATTTATTTATCCATCCCTTTTTCCCCCTCTATTTTTTTATTTTTCCTGAGCTGGGTTCTTGGAGAAACTCAAGAACAAGACAAGCCACGCCCCATTGCAGCTCTGCGAGCACATACCGAGCCCCATGGGAGAGTCAACCGTGGAGTGCAGCCAGCTGGATAGCATGCCAGACCTCTCCTTCACCATTGGGGACAGATCCTTCGTTCTCACCCCGGATCAGGTCCTCAGATCTTCACCTTGGGCATTGCAGCATTTGATACTTCTCATGATTGCCAAAAGGCCTACATCTATATGAAAAATATTGCCTAAAACAGCAAACTTCTTCCTCTGCTTCCTCTTGTAGTATGTCTTGAAAGTGGAGGAAGGCGGCGCCACCATCTGTCTCAGCGGCTTCGGGGCGCTGGATGTGCCGCCTCCCCGAGGCCCTCTCTGGTAATCCTTACCCCCAGATAGCCTTCTTTCTAGCAAGCTTGGCCTCCCCTGCCGTCTCTCACTCCCGCTGACTTATCAGGATTCTGGGTGACGTCTTCATGGGAGTGTACCACACAGTGTTTGACTTCGGCAACGAGCAGATTGGGTTTGCAGAAGCCGCTTAGAGAGGAGATACCCAGCTGTGATCCCTCTTCTTCCCCTGTTGCTGCTGAGCCCTAGTACTTATAAGGCGATGAGGCCTCTGTGGATGTTCTTGGGAACCACTGTAAATAAATGCAAGAAACCTAGTGGCTTGAATTGTGTTTTAGCATGGAACTAGCCTTGCCCAGGGATCGATGATTGCTTGGGAGTTCTGGGTTGATTTGGGAGTTTGAAGCTTCTCGGGGAGGTCAATGGTTTGGGAGTTTGTGGTGGTGGGACCTAAAAATCTGCTCTTTTTAGGGTTCACACACTCGGGGGCATTCATCAAGATGATACCAAATATTTGAGCTTTTCCTGGGTACATCAAAAAGTGCCAGAATCAGATAAATCTGGTGTTCTTCAATGGCTCTCTCTCTCTCTCTCTCTCTCTCTCTCTCTAGCCCTGTTCTTCCATCACTTCAGAGGCCAGGGGAGATGAGGGCCAGGAGGAAATGGGCAATGGGAATGATGGAAAGGGATCGACGACAAGTCTCCGAAAGAGGGAACCCACTTGAAGAAAAGGCTGCTCCTAGAAGGCAAATGCCCAGAGCCCTGCAACACTTCGATGTGTCGATAACCCGCATATGATCTAGTTGCCTAAGAAAGGTAGGCCTGTGGAGGAAGCCGAGACTGTGGAGGCTTCGGGAGCGCACTCAAGCAAAGAGTATGTGCACAACAAGATCAGCTATATTCAAGCATGTTTTATCGAGAGAAATCTGCAAATTCCAAGCCGGATTACCGCATGAAACTATAATGGTCGCATATATACCGCCGGTGGAGCTCGCGAAGCAAGAAAAATAGGGGATTTGTTCGGAGTTGGGTAAAATGGGTTTCATGACACAGGCGGTCATTGCAGGAAGTAACCCAGGAGGAAGAGGATGAAGAAGAAGGCGAGGGTGCCGTAGATGAGAGAGCCCTTCTGGCCCGAGGTGAGAGAGTTCCCTCCGAGGCCAAACTGCTGGTTCTGCGCAAACCCGGCGATCTCCACGCTCTTGCTGTCGAAGAAGGACTTGGCCGCCCCGCAGGTCGGGCACCGCCAGTCCTCCGGCAGCTTCTCAAAGCCCAGCCCCGGGGGGATCGGATACGAGGGGTCCCCTGCCGCCTGGTCGTACAAGTACCCGCAGGACCTGCACTCGTAGATCCCCGTGTTCAGCACGACGAACTTCTCCTCCTCCCGCCGCCGGTCGATTCTTCCCTCTCCGAGCTCTTCTTCCGTCTCCTCTCCGGGGCCCTCGGGCTGAGACAGGGCGGTGGGAGGGTCCTGCTCGGAGAGGGGCTTGTCTTCCTTGGAGACCCCGAGAGAGGGGCGGCGGAAGAGGGGAAGGAGGCGGAGGGTGGAGGAGGTTTGTCTGGTGGGGAGGAAGGGGTTCTTGCCGGTGGTCTTCGTCTGGGGAGGGGAGAGAGACTGGAGGTGGAAGGAGAGGGGGGCCCTCGCCGTTGCAAAAGCTGCCATCTTTGACGCGTCGCTTCCCCACAACGCCTTCTTCTCCTTCTTCTTCGTCTCCCCCCTTCTTCCTCCTCTGTGTCCAGGGTGTGAAGGTAGGAGGCGAATCCAGGGTGTGGAGGGAGAGCATATGCCATTTTGTCTGGATTTTCCGATCTTTTTGGGTGGATAAGGTGTGGCCTGGGTTGTGACCATGTGGACTTTTGAGATCTTCATTCATTGGCAAGAAGTCAACATGAAGACGAGGACCCATACGGGTACTAAGTGAAATCTAGGAAGAGAAATTTACCAATCTCCCTCCCCCCTCCCTCCCTCCCTCCCTCTCTCTCCCTCTCTCTCTCTCTCTCTCTCTCTCTCTGCAAGAAGTCACAAGAAATGTGAAGTAAAAAATGAAAATTTGATTAGGTCATAATAGACATCTCAAATAACAAGATCTCCTAACATATTTGACATAATGTATTTAACCTCCAATTAAATAAAATGATTTTTTATGAACATCTTGTAGATACCTTCAATGTTAACACATGTAGTATATTTTGATATGTAAAGTGAAAATTTATTTATAAATCATTCTTGAATAAGTTGAATCATAATATGTGTTATGATTATTTTTGTTACGAGATAAGTTTAATTGACAAATATTTAAATCTAATACATTGCTAATACTTTGTACAATTCTATAACTAATAATGAATCTAAGGAGTCACGTCTTTGAAATATTCTTTTGTAATGAAGTAATACATCATAATATTCACTGATTATGAAAATAATATAATAAATGTTGAAATGTGTAACAAAACCTCACAAATATTTTGACAAATTAAAGTCACCAGTGAGATTCAAACTTAGTACATGAGCAATGTGAAGAATAAAGTATGTGTGAAATTGTCTGAAATATCAAATATATATTATGATAGACTATATAATCAGGGACTGAAGTAAGGTTTGAACTTAAAACCCTTACAGTAGTTACGCTAGACCATTCACATGAAATAAAGGAGACAAAGAAGTTGTCGTCATGTAACTTGCATGGTGACATATCAAAGTTCTATGTGGAGAAAATGAAAAAATGGAAATGACTAAACTTCAACTTAGTATAAAGTGAAAGATCAATAATTGAAGTTCCACATATCTTCATATAGAAGCTTGAAAGATCACATGTGATAGATGTATAGGTTTCAAAGCGAACGAAGACTCAAGATCAGTGTTTCACATTATAAATGGCAACACATAATCAAAGCTCTTGCACTAAATGACAATTTCAATTACAATGACTAAAAGTCAAAAACACGTATTTTGAATGATACTTGTTAGTAAAAGATGTGAACTAAAGACAAACAAAGACTTCTACTTTCAACAAAACTTGAAAAAAGAAATAGTCATTGAAGCAAGAGTGGAATATTTCCGACAATTATTGTAAGTGGGACATGTAGAGGAGAAGAGAGAGTTACTAAAATATATCCTATAATACATATTGCAAGAAAAAAATGACACAATATATAAAATCTTGGATAGCATGAAAGTTACGAATACACTCTTTGGTATGAATGTAGATAATGCCCCTGGACTTGACAGGATGAGTGCCCTTTTGTTCATCTCTTGTTGAGAAACTATGGGCATTGATCTTTGTGCTGCAATTAAGGAGTTCTTTAGTAACACTATCCTTCACCACTCGTGGAAGGCCACATTTATTTCACTCATCCCCAAGATAGAGTCACCACAATCTTTTGCAGATTTTAGACCCATTAGCCTATACAATGTCTGTTATAAGGTGGTATCCAAGATCATATGTATGTGACTTTCTCACCTCTTGCCAACTATTCTATTAATGAAATAAGGGGCATTTGTTAAGGGTAGATTAGTTCAAGAGAATATTGCACTTATTCAAGAGATAATCTAATTAATTGATAACTAGATTCTAGAATCAAATGTGATTCTAAAACTTGACATGGAAAAGGCTTATGATTGAATGTAATAGTCTTTTCTATATCATATACTAGGAAGATTTGGGTTTGTAGAAAGATGAATATCGTGGGTTCAAATGTGTATTGAGGGTAATAATTTTTCCTTGCTATTAGGGGGGACCTCATCTTGGCTTTTCACCGTGAATAAAGGATTGAGACAAGGAGACCCACTATCACCAATACTCTTCATCCTTGTAGAAGAGGTGTTAAGTAGGGGCCTCAAACACATGTTTGAAAATATGAAGATTTCCCTTATTTTGTTAAACGAGACTGCCTCTTTATTAGCCATTTGTTGTTTGCAAATGATATGATTATTTTTCTAAATGGCAAAAGTAACTCAATTAAAAACCTTATAGTATTCTTGAACATGTATGGAAAATACTCAAGTCAGAAAATTAATAAAAAGAAATCCTACATCTATATGTCTGAAAACTCTCATGATAAAACCATGATTAGAGTTAGAGAAGCCACAAAGTTTCATAAAGGATAATTTTCCTTTGAGTATTTAGGCTGCCCCATCTTTAAAGGACTAAAAAATATGACATAGTTTGACCCCCTAGTTGATAGGATTAGACAAAGGATAGAGGGCTGGAAGGCGAACTACTCTCCCCTAGAGCACGAATAATACTTATTAAACATGTATTGGGGAGTATCCTTATCCACTCAATGATGGTGTGTGACCCCCCGGAGGGTATAATTATTAAACTAGAGAAGTGTATTTTTATAAATTTTCTATGGAGAGGAAGCATGGAGGAAAGAAAAAAAGTATTGACTTCATGAAAAATTGTTTGTACACCTAGGAAGGAAGGATGACTAGGAATTCGAAGACTAAAAGATCATATGCATTCTCTTAGGATGAAAATGGCATGAAGGTGCAACTTAGCTCAATCCCTATGAGTAGATCTAATAGCAAAGAAGTATGGTAGATGGATTATCATGAGGAATGAGATAAAGGGACTGGCAGCTTGGAGGAAATTACAGAAGAAGTGGGTAGAAATGAAGGACTCAAGTGTGTGGAAGGTGAGATGTGACAAAATTAATGTATGAAGAGATAACTGGACTGAGGTGTTTTATGAGACCTTGTTCACATCAATTTTGATTGGCCAAACTTAACAATACAATAACTAGGGAGGAGGGATTGGAAGCACACATTAGATAGTGTAGGAGTACCCAATAGACTTATACAAACAGTAGCAACCAATCTCGTCGCAATTGCTAGTAAAAAAGATAAAGAAATATGGATGCTAAAATTCATGAAAATTTAACAACCAAATCAGCATGAGAGAGAGTTAGGAAAAAATGGGATGTCAAACTATGGGAATGGGAGATATGATATGACTATCTCCCCACAAGGATCTCCTTCCTCGATGATAATATTAGGAAGCACGACATTTAGTTGGTCTCTGAATACTCATGTTGCCTACAAAGCCCGAAGGAAGAATCAATCCTTCACCTATTCTTCCTGAGCAAATGAGTGATAGACATAATTTCTACAATTATGGAACTTTCCAAACCGATATAAGTAAATCTTCCACCAATGATTGCACTTTTTTTTCAAGACAACCAAAGACAAACCATGGAAGATACTCTTTCTAAGATTGCCTTTGCATGTCTACTATGAAAATTATGTATAGGCATGATTCAGATGGGAGGAGACAAATATTATGTTGCCCTCATCCTCTACAAATGTAAAAGATGGGCAGCAAAGATTGCCCCTATTATGAGTGAAAGATTTCCTATTTCATTAAAAAGATAGAAGATACTCTAAAGATGAGGGATCCATCTTCCCACTGTAAGAATAACTCATTTCGTAGAGTTAGTTTCTTGGACCCCTCTCCTAGTTGGTATTGTCAAACTTAACATTGATAGTGATCAATAGGAAATCTGAGAAATGCAGGTGGATGGAGTATTGTCCACGACCATAGGGGCAGCTTAATTTTTATATTTTAAAAATTATATAGTAATGCAGCTAATATGGAAGTTGAGTGCAGGGCCATGGCGGATGGTCCCACCCTATGCCTTAATTGTCATCTAATTAATGTTGAGGTAAAAATAGATTCATTTGGCAATCATGCTATGTTCCAAATCATGTAAAATGTAGAGAATTTCAAACTAGTGGCAACAAATTTTAAGAAACTTACATATTGTGTGCAAGATCAATTATCATGTCAAGGATGGAAATGGCCCAACGGATTACTTGGCAAAGGATGGAGCTCGAAAAAATAAGGATGGAGTGTTTGATGTTGTAGAGGACTTCTCACGAGAGGTGAGAGGTATATGCAACCTAGACATGTAAGGCTTCCCCAATATCAAATGCAAATCCATGAGAATCATGTGACATGGATAAAGAGGAAGAACCAACACACAAATGTCATACTGCACGAAGCAATCTAGGGGATGAGTTGAGCCCAACAAGATGCCCCGAGGAGGGGAGAACTCCATCTCTCCACAAATTGGTTTTGAGAACTTGTTTCAGGACTTTGCATGCTGTGGAAGAGAGTGAAGCTAGGGTATTGACGTGACTCAGTTGTTGTATATTAAATCATGCAAATATAAAATTTATAAAACTAGAAAATACGAATTTTTGGATATTTAGAAGTATTTATAAATAAATATAGCAATTATAATTCAATAAAACTTCTAAAAATAGCGGTAATTTTCTAAGTCGATCACAGGGATGTAATATAATATCTGGTAATTATTCAGAATTTTTCTCAATGAATACGATTTTCTATGAATTTTATACTAGAAAATAAAAAGGAAATATATTTAAAATTCACGAAAAAGGGAAATAAGGGCGCGGATGTCAGGATGATGTCAGCGCCCGGCGAACGCAAATTGGGCAGAAACAGAGTTCCGCCCGGTGATTCTTACGTAAGCGATTACATACGATTTAATTAATCAAATTAAGATCTGTAAAAGCCGGAAGAATCTTAATAGAACAAAGTATATTTTGGTAAATTAAAATCACAAAGAAATATCACTAAATGAAGTGTAACGTAAGTTGAAAGCAGGAAAACAAAGTTTCGGCGTCGCGACGGCGATGCGTCGACGATGCACCGGAATCTTGAGCGTTCGGGAGGATCGTCGTGCAGTGTCCACGGCCTCGAAGGCTCTCTTTGGACAAAGACGACGTGGGCAATCTCTAGATCTTCTCGCGAAGTCTAGAGATCAATGAAGTGGGTCGTCGAATCGTCTCCGGCGGCTGTCACCCGGCGGAGCGGAAAAACGGCGACTTTGCGGCTCTCCGGCTCTCCGGCGGCTGTTACCCGACGGAGAGGAGCTGGATGGAGGTGGGGCGCGTGTCAGGGAGCTTCATCCTCAGGTCCGCGCAGCAAGAGGAGGCTCTTCATCGCATCTGGTACGCTCTCAGGATGTGGCGACTCGTCTCCCGGCGGATCGTCCTCTTCCCGACGACGGCTTGTTCGTCGATCAATCGGAGATGATTTACTCGATGGATTCGCGATCCTTTTATTGCGAATCGTTCAACAATTTTAGTAGCAATGCTCTGTGAATCGCGTTGACGAGATTTTCGCCGATGATCTAGTGATTCTGGTTGCTTAATCCTTCACCGGTGATCTGCAGGAAAGTCGCGATAATCAGATAAAAATATATGAATTTTGACTGTGGGAGGATTCGAACCCGCACCGGTTGTCCGCCCCTTCTGAGGAAAGTGTGACGCGGGTTTAGTCCCACATCGGTTGTGTGCCGATTTTTCAGGCGAATATATAGTAATCTTAGGTTTGTAAGCAAAGTCCCTTCTCTCGCGTGTACGACCACTCCTTGCCCCACAGCCGGCTGGCCATCGGTGACGTGGAAGGGGAGTGGCGCACATGTGCCCCTATCGGTCCAAGCCGCTCGAGCCCCCCTGCTCGTGGCTACTCCCCGACTGAGCTTCCGTCCCGCTTGCGGGCCCGACTGGCCGGCGGGTTCCCCCCATTTTGCAATATTTTAGTTTTATTTCTTTTTCTTCATTTATCTCAAAAGTAAGACTATAAAAATCATATAAATTCGTATAAAATCACATAATTACCCAAAAAATCACATTAATCAACTGAAAATCACTTTTCACACTTTAACACAAATATAAGTCTATTTATCACGAGTTAAGCCTAAAACTATATTATTTACTAATTATTAACTCATGATAATGAAAACTTATCACACCCCCCAACTTAAATCATTGCTAGTCCCTTAGCAATGGAATTACGAAAATAAAAATTTACAAATCTCAAACATCATATTTCAATACAGAAAGAAAAAAAATACAATTAGAAATGATGCACCTTTAGACACTTTGGATTCTTATATAAAGTATTTAAGAATGATGTCAAGCACTTAAATGTTTGAACACTCCTTGGAATAACAATCTAGACTTCACTTCTTCTATTCACATCTTTATCACTTCTTCACTCGTAGATGTATTTACAAGATGTTCCAATTATCAATACTCATCCAAGAATAATATTGATCCTATATTTTCCTTTTTCTATGGCTTGATTTTTGAAGTTTGCACTATATTTCTTCTTTCTTTATATATAGTGGATAAGTAGCTTTTCCTGTAGATAAATTTCGACAATAAGAATAATGTCTCACACCCTCCATGTGTACTCTTCATTTTCAGGGCTTTCACTTTATCCACTTATTTTGCAGCAAGTGTTTTTCTATACACGATTTTCGACAATGAGAATGATGTCTCACACCCTCCATGTGTACTCTTCGTTTCTAGATTTTTCACATTGCTCTCTCTTTTTTTTTTCTTTTTTTTTTTTTCGAAATAAGTGATTTCTCCTCACAAGTCTTATAGATCAGGGTGCAAAAATCTCCATTAAACTCAAATGATCAATCAAATTTTCACATCAAGTAAATATTATCCATCAAGATCATGAAGTGAAAATCTATAAAATCAAATCCATGTTATCTATCATGTATCCAAGGAGTATTCCAACATTTCATGCTACTAGATCATTCTTTTGACTCAATAATAATCTTCCTAGTATCTTTTGGTATCAATCAATCTAATTGATTTAATTTTTCATGCATGCAATATGATGTAAGAAATTTCTAAATTAGATAGTTCTGACAGTTCTATTTTCTATTTTCAGTTCTATTTTAGCAGCAATAAATTTGTCAAAAATAAATCAAAACTATCTTCTTTATAACTGTAATTTCGAATTTCAGTAATATATGTCTAGAGGATTGAAATGTGAAAAAAAGGTCTCTATAATTTCAAATTTTGGGTTGTTTTTTCGTCTGCTGTTTTTGACAGTCTGTTGTTCTTGACAGAAAACCAGAAAATAGATGTTGCAGTTTTTCCGAATTCGGCGATCTTTTTTTATTTTTTTAGTTGCTGTTCTAAGTTGAATAAAATGCAAACACATGTTCTTAATCGTCCTACAACATAAATTAATAATGAATACTTCACCCCCCAACTTAAAAATGACATTGTCCTCAATGACACAAAAAAATCGAAACAGAATATGCAGAAAATATAATTTTCAAGTGAAGCATGCATATATGCAAAGTTTAGCATTAAAAATGTTGTCATAAATGATAAAGCTCCGAAAGACATCACCTCAACCTCGTTTTTAATTTTCACTTCGTCTTACACGCCTCCTCCTGCACTTTTTCGAAAAAACAAATACAGAAACAAGTACTGCGAAATTCTAAGAAAAACAAAGCTTAAAAAAAATCAAACAAAATGAAATAAAAACCATGGGTTGCCTCCCATGCAGCGCTGAATTTAATGTCTCAAGCTGGACAGCTCTTAGATCATATAAGATGATCTATGGCCATCAAAATATATTTGTATCCCAAGGTAAGTTTCATGATATTCTTTTTCAGATTTAGCATAAATTCGTATACTTCATATATATACCTTGACATACTTTCAGCCAAAACAAAATGGAAATTAACAAAATTTTCCCAAAAATAATATTTCCATTTTGAAAAGAATCTTTCCTTATTTCTATCTTGTTTTGTAAGGCTCTCATTCATTAATAAATACTTTCTATTAATAGACCATAAAATGTGATCAGGCCATATAATTTTCAAATTAGCTCTTACCCAATCTAGAATTTTTTCATCTAAATTGATATCTCTAATTCTTCCACTCACCCATTTCTTAATGTGTTCTTTTATCTGCATAATCTTCCCCTGCTCCATTTTATCTTCCATACATATTTGTTCAATTTGTGAGGAGTGAAATATTTCAAGCTTAAAAATAATTCTAATGGGCTGTGGGTTTTGAAGGATGGAAGGATTGTCTTCTTTAATCTCAGATCTAATGAATTCAGTAAAATTCAAATTTTCTCCTCAAAAATTATCTCTATATTCATATCCATTATTTTCGTTTCTCCCCATTAATTGAATCAACTCTTTTTCTAATTTTTTGTTTCTCAACTCATCAAATTCTTCATCTTCCCAAGAGCTATCTTTTAATTTCGGTATATGATATACATCATCATCCTCACAATCAGCATCCATGGCTGCAAAATTATGATTAAATTTATTAATTTCGTCTCCTACATCAACTGATTTTTCCTCACCTGAAATATGTTTTTCTTCATTTCTGTCCATACTCCCTTCTACTAAAATTTGGATGATTTTTCCATGATCAGTTGCTGTTTCTTCATCTAAGGACTCTTTCTCCTCATCATCCTCACTATATTCATTCATCAATTGTGAGCAATAAATGATTTTATTCAAATTTTCTGCTACTATATTTTCAGCCTTAATATTCTCATTTACTTCTAATGGCTCATCAATTTCTTCTAATAATTGGAAATAAGGATCAAGTAAAATATTCTCACTCAATGTATTTACTGACCTAACATTTTCATTTCGTGAGTTTTTTTCTAAATTTATCCAGTTAGACTCTCCTTGCTGAAATCTTACTGTTGGACAGTTTCCTGAATTTTCTATGGGCTGACAAGGTAGTTGTCCCTCTTCTCTCTTATTCCCAAGAGCCTCTATAATTTTTTTCTGGTGCAGCATCATTTGATTCATAGTTTGTTGCATCATTTGGCTCATAGTTTGTTGCATCATTTGGCTCATTTGCTGCATCATTTCTATACTATCAGGTTGGGTTAGAGAGGGCTGATTTTTCTGAAATCTATTTTCTTATTTTGGACAAAATTCAGAGTTTGAATTGGATCTAAGTGCTTCTGGATTTTGAATATTATTTGGGTTTCTCCACGAAAAATTATTCCCCCAATTAGGATTATAAGAATTAGAAAAATATTCTCTATTTTTACTAAAATCGTGGGGTACCTGCACTTGTTCTTGCCTAGGATGATATTGAAATTCGAAGTGATCATTTTCACCATACATAGGACATGTACTATTTGAATTAAATTGAGGGTTAAGAGGCTTTCTAATATTGTCAATAAGCAAATCAAGTTTTTCTAATCTTTGATTAATCTGATTAACCTCATTTCTAAATTTAGATTTATTATCATGATGCAATTCATGAATTCCTCTCTTCTTATCCCTGTCATATAATTCAAAAGAGGCTTGATCTCTAGAATTTTCACTTAAATTCTCATAAAGACTGTAAATCTCATCAGGGGTTTTCTCCATAAAAGCTCCTCCACATATAGAATCAACCATATTTCTATGTTGTTCTAATAATCCATCATAAAAAATTCTATTGAGCTGCCACTTGGGTATAGCATGATGAGGACACTTTCTAAGTAAATCTTTGAATGTTTCCCATGTCTCATGTAAAGTTTCTCCTGGTCTTTGAGAAAAATTCCATATATGTTTTCTCATATTTTGAGTTTTTTTTAAGGGATAAATTTTTTGAAGAAAGGCTTGTTCTATGTCTTTCCAACTAGTTAATTCTCTATCTAATGTAGATAGCCAATGGCTAGCTTTGTCCCTAAGTGTATGAGGGAATAATTTCATCTTAATAATTTCTGGTGTAACTTGAGAGAGATTAACTAAATCACAGACCATATAAAATTTTTCTAAGTGTTGATGAGGTTCTTCTAAAGGCAATCCATGAAAATTAGGGAGCATTTGAAAAATTCCTGGATTTATTTCAAATTTAACAGTGGGTGCTAATGGGACTCTAATATTGGATGCTCTTTGAAATGAATCAGGGATATAATGATTTTTCATGGCCATAGGATTGTTCTCAGTTTGACTTGTACTTCCTTCAGGATCCATCAAAATTAATTTTTCTTTCGGATTTTTATTTTTGAATGAAATAATGAAAGGATTTTCTAGCCTTGGATGCAAGGATCTTCTACCATGCATAAAAATCAATAAATTCGAGGGAAAAAGTTAGTAACTGTTACCCTCCTTCAAGATGCTCCAGTCCTTGCTTTGCTTCTTTTCGTTCCCATTTTCTAATAAAAAAATCAGCAAAAAGAAAATAAAACAAGAGTTAATTTTTTTTCTGTACTCTAAGAGAAAAATAGAAAAATACTAAATATTATGGAATACATCCCCAGCAACGGCGCCAAAATTTGACGTGACTCAGTCGTTGTATATTAAATCACGCAAATATAAAATTTATAAAACTAGAAAATACGAATTTTTGGATATTTAGAAGTATTTCTAAATAAATATAGCAATTATAATTCAATAAAACTTCCAAAAATAGCGGTAATTTTCCAGGTCGATCAAATGTAATATAATATCTAGTAATTATTCAGAATTTTTCTCAATGAATACGATTTTCTATGAATTTTATACTAGGAAATAAAAAGGAAATATATTTAAAATTCACGAAAAAGGGAAATAAGGGCGCGGACGTCAGGATGATGTCAGCGCCCGGCGAACGCAAATCAGGCGGAAATAGAGTTCCGCCCGGTGATTCTTACGTAAGCGATTACAGATGATTTAATTAATCAAATTAAGATCTGTAAAAGCCGGAAGAATCTTAATAGAACAAAGTATATTTTGGTAAATTAAAATCACAAAGAAATATCACTAAATGAAGTGTAAAGTAAGTTGAAAGTAGGAAAACAGAGTTCCGGCGTCGCGACGGCGATGCGTCGGCGATGCACCGGAATCCTGAGCGTTCAGGAGGATCGTCTACGGCTCTCTGGCGGCTGTCACCCGACGGAGAGGAGCTGGATGGAGGTGGGGCGCGTGTCAGGGAGCTTCATCCTCAGGTCCGCGTAGCAAGAGGAGGCTCTTCATCGCATCTGGTACGCTCTCAAGAGGTGGCGACTCGTCTCTCGGCGGATCGTCCTCTTCCCGACGACGGCTTGTTCGTCGATCAATCGGAGATGATTTACTCGATGGATTCGCGATCCTTTTATCGCGAATCGTTCAGCAATTTTAGTAACAATGCTCCGTGAATCACGTTGACGAGATTTTCGCCGATGATCCAGTGATTCTGGTTGCTTAATCCTTCACCGGCGATCTGCAGGAAAGTCACGATAATCAGATAAAAATATATGAATTTTGACTGTGGGAGGATTCGAACTCGCGCCGGTTGTCCGCCCCTTCTGAGGAAGGTGTGACGCGGGTTTAGTCCCACATCAGTTGTGTGCCGATTTTTCAGGCGAATATATAGTAATCTTAGGTTTGTAAGCAAAGTCCCTTCTCTCGCGTGTACGACCACTCCTTGCCCCACAGCTAGCTGGCCACCGGTGACGTGGAAGGGGAGTGGCGCACATGTGCCCCTATCGGTCCAAGCTGCTCGAGCCCCCCTGCTCGCGGCTACTCCCCGACTGAGCTTCCGTCCCGCTTGCGGGCCCGGCTGGCCGGCGGGTTCCCCCCATTTTGCAATATTTTAGTTTTATTTCTTTTTCTTCATTTATCTCAAAAGTAAGACTGTAAAAATCATATAAATTCGTATAAAATCACATAATTACCCAAAAAATAACATTAATCAACTGAAAACCACTTTTCACACTTTAACACAAATATAAGTCTATTTATCACGAGTTAAGCCTAAAACTATATTATTTACTAATTATTAACTCATGATAATGAAGACTTATCAGGTATTGATCTAAGACCTAACTAGACGAGCTCACTGATAACATGCTATTTATGCATGTAATTATATAATTATTAATGCAAATTAAGGCATTAATCATTACAAATATATGCATGTTATCATATTTTAAGTATATTTCTATCATTTTGTGTAAATTCATGTTATGATCTTAAAATACACCAAATTATGGATTATTATAAATAATTACACATTACAATCTTTAATCCTAATTATATTTATGATCATAATCATGTTTTAAGAGTGAAAATATGAGAGAAAAGATATTTATTAACATTTATGTATTTATATAAATTTATTTTATATAATACATAAATGTATAAAATTAATTAAAATTTATTCTCTTTTATTTTAATAATTTAACCTTTTATAATGGTAGATTATTCAATTTTGAATCCAACAAAACAAATTTGAATTAATTTGGAGTCGTATTTTGAAAGTTATGATTTTTACAATTTTATAGAATTTTCTGGAATTTTTCTGAATTTATTTATATTTATTTTCGATTTTTAAATGTTTTAAATTAATTAAAAAATCGCAAAAAGGGGTTACATGTCGCGCGTGTACATGTGGATGCGACGTGGTACTCGGGGCCACGTGGCTCTGCCACGTGGACAGCACGTGGGTGCCTGCGTGGCACTGATGTGACACGTGGCATATTTATATTTACTATATATATTTATTTAATAAAGTATATAGGTCTTCCGATTATCGGAAGACAAAGTATTAATCCCTCTTAATCGTCATATCTTATATACCCGAATATACTCCTTTGTTTTTCCCGTGTGGGACTAAAGTCCCTTAGTTTTCTTATGTGCAGGACGCGTGGCGTGATCTCGTGCGTCCGATCGACATCGCGACAAATAGCGTGCGTAGATCACGTGGAATCGAGGTCCACGCGATCAGAGATCAACCACGTGCCTAAATACTCACTTAAGTGAATAAATCACGACCGTCTGATCGAGAGTTATAACGGTCCAGATTATTCACATCAGATGGACATCCAATCACATCTTAACCGCACGATCATGATCAGACGATCGTCGAATCGTCGCGACGATTCTTGAAGAGGCGTCTCATCGCGATCGTCCATCGCGATCAACTCCATCAGATCGGACGGCCACGATCATTTCTGAATTTTATAAAATCCGTTCTTCGCGACGGAAGAACGGCCCGCGATCAATCTTCAAATTCTCTTTGTTTAGAGCTCCAATTCGCGCGACATCTTTTTCATTGTGTTCGAAACTCATTTCCGCTTCTGTTGGATGTTTAATTTCAATGTTTGATTGAAAGAATTGGAAGAAATCAAGTCTTGAACTCCTCTTTCGTCTTCGAAAATTCGGAATGAAAAGCCTTGCATCCGGCGATTAATTGGATCATTTCGAAGGCTAATTTGGGTTAGATTGTTTGTTTTCATCTTAATCTTTCATCATTTAGTGTTAATTTTACTTTAAGTATTGTAGATTAAGTTTAATTTAGTTTTAATTTCTGTTTTTAATCATTTCGCGATACAAAAATGTCTCTTAACTTCAAACTTCGATTACTCTTCGAATTCTCATCCAAATCACCTGATTTTTGATTCCGTGGATTCGAAATTGAGTTATCTTTCTTAATATACTAAATTACCCAATTTCTAACCTAATTTCATCGTCGGATTTGACCGAATCTCAAAGATATATCTCTCAAATTTCTCTAATTCTCCATGGATTCGACCCTTAATTACCATTATACTAATTAATTACTTTAATTAATCATAAATTGGTAAGATTAGGACTTTGTTTTGACACTGAATCGTGTGCATTCAACGACCATACGATTTAGTCTCGTCAATCACCTCTTGTGATAGAGTGAATGTGGGATAGTGAATGTGGTGGAGGCTAACCTACCCAAAGCAACCATATCAGCTTGGTGAGTATCACGGATCCCTCACCCAAAGCCCCTCCTTTGATAATATTTGATTCTCTAAACCATCAAGTCTGCTATAAAAAAAAGAGAGAAAAAAAAGAGTTGAAACTTAGGAAGTAGAGTGAAAGCTCCAAAAGCTGGTAATTCCCACCTCCCTTGCCTCAAACCTCTAATAAAAAAAATAAAGAAGGAAAAAAGAGGAGGAAGAAGAGGTGAGGAAGGAGGAGAAGGGGTAACTTCATGAGGAAAAAGCTACCCACTTCTATGGACCCTCTATCATCTATAAGCAACATAGCAGCATCGGTGGGGATAAGAGTTAGATTACCATTGACCAAGAGAAATAGGGTGGTGAATGAGCATGGCAAATCAGTGAAAGACTAGGCACTAAGGAAAGGTGGCTAAATCGCACTCTAAAGCCTATTCCTAATGGATAGGTGTGAAGTAGTGGAGAGGTTAGGTGAATACCCTAGTTAGCCCATTAGGCAAGAATGATGTTGAACTGGTGCCATGGCGGTCTAACCCCCAAGCCTATGTAGACCAACTAAACTATCAATCATCAACTAAATGTATGAGGCAGTCTACAAACAATCAAACTCAAGAAGGGAAGTGCACCCCCCCATTTAACAAATAGTAGTCACATGTGATGAAGAACATAGCGATAGATTCTTGTATGTACTTTTTTTCTGGAATACAATGAACATTGAAAAAAAAAGAAGTAATCCTATTGAATTAGGTACAAATCTACAACAAGATTTCATGAACAACAATCAATAAAGAAGAAAGTTTAGAAATGAAAAATAGTTGAAGGTCACTAGTATGCTGATGGAGTAATGTCAAGATATTTAAATTATTATGACCATTTTAAAATAGTGATATGATGTAGATATATTGGAGTATCAGTAGAGGGAGTTGAGAACAAATGAAGCTAACATTGAATGAGGAAATATTCATCCACATCACTCATAGAAATAAAAGTAGTCCTATTGAATCATCTACATCAAAGCAACCACGAACTTCAAAGAAAGAATTAAAATATCATTATTCTTAATCATCTACGGCAATGTATGAATCAAATAACTTTATTGAAAGTTGTCTTTTTCTATTAGACCCTAAAGTAACCTAGGTGGTGAGTGAAGAAAAGGTAAGATTAAGACATGAGGAGAAGTGTACCTCCTCATGATGTTGTGAGTCAAGAACTATCCATGAGGGTGAGATCTTTGTGGAGATTAAACTGTTATGTTGTTAGAGTTGAGTCCTTGATGTCAACTATATTTGCGTTGAAAATAAAAATCATCTAGTATTAGAAATAGCTAAGGAAGGGTGAACCAATATATACTCTTTATCTATCATCACTAGAAGTGAAAGAGAGAGAAATTACAACGGCCATGTGAGAACAATAAGAGTCTTAGATCGAGTTGCATATAGAGTTCATATACTATATTAAAGCTTATGTTGACAAATTTATACACGTAGCAAACGTGGGAAACTAATTCACCCCCTTCTTATTACATCATTGAGCCACATCAGACTCAACATGTCTTTGATTTTATATTAAGAACTTATATTTTTAACCATATGAGCTATTTTAACTACTCTATTTAGGTCTTCCAAGTTTTATGATTTCAGACTTTATGGGTTGTGCTTTTTGGGCACTTTTTGTTTCCTATACATTTATTTCATATCAATTCATGGGCAATAATATGATATTGTCTAATTACATAATGAGATTTTTCATATAGCTACTTCACCCTTAAAATTTCCTTGCTACCAAAAAGGAAGTGTACTTAAGCTTCATTGATTGCACTAAGTGTTTGGAAGCATTTAAATTTATTTATTGAAATCATCTTTCACACATAAGTATGTATGCTAGACTCTTGTATATTAAAAATATAACATGGATTTTTAGTACAAAAACTAGAAGCGAGCACTATATGCTACGTGATAAACTAGAAGAAATATTTTATGGCACTCATAAACTACAATGTTTGACCCCTTATTTTTGTGAAAGTAGAGTTTGGCTCATAAGTAGTGTGAAGGCTAAAGACGGTGAGAGAGTACTAACATTCCAAATTAGTGACTTATGCAAAAAAATAATACTATCCAAGTGGGTGGATCAGTTTAAGATCAAAGGGAAGAAATTTAGTCTTTTAAAGGCAACGAATGCCTCTATATGCGTAATGTAAAAGAAATTTTCAATAAATAAGAAAATAAAAAAATGTAGCCCAAAAGGGTTGAGTTTTAGATGAGGAAAAAAAAAAACTAAGGTTGTCTTAGTGGCTCATAAGGCTCGAAAGGAATTTTCTTTTCATAAGGATACTAAATGTTTCTTTTTATTCATGCCATCTTATTTTTAAAAGTTTTTTCATTAGATCTTATCAATCATGAAATTTATTTCCTTTTCCCTTTTAAAGAGGAACACATTGTAGATATTTTTTTTGACCCAAAATAATATTTTTCATTGAAGAATCATCCTTGTCATTTGCAAATTCAAAAATATAATTTCCTTCTAGATTTTCTTATATTAATGTGTGATGTAGAACATGCATAGTTCAACACTATTGGACCAGATGCCTTGGAAGGTTGAAGGATGGGCTACAAGGACGAGATGACCTAGTATCTAATTAGGCCCATAATAAAAAAGATGAGAAATTATTTGAATATTATTTAAGTTAATTTCTTGCTTTTGGACATTCTAAAGATGTTTTAAGGCATTATTGTAAAGCATTCTTTTTAAATACTTTTAATATATTTAAATTTTTTAGGAGCACCTCGACTAAAATTTAGTTTATTTAAAGGTTTCCCCATCATAACTCTATATGCCCTTTGAATTAGTAAAAAAAATGCTCCTTGCGGTTTCTGTTCTTTCTATTTGTAGATTCAAGATACTCATTGTGGGCTCAAGAGAATATTTGATCCTTGTGGTTTCAAGGGTCACCCCATCAAGTCTTTGAAGATTCAAAGGTTGAAGTTTCTAAGTTATGTGGATTTATAGCCTGGTTTATTCATTGAAATTTTTACCTTGTCAATTCATGTGCAAAATTTCAAATTTTCTTTTGCATGCAACTCTAGTTAAGTCAATGTGTAAATTAGAACTCAGCCTAGTTGACCTCCATTTCAGTTGGCATGACAAAGGATCAACTCAATTTCTCTTTTTTCCACTATATTTTGACTCATTTTGTGTCAATACACATCTTCTCTCTTTCTTATTATTCCTTCCACTTGGCCATGTACCTTTTAATCAACTGAACCCACTCCTTCCTCACCCAAACAGTTCTCATCATTAATTTCAAGAGCTATAGTTACTTGTGCTCTAAAGCCTCTTCCATGAGTCATCGCATAACCTATCCCAAGTATTTTTTAATTATCTATTTTAGGTTATTGATGTTCAAATTTCATGTTGAAAAATAAATAAGAGGGTAAACAAGTCATTTTATATTAAGGCCATTAAGAAATAATTTATTAATTCTATTAATTTATCTTATAATTTTGATTAATATCTGATATTTTTGATCTAGTGCAATATGTTTTTATCACGTTTCTGGCTCTTAAATATGTAAAAGGTTTGACCTATATCAAAATGAGTTCACCAAAACGTAAATGAGGTGACTAGACATGTAAAAGTCAACTAAAGCCTTAAAATAAGTCTACTCAAACCCAACCAAAATGACTAGATTCAAGAAAGTTAAACCCCAAGCATAAGCTAGATGCCATAATGCAATGCTAGAACATTCAAGCATGTTGACGTAGATGCCATAACACAATGGGTTGACAACAATGAGATGATTTGAGTTTTAGAAGATAATAACTTACTGTAGAGTAGCTTGACCGAATTGAGGTCAATAAATTACAACACCAACACATAATATTTTAACAAAAATAGGATGATTTGAGTGTTAGAAATAACGATATATCGTAGTGCACAAGTTGACATAGTATAATGGCAATATACACATCATATGTAGTTGGTAGGTACATTAGATTGACCAAGATGACTGAAGGCCAACTATTGCTCTCTTTTTTGAATCTCATTGTTCAAATTTTTAGAGCCTATAAACAGATTAACCAAGGGCTATTCAAACATATATCAAAACGTTCATCTAAGCTTCTTGTGAGGTCATTGTATATTGAAGAGTACCAATTTTACATCTTTCTTCAGTCGTCTAAGCTTCTTAGGAAATAACATCTAGATGCTTCCTCTTTCAATGCAAAATGGCTAAAAACCAAGGGAATCTCATTTAAAAATCTTAACATTTAATTTTTTACTTCTTTTGTTGTTAAGTGTGAAGTTACTCAAGGATGAAGGCTATTAGTATGAGAACAAGGAAAAATAATATGTTATTACCTAAGCATGGTACAATGAAATATCTCTTGTGGTGGTGAGCTAACACCTTAATGTTTAGAAAAGTGTATTGTGGTTGGAAAGTGGTGGAACATAAGAAAATAATCCTTTGAATATATATGTTGACCATGGGGGTTGAGCCATTATAAGACGTGTGCCCATTATTCTCTATCTTTAGTGGGTCAACCTAGAGCTGACCTTGTGTGCCAACCCAATGAGTTGATTCAAAAAATTCACTAGTCTGTCATCTCAGTGTCTAAACCCAGCTAGAGCCTTACCCTTTTAGATGACCTTAGGCCTATTTAGAAAATTTTAAAAACTGACCAATTCGCTCCCGCACTTAGTTAACCTTAGGGCTTCTTTGGGTTCAACAATTGACGGCTGATTTAAAGCCATACTTACCTCATACGAATGAATGATATTAACAGTTAAAATTAACAATAAGAGAGTAGTGCCAACTCTCTCTCCGTTGCATAAGCTTCAATCTCTGACGTGACGCATCCCAACACCTTATTCTTCTTCTTCTTCTTCTTCTTCTTCTTCTTCTTCTTCTTCTTCTTCGTCTCCTCCTCCTCCTTCTCCCTCCTCTCTGTCCAGGGTGTGGAGGGAGAGCATATGCCATTTTGTCAGGATTTTATTTTTGGGTGGATGAGGTGTGCCTCCGGGCTTAAGGACACTTCCCTGAACTGGGAGATAAGAGGGCAAGCCACTATCGATGAACTAGTAGAAATTAACCTGAGTTACGTCAAGAACCAGACTTGTGGCCATGTGGACTTTTGAGATCTTCATTCCTTGGCGAGAAGGCGCAAGATGTCAACGTGTTATCATCATAAATTTACCATGTCTCTTAGGGGAACTTTTCATAGCATCACCTACTATGGAAATCAACTGTTCTTCCACAGACGAGCTTGCATTGAAAACAAATCTTTTTGTGAATACTGATTTCTTTTGTTCTACACGATAACTGAAATGTAGAGGACTTCATATTATTAATAACAATGCAATGCTAACCAAGCAGCGAAACAGTGATCCTACTAAGAGCTTGTCTTCTATAGTTCTCCAAGATCCTCTCTCTCTCTCTCTCTCTCTCTCTCTCTTCGAGCTGTAGTACTTATAAAACCCAGTCATCTGTAGCTCTCTCAGATCCTCTTTCTCTCTCTAGTGAATAGTGACACTAATAAAGCCCTGTCTTCTGCAGCTCTCTCTCTCTCTTCCTATTGAATAGAAAGACCATTTAAATCCTATCATCTGTAGCTCTCTGAGATCCTCTCCCTTCTGTAAACAGCAGGACTTTAAGAATCCTTGCTTCTACAGCTCTCTCTCCCCCTCTAGTTAGTGGAAAAGGTGGTGCAGGACTGTGGAATTTGGGGTGACTCCGGTACTCCCTTTGAGCTGTTGGCGATGCGAGGAGCAGCCACGATGGAAGAAATGGCGGCGGTCAAGGACGCAGTAAAGTTGGGATCTGCTGTGATGGCACTGGTTATAGTCTCTACGATTGAGCTTTGCTGGTGATCGAACTGCACCGCTGGGAGGAATTCCAATCGCTTCTGGGGGAGGCTCATCTGAAATGGGAATGGCATGGCGGCGGCCATGCGGTTATGCTGGAATGGCATGAGCCCATTCGGAGGCTGCGTTAGGTCGAGGGTGATGGTAGGGAAGGGCGCGGCGGGTGAGAGGGTGGCCATGGTGGTGGCGTAGGAAGGCGGGTAGAA